AACTGAAATTCCAGGCAGGGGATCAGCATTTGACCCTCGCCGTTAATAATACAACTTAGCAGAGCGAGCACTTCCAGGGCACGATTCCAGCAATATTTTCAGAGAGCGTGTCTTGGGCCTATCTACGTTCTAGACCCATGAGATAATTTATCGCTATCTGTGCCCCGCGTACGCAATAGCCCATACTAACAGACATCTCATCAGGAATGTCGACGAACTGTCCGATCATGGCCATATTCTTCATTCCGTCTGGAATGACTGCAGGCCTGTCGTAATAGTCCCGCCGCAACAGAGGCGCCGACTTACGAGGCATCACACAGGGGATGGTGATCGAATCCTGGAGTATCTCGCTCGGGAATTGGAGGTGGTGCAAAATCTCAGTCATAATTTCCTTGCCGGAGCACTTGAGCATTGGCTTCCTGACATGGTCCCCTTCTTTCTCTGGGAATGCCGCGTAGCCCCAGAACACCTGCACGTCGACCGGCTGGTCAGAAAACATGGGCTGTTGCGGCAGGTAGAGGTTTAGCAACCAGTTGCTGTTTTGAAGGGTGACAAATGTCCCAGTGCCCGGCTCGTCACCTGTCAGCTGGATGAAACTCTCAAAGAATCGCGTATTTTTGAGCGTCACAGTGAATGACTCTTGTCGGGATTCACACATACGAGTGCAAAAGTTATATGCGTTGCCAAATTTCGAATCTTTTGTCGACAGCTCTAGCCACAAGAGCCAGTTCTCGTCCAGGTCCTGATCGATCTCTATCAACTCAAGTGATGGTGGGGAGTTGTTCGTCCCGGTAGTTGCGCCAGACATCACTGAGCCTGCCGATACAACGACAATATCCTGCTGCCCGACTTCAATCCTTCTCTCCGGTTCATTGTCCTTGACAGCGCAGATGGTGGACACCTGTTGGTGTGATGGATCGATACCGATATCCGTCACAGTCGTGCGAAAACGAAAGTCAACGCCACGAGACACCAGGAAATGAGCTATAGGTTCGATAATAGCCTCGTGGGGGTTGTAGCGACCGACGTCGAGCTGGCGCGGATGATCTAATTTGTGGGTATCTTTCATGAACCCCTGTACATATCGACGGAATTCCACGAGGCTGTGCCATGGCTGGAAACCGAACCTATTATCAGAGACATCGTCAGTTTAGTGATTGGTAGATTCTTCCATCTATCAACGATACATACGTTGTCGCTAATAACAGCCAGTACTTGCTCTCGAAAAAGCCTTTGTGGAAATAATCACTAATACGAGATCGCGATAGACTCTTCTCCGATTTGAAACCCAGCGTGACCAGATCCATGTGGTCTCTTAGTCCCAGCCCAATGTTTTTACCGTTTTGCCGTTCCATGCAGGAGGGTTTTCGGACGAGAAATCTTGTATTAGGGGGTTTTCCAGGTGGTTGTGAGTGGTTGAATTCAATCATTTCGTCTAGGACGGTCTTATTTGGGTCCGTCTTCGAAGGTACCAGCGAAAAAAGCCGCTCCATGCAACTATCATTGAGGGATGGCATGGAACCAGCCTGGTAGTGATAACCATTGACTGAATCGCCAGAGGTGACAGAGTCCCCTCCAGCAAACTCCAATCGTTCGAGGATATGGATCCGTGAGGGTGGAACACTAGCCTCTTGAATGAGATGTACTGCGGCTGTTAGAGAGGCGATCCCACTGCCAAGGATCCAGGCGTCCAGATTGTTTGGATCCCGTTTCTCTGATAGTTGGTTCATGGCGATGTTAGGAATGGTTGCATTGAATTTGCATGAATGACAGAACAAACATGTTGCGCCAGGAACCAATGGTTTAAAAGCCCTTGATGGTCCAAGATGTGTTGTTGTAGATGATGTCATTTAGACTTGCGGAGTCCTTCCTCTTCGCGCTGGGATGTGCGTTAGCTGAAGCGGCCGCTCAGTACCCATGGTCCACGGATCGATCCAACGTTTTGAGGTGGCCAGGCCTCAATGGGTGACCTTATTTCAATTGCTATCACGAATGTAAGTTAGTCGTGTGCAAGTCAATTTATTGACGTCATACTCTCACCACCGTCGTTTCCGTGTCTTCAGCGTGCGATCTCGGAACATGCTAATATTTTTCGTAACAATCAAAGGTCAATATTTTTTACAATTAACTAAATCAATTGTTAATCTGATTGTTCTTCGGGTTGTTTGGTCTAATCAGAAAGACTAATCCCTTGGGTCCGAAGCCCAACTGTCTCTGCACGAGGGTGAGAAATTTGAAAATGGATCAGAATAAAGAGTTTTTCCTAATATTGTACATGGACCTTCAAACAACAAGGGCTCAGGAGCTCGTGGGTAGGACCAAAGGAGGGAAAGAGTTTTATTAGGGATAGGAGAGCTCCCGACTGTCTACCTACCTATGTATGAGGTCACACCACAACATTGGCAAGATTTGTTTCAAGTTCCTTTGCCTTCTGACTCAAGTAGGCACCATCGGCCTTGACGTGACCAGCCTGGCCAACCATACCAGCAAATATAATAATTGTGGCCTTCAGGTCTGCAAGATGTGTCTGTATCAACATTCTTGCAACCCTTGTTCCAAAATCCCCTGATATTTGGTACTGGCCTAAGCGAACCTCTGCCGAAATGCATCCTTTTCCAAACGCGCAGATAGAAACACGAGTCCATTCCAACAAACGTGCCAGGACCATATTGACCAGGAGAAGCGCTTGTGGATCTCGCATGCAATGGTGACAATTGAAGAGAGAGCGCATGGATGGAATAATCCGCTGCGACTGCGTCAGGAGCATATCGATGGCCCGTGCCTGTTCTGACGTTTGAGGAATGGCTTGGAGTGTGCAAAGGTGATTACTTAGTGTTACAAAGCAACCGCCGGATCGGGAGTGATGACATGGATTCCCCAGTAGACATGATCCAGAATGATCGGAAAGAAATGCATGGTTGGGCCTATCATTGATAGTGTTGCATCTTAATGATTTTGGGGAGTATGGGAAATGGAAGGGAAATCCCATTTCAGTTGCTTGTGCGTTGTGGAACACTGCCTCTTCGTAGCCAAGGTTGCTGCAGTTCAAGATTTTTCCCGATCTGGTTGATATTTCTTTCTCACGCGGTGTTCCTATTTTCTGTCAATGCCGTGTATTTGGCGGGATGCTTGCCCATCAGAGGGGGGTAATACCAGTCAAACCACCGGGTAGTTGGAAACAATGCTATCGACACCCAGTAATATTAGTCTCCTGGGGAAAATGAAATGCAAGGACAGATCAGTGTACATTATCAATGGATTCACCTGGGATAGTGGGTAGCCAATCCTCCATGCAGCCAAGGCCACTTTCAGGCGAAATCAATTCTTGAAAGGGAAGAGATTCTGGATTGAAAGTGGATGAACCTTGGCTGTCAAGTGTAATTCCTACATTGGATGGCGATGGTAGTGGACTAAATACCGAGTCTTCGTCACAGGAAGGTAGTGGTGGGATCGCCGGGGTGCTGTCGCTGGTTGGTGGCGGTGTATGGATCGTTAGGTCATGCTTCTCCATTGACTCTTTCCCCTGCCGTAGACGCTCGATTGTCTTTTTATTCATACTGCCTCTTGGCTTTCCTATCTTTGCTTTCAAACTATAGTGACACTCCAGGTTGCTGTTGAGAGCGGGGGGTGGAGAATTAGCAACATATCGGATATTCCAAGAAGAAAGACTTACTCTCCAGAACACCGTGCGCAGGGCAAATTCCCCGTGCAGCGTACTTTGGCTGCATGGCATCCATCACAAGCACTGCGAAGCCTTGAAGGGTTCTTTTCTAATTGCTTGGATTTCCGTATCTTGTCATTTGGCTTGATTGGGGAAGTTGTACCTTCACAGCCAACCAGAACAGAAGTTTGAGACATCAGATTTAACGCAGAGCAAACAATCGAGGGAACCAGTAGCCTTTACCTATTGCGAAATTTGATGTAATAAGACGCGATGGTGGCTGCTGGAGGCTTATAAGTCTGACGTTTTCTTCACAAAACTATCGGCAACTCTACAACGGTACTCCCGCCTTCTGGCGTCCACGAATTGCCTAATTGGGCTTAGAAATGCCTCCCCAAACTGTTTTCGACCCATTCAATCTCATTTGACTTGTTTCATAACCGAAAAAATGGGGGCCCAAAGCTAATCGATATCTATCTATGGATGCTCGGGCAGGGCACTAGGGAGATGGAACCAACCCAATTCTTATATTTACGAGTCATTCTTATTGACTTTTGTGCATTCTTCAAACCACTAGTTATGTGGGAGTCGGATAATTCGCTTTTACGGTGAGAGTGTACCAACCCGGGCACTGGCTTGGCTGATGTTCAAGTAAATAAGCCAATGCCCACAAATGGATACATAATGCAGGTATAGTGTGTGAATTTGAATGAGGAGTAGAAGAGTGGACCAGCTCCCAAGGTACTAGCCACTGGGCTTTATGGGCTTTATCTGCCATGGCCCGTCTCCAAGGTCCCAACATCCCGCAGCCACCGGACTTTAGTCGACTTTGACTGTCTCCAAGGTCCTAACAGTTCGCAGTTACTGGACTTCATTCGATTTAGGCCGTCCCCAAGGTCCTAATAGCCCGCAGCCACCATGAAGTATAGCAACGTCAAATGAAACACACCAAATGAAGTCCACGTGCGCGAGTCAAAAACGGGTCAAAACGTGGAGGCTACCCCGTCCAGTCAAAGAGTGAAGTTCCTGAAAGAGTTGATTGGGTTCGCTTATCGGCAGTCCTTCCATGTACCGAAAGTGAAGAATATGGAGACAATAAAAGCTAAGCCCATGTGCTTTCGCATCGCTTGATGCCCTCTGGAAGATTATTTCGCTGCACTTGAGCGAATTCGATTCTACTCGTCGCATTCCAGCTTCTAGTGAAATGTCAAATAACCCAATATGGTATTTTGCCTATGGCTCCAACATGCTTTCGGATGTCTTCATCACGCGAAGAAAAATCCAGCCTCTCAGATCCGAAGTTGCTCTGGTTAAACTGCAAACCCTCTGTTTCAACATAATGGGCGTTCCGTACACCGATCCTGCCATGGGGGGCTTGCGCCCAGCTGAGGAACAAGATATTCCGGTATATGGCATTGCGTACCTATTGTCTCCCGACGATATGAGGAAGGTGATCATCAGCGAGGGGTATGCAAATTCTAGAATCCTAGGCGCATGACTAGCTGAAGTATATCTAACACCGTAGCAGAGGTGGAATCGCCTACAAAGCCGAGGTGTTTACAGCCACGTTGCAAAATGATGCGTCAGAAGTGAGTGTTCATTTATTGGTGGGAAGACACAGTATCTCAAGAAGCTACGAGAGGCTTCCATCAAGAAGATATATGGTAAATTTATCCCATTACCTCGTTGCATGGTTCTGGTCTAACTTAAATTCACAGGATCTGTTGATTCGAGGTGCCCGTGAACATTCTCTCCCGGAGTCTTACCAGAAGAGACTTTTGTCACAGCAAACATTCATTCCGGGGCAAAGTTGTCGATTCAAGGTTGGAAAATGGCTATTTGACGGATTCTGGCAACGGATCGCATACTGGATTGAAAAAGGAGTTTACAAATTCAAAGATGGCGAAGGGAACGTTCCACCGTGGTTCCTAGTCATCTTCGATTTTCTCTTATGGATTATGTGGTATTACCATGACTACGTCCACAGCGTCATTTGGGGCAGGGGTGATGGATTGAATAGGAAATAGACCAGTGAAATAAGGAATAGATTTTGACAGAAGATCAAGATTCAAATTCACTTGCTTTTCTCCGGTATGAGGGCTCTAGGCAAATCCATCTCTGCATCAGGATAAGCCCCTCTCACAACACCTCGGAATTTCTCGTTCCACAGTTGCTTCACTCCATCCTGCATGATTGGTACTTGAGATTTGTTTGAAGCTGATTGCACTTCCACATCGTTCAATACACGGATCACATTAAGCCCTATGATCTTTTCCACATCCGATCGGGCAATCCCACGCTCCAGCATTCTGCGAACCAAATGAGGATATCGAGCGACATTCTCAATTCCTTTTACAGCATTAAACATACCGTCATAGTCAGATCCAAGCCCAACATGATCGTAGCCAATATTTTGTCCAACATGCATAATGTGATCAATGACATGGTCCATGTTCCCTTGGGTGGGATCAATGTGAGCAAGAGAGGGAATAAATGTGATCATAATCACTCCCTTGTTGGCTTTTAGTTTCTCGAGAATAGCGTCGGGGACATTGCGAGGATGTGGAACGATGGAGGATCTGTACGCTTAAGGTTCAGATGGGACTTTCTTTTGCAGCAGTCTGGCTGAGAAATCGCTTGGGATAACTTACGTCGACGAGTGAGAGAAAATCACAGGCGCTTTGGAAATATCCAACACTTGGTGCATCACAGATTCGCTTGTATGGGAGAGGTCAATGATCCTAATTCTGGTTAGCTTTGTGACTTTTGCGGGAGAATATATGTTGACAAGATCATTCTTACATTCCAATTCTGTTCATTTCCCTGACTATCAATTCGCCCTTAGAAGATAGTCCGTCATGTGCTGGAGATATTGCGGTCTAGTCATTTTAGCTCCTGTCACTTGTTCGTTAATTGGTTATCACTCACTGCGCTATCTGCGTACAGATTATTCTTATTGTGCGCTAATGTGACATATCGGACTCCAAGTTTATGATACAACCGAAGAACACTGGAGCTGTTTGCAATCTGATGGAGCCCTTCGACGCCGATTAGGCTAGCAAATTTCCCATCAGTGAACAAGCGCATGATATCGGAGGCACGATCAACGAGACCCATGTGGTCTGAATACAAATCCACCAGTCGATGCACTAGATCGATTTGCTGCAGTGTATCTCTCAACGTCTCTAGGTGTGCCGCATCGTCGGTGAAGTCGTCTGAGTCTGGGCTAAGAATATCATCAGCTGAAGACAATATTGTAGGTCGCGGTATCCAGGCTACCAGTCTATGTAAACACTCCAGAAGGCACCACCAGATTTCCCTTCTCTGAGTCGCTTGAAATCAACATGTCCCACTAGGTCCTTTTCCGGATCCAACCGAATATCCAGTTGATTGTCGTAAAACCCGCGAATGAGGTGTGGCCAGTCGTTGTGTCCATCTAGGTGGATTGTCAGCCTTGGGGTCTCGAACATAGCCCACTAGCAGGACACACACCAATCAGTGGGACTGAATTCAGGATATCGATGGCCTCCTCCATAGACATGCTCGTGGAGACTAGCTATAATTAGCCAAGCGTCGAATGATCCCAAGGTCCGAGAGCAACAAGTGCATGAAAGAGATTATTGATCGGCAAGAGAAGCAAATGAAAGAAACCAGAGGGAGTAATATATTTCAAAGGATCAAGGAAATATTTGTCAATAGTCTCCGACAAAGTCTCCGGGGTCGAAGACTAGACTGCTTCCCAAGGTACTCACTCGTGTTATATGGTGAGGCCGAAGGGATTGTCAATGCTAGACCAAAATTCTTCATCCGTCCTTTTCCAAATTCATCTGATTTTCGTCTGTCCAGTGGGAGAATATCAGGGCCCCTCACGATGACACTGAAAAAATGGGTGCCACCGTTCCACCTAGGTGAACGGTTGGGCCCTAAGACCAATCTTCGTCTCATTCTTATGACAACAACCCTCGTCAACTTTTTGGATCTTTTTCAACTCTCGGCAGTGCTCTTTGGTCTCCCAGACATTGAAAAGGCGTTAGGTTTTACTAGCGAGGATATCAACTGGGTGCTTATTGTTTACAACATTACCTTCGCCGCTTTCCTCCTCATCGGGGGGCAGTTAGGCCAGAGATTCGGTCTGGAGAAGACATTCATTTCCGGAGCAGCAATTCTTACGGTGTCCAATATCATCAACACAGCGGCGCCAAACAAGGCGGCTCTTCTTGCCGGTCGGGCAATTTCAGGGATTGGGGCGGGATTGACTGTGAGTTGTCGAGCACGTTGAAATGCTCCGTTGCACTGATCTAATAAGTATTTCGACTTTTCTCAAGGCACCGAACGGACTTGCTATCCTGAGTAGAACCTTTCCCGATGGCGATGCTCGAAACAAAGCACTAGCAATCTACACAGCTTGCGCCCCATTAGGATCTACCATTGGCACTGTTGTTGGTTCCCTTCTCTCATGTATGTCTTACAGTCCTTCCTCGCCAGCAATTGAATTTTCTGACTGGAAGATCTTTAGCGTCTGACGCCGGCTGGAGATCTATATTCTGGCTGTGTCTAATTCTCACCGGTCTGGCACTTGTGCTAGCTTGCCTATTTTTACCACCCTTTGCCAAGACAAACGACACTCCAATCGATATAATGGGGAGTGTAGTCTTTGTGATTGGAATCGCTCTACTAGTGTATGGTCTGAATGATAGCCCAAGAAGTGGGTGGTCTTCAGCACCTGTCCTTGTAGGTATCATTCTAGGAGTGTGCCTATTAGGTGCCTTCGTCTTTATTGAGATGAAAGTTGCCAACCCATGCATTCCACCATATGTTTGGAAAAGCCTCCCTTTCTTCCTCATGCTTGTCGCTATCTTTGCTTTTGGTGGCAGTTTTAGTTCGTGGTTCTTCATTACTACACAACTCTGTGTCAATCTACTAGGCTACACACCGGTTCTCACTGCGGTTTATTTTTTGGTAAGTCTCTCGACCTCACTCCAACTCCACTCTGCTCCAAGTCAAATATTATTGATGCAGAAGCTTCCATTTTGATTGGTACCTGGCTGACGCGCGTCATTGAATAGCCTGGTGCATTCTCAGCCATTGTCGGCGGAGCTCTATCGGCACCCATGATCAAGCTTACCGGGGAGAAGATGACTCTGGTAATTGGGCTTGCTATTACAGCGGCCGGTGCTGTAGCTTGGGTATTTGCAACTCCTGACCTTGCAGGGGGAACTGGCCATGGTGAGGGATACTGGTACTCCATTGTGGCTGCAATCATCTTTGTCTGTGGCAGCCCTGTTGCGATGGTTCCAGCCCAAAGCATTCTGCTTCGTCAGGTCGAAGCATCCAACCATGCTATGGCTAGCGCACTGTTCAACACTGCTTACCAAGTCGGGGCCAGCGTTCTTCTAGCCGGTGCCAATGCCTTCATGAATGGAAATCGCAAGCCCATTAATGGCATCATGATGGTCTCCATGACTGGATATCAAAACGCATTTTGGCTTCTTACCGGAGTCCTTGGAGGTGCAGCACTCGCCATAGCTGTGGCTTACTGGCCTCAAAAAACAGATCAACAGCCAGAAAGCCTTATGGAAGAATCGAACCCAGATGAGGAGCAACAAATAATGAAGGCTCAGTGAATCATATGACGCGCTGGATCACCACACCAGATATCTTAATTTTTACAATCCTACTTGTCAGTCAAGTGATTTATATCTGTTCATTTTTCTTTCTTTTTTATGTTCGCCCTTTATCATATTAGTTGAAAATTCTTTCGTGCATCTCAAGCGGCTATCTCTCGATATTTTCTCGAGCCACTAGTTCCTCTGTCATCCATACCCATTTCCAATGTTCCCTGTATGTACGATCATTTAAATATACTATGGCGGGGCTTCACATGTGGGTAGAGGTCTACGGGATTACGCTATTGTGCAACAGAAGTTTAAACTAAATTGCTGATGATATCCAACCCGGGCGGTAAATTGGCAAAGTAACAAAGGCTTGAAAGCCACAAAGGGACAATGGAGGTCTTCCAGCCCAAATGAAGAAAGGCAAATCCCCGGTGTCAACCCAATAATATCAATTTGTAGGCGTTTGTTTAGAACGCCATGTTGCGAAGTTATAATCCCTTAGAACTTAGGCAAGATTCTTCGATTGTCAGGACCGAAGTTCTCACTTTCCAAGAATCCTCAAGCTTTCTTCGCCCAAGCGAGATGATAGTGGTAGACATTTCCAACATTGCGAAGCTCGATCTCCAATTCATTGCGAAGGGTATCAAATTCCTCGCTCTTAGGTTGTCCCGGCTTCCCTATTATAATGTAATTCGGGTTAGTACCTAAATATATGGACAGTTCATGGGTTTGTGATCAACATACCACTCAGCATTCTTTTCATTCCATCAAGCAGATGAAGCAAAACAACCACAGCCCTCTCGCCTTGCTCTGGATCCTCTGATGCGGCTCCAACCTTGATGACCTGAACACTTTCTTGGATGTCCACAGCACCAGCACCCTGTAACCATTGTACTAGGAACGATCCCGGGCTCGGCTGGTTCCCTATGGCTGCCCAAGCATTGACCATGATGTCACGGAACTTGACGAATGCTGCATGCTCAGGCCCCTCCTGAATCGAAAGCATGTTCCCTTCATGCAACTCAATCCAACCGCCGGGCTTGACACACGAGAACAACAGCTTGACAGCCTCCTGGGCAGTTTGATCGGAGGCGACTGTAAGAACAAAGCGCTGATGGACCACATCAAAGCTGTTTTGAAAGTCGGCAGGCCAAGGGTCGAATATTGAGTGAAGTGAAAGATGTAAATTCGAAGGCCGCAAATTCTCCGGGAGGAAGTGCTGGGGGGCGATGTCGGTGCCATAAAGTGATGTCGACGGGGGGACCGATTGGGCCAGATCCATCAACCATGTGCCCTCGGCGGTGGCGGAGTCCAGGATACGAAGGTTTGGCTGCTTGATATCCACAGGGCAATACAGAAGCTTTCCATTCATTGCAGTCTTCACGAGCTCATGTTGAGTTCGTAGGCGATCGTACTCACCCTGGTGGCGGGGACCCCGATAGGTGTCTGGAGGGTTGGATTGTGTCATTTTGTGCTATAAAAGAAGAAGATGAAATGGCGAGAGTGAATTCTATGATTAGAGCGAGAAAAGAGATCGACATTGAAGACAGACGCTGCTTTTTAGGAACTTTCATATGGTTTGAAACTCAGACACATTTCGGCGACTATCACTCAATCGAATGTAGAGAAAAACATACTCGCCGAGGCTAGTATAAGAAGCACACGACACATGAAAGGCCCAGAATGAGCTGTAATCATTCAATCGTTTCTTAATTTTCTCTTCGCTTGTCCAGTTGCAATTGATTGCCATACGTGATGTCCCAGCCAAGCGAAGATCTATCCGTGCGGCCTCAAATCCCCGATGACAAGCTAGTCTTGTACGTCAAAAAATGTAAGAAAGTCCAACACTACGGTCAAAATCCATGGCGAAATCCAGTCAATTGATCTTGTATCCCTTCATTTATGATCGGGATGAGCCTTGGTCTTCCCACTTTTACGGCTACTAACTGCCTACAGCGAGTCCCACATCCACGGCCAACGCCGTGAAGCCGCTGATGCTCATTCAGGCCCTGAAAATTCCTCACGAACTTCATATCATCAATTCAACCAGCAACGAAACATGGTTTCACTCGATCAACCCTTATAAGATGGTCCCCGCCATGGAGGACGTCGAAATTTACCAGGTCAACGGCAAGCCGCAGCGGCTGAACATTTTCGATAGCTCTGCATGTCTAACTTACCTGGCGGAGAAGTACGACCAAGAGGGACTTTACAATGGCAAAGACCTCTGTGAACGAACCATTGTCATGAACTGGTTGATGTCCTACACTGCGGGGTTGGGTGCAACCGGCAAGATTTGGCTTTTGATGAAAGCACCGAAGCCAGTGGATATTGGCGAATCTCTTTCGGTGTTGCTGAAATACATTTGCACCGAGTATCAGTTCCTGGAAACTCGGCTGAATGAACCTGGCCAGCATTACATAGCTTTGCCCGACAGACCGACCATTGCGGACTTTGCCATCTTGCCTCTTGCGAATGAAACTATCGCAACGTCCGCCAAGCTGGACTTTGGCCAATGGCCAAAATTGAAGGAGTGGAGTGAGAAGATGAGAGAGCTACCGCCGGTCAAGGAGGCTTTGAATAGAATCTCTCGGATTGGATTATCCGATGAAGAGCTCATGGAGCTGGATCGCAAAGATTAGAACTCTATTGCTGTGTTCAATTAGTACTCCGTATTTAAATCTCATTGACAAGGCCAGGCGCTTGAGAATATCTTTCCCTTCGTTATTCTGTAGTCTTGGGCCTACTGCATAGGGACAGAACCAAAAGGCAGACCAAAAGGCAGACTATAAGGCAGAGGAAATTTGTTTTCCTGTTGGGATCACGTGATGTGCGTCATGTGCTCCCGAGAGCTTTGCAGGGTTTGCATATTCTCAAGGCCTGAGGCATGAACGCGGCACTTTTGGCCAGGTTGATCTGCCGAGCAAATGCTTCCGGGGCTTCAATGAGGATGCATCCTAATCCGGACCATCGACTTCTCTCACCCTACTCCGTACTCTCTCTGACTTATGAATACCAACCTCAGATGGTTTGTCTTCGTGGCCCTCAAACATTTAAACCATCGACGTTCTTCATTTCCCTTCGTTCTCCTTCATACTTTTCATCTATCCACATTTGACCTTTCTTCGCCATCAAAATAGTAAAATGGACTATACTTCAACGTCCGCTGAAGAAGGGCAGAGGCATCTGCTCCCTAGACCAAGGGAGGGTATTCACTTTTTTTAGATGGAATTGTACATAGATCAGTATGTGTAAAGAAATATATCATAGTACATTTGAATGTCAAAACAAATATATAATTATATATGATGTGAATCTGGTCTATATCAGGATGGAAAACTAACGATATATACACTACTGGAGTATCAAATTGAACTGCAACTAAAAGAGAGTCGAAGAAATAGATGGAAATGGACAGGAAGGACTTTTGAAAATGTGTTGTTATGGTTCTTATGCTCTTAGGAAAAGATCAAAGAACTGTATGGTCGATTGTGAAAGAAAATTACAGTGGTGTAGGTCGAGGTTGATCGTTCATTCCCTTGTCCCTCCAGCACACAGGTTTCTTTTTTTTCCCTAAAAAAGGAATAGAAAAAGTAAGATAGAGTAAGGTCGAACGTTCAAGACAGAAAAGGAGCATTATTATTTTAGGAAAAGAAGATAACAGAATCAATGTATTAATGGTATGAAGAACAGCATATAACAGAAGGCGGTGAAGATGAAATTTGGTGGGGAAAGAGGCAGAATAACTACCTGGAAGCGGTGAACGACACAAACGTCCTGGGCTTGCCGTTCTAGAGAAGATCCAGTGCGATCAAAACGGTGTTACTTTGAGAAGGCAATTGCTGAGGATGTACGTTACTAGGTGTCACTACCTGAGGCATCAACTATAGCAATGAGTTTACAGAAAGCTTTGTATGTGAATTTACCATTTTCTCATTGCTTCATTTTCTTGGCTTTAGGATAACACGCGCATTGGCAATAGGAACCCACGTATCCTGAATGGGTTGCGAGCTCCATGTCTTCTTGGCATCTAACCTTGGTAAGTCAATCTCGTACCGATTTAGTAAGTGGTAGACGAAATGTTTCAACATAGCCTCAGCAAAGTGTTGTCCAAGGCACCTCCTTGTTCCAAATCCAAATGTGAAGAGGTTGTAACGGAGCTAGGCAGTATGATTAGCAAAATTACAAAGTAAGCTCGTCTATCACTTCTCACCTCCGTTGAAGACAGATGCTGAAACCGATGTGGATTGAAGCGAGAATGATCGTTCCCCCAAAATTTCTGGTTGTAGTTGATTGCAAGTGTATCCACAACAACGCTCGTCTAATGTCCAAATTAGCCTTCTTATTTAGGTGTGATCTGGATAGAACTAACGTGTGATGGAATAATATAGCCACCAATGATTTTTGTTCGTGGTGAGCTTTCGGGGATCGTGAATACTGGTCACAATCAGTCAGCAAGTATCGACTGGTTCTTGAAGGAACACCTCACTTGTAAAAGGGCGAAGCCTAGCTGATTCCAAAAAGCAAAATTGCAACAGCGTATCTTTCCTACCACAGAGCTCTGCGAGAGACCCGGGATTTGCCGAAATTTCCGCCCGAACTTGTTGCTGTATGTCAATATCTTCAGCTAAGAAGATGATAAGCCAGCTAAGAACGTGTGTGGACACGTCCAAGTTGGCGAAAAGCATTTCACTAAGAGTCTGAAGTATCTGTGATCCAGTCAGAGTCCGTGAAGGAAGTCAGAAGATCGGTCATCTCACCTCATTCATCGAAATACAGCCCTTTTCCATCGCCATCCAAGCCTCAACGATAGGTGGCTGGTGGTTATTTGAGAGAGCTCTTGAATTTACAAGTCTCTGGTTGAAATTTTGCCATTGGTTTTGGAAACTCCTCAATCGTCGGAATGAGTGTGGCCTCATCCACTGACACAATCCGAAGCGATACACTCCACCGGAAAGAACATTCCCCATAAGTGCAAGGCTTTGTTGACCCAGATTCCACAGCTCTTCCTTTTCATTTTCAGTCAAAGGCCCATAGAGATATTCGGCGGTAGTCATGAACGGAAAGCGCGAGAAATCACTGGCGGCGTGTACCTCAAAGGACTCAGCATCCTGTCTCTCAAGGCTCTGCAAGTATCCAGTTGCCGCGAGCTCAATATGGCTAGATATTGATGACACGGAGCGATGAATGAAATGGTGCTTAAACTGAGCCCGAACTTGTTCCCAACGGTCCCCGTTGATGAGGCCCATACAGTCACCAAGAAGCTCATGGAATAACCATCCGCCGTTGCTGGACTTGGATTTCAGGTGGGAAGGAGAGTCGCTGTGAAAGATCTTGACGTCGTCGGGTCTCGTGATTACACTGTAAAAGGTCAATATTCTGTCATCTCTCTATATCATCGCTGAAACACTTGCACTTCGGGGAGAACGCCCGACCAGATGCGATAGACTGGCCCATATTGACGCCATTCTAGGCTGGCTTCACGTCCCCGGAGAAATTTATCGAGACATTGCCCATCACTATATTTCCATCTTGGGCCTTTAATATTCTGCCCATGCTCATTTCGAAGGGGATACAACACCGTCGATATCTGGGATTTCAAAAAGGTGAGTTGCAAAAATCGGTCATTATGTCTTAGGGCAGAATTCTCACAATTCTATCAATAACATGATCTTTCCTTTGGTAAAGCTTCCATATTATTACTATACCGAGGAAAAGGTAAATAATCCGAGGGTTGAAGAATTCCATAGCGAAAGATCCGCCACGTTGAGAAGGTAATTCGCGAAAAGTGTTGCGATACAATTGGCCATGCGCGATGCCCATGGGATAAGTTTCGATTAGGAAAGATCTCCAAATGCTATGTGTCTAGTCCGTAAGGTACTCCATTAAAACCACACTTCAACGAATATTCTCCGAATCGTTGATTACAAGCATCACTTTGCCGGGGAATAAATGATCCCGAGATCAACGATCGGCCAGTAAAAACAAATAGAGTTTTATTTTCACTACCAAGAGGATAAAGCCCTAAGCTCATTTTGGTGCTGATATACTATTTCTAGAGCCGTTGGATTTATCCTACATTGTTGCTACAAAGGTACTCATGTTGACGTCTGGATCTCAGTCTACAAAACACAATTCAGTCGCCCAAAAGACAATGAGAAGCCCTTGAAAAGAAATTCTAAAGATCTAGGATATTTATACTTTAGCCCTAGAGTTATAATATACAGCACACATACATTAGATAACTTTTAGAGTATCTTCCATTCGACTAGGTACACAGGGATGGAAAGTCTTCACGGCTAATCAACGACAATTTCCCTAGTAATTCAATGCTTGCTTCCTGGGTCAGTCTTGACATTTTCAACCTCGGATTGATAGTAAATTTCCGGATTAAAGTAGGCAGTCACATTCCATTGTCCTTGATCGGAAGCCCAGCAAATGTAGGTATGAAATCCTAGTCCATCGGCAAGATCGCGGTGTTTACTGTGAGACAACTAATCAGTGACTTGATCTCAAACGCAATCGCATCATTCGCTCAACTTACCATAGCTTTTTAACCCCATCATAATAAGATCCTGTCGCTAGTGTCCTCCCACGGCGGGCAAGGTATTCTGAAAGTCCTCGGGCAATCTGCTCGTCATTTTTTGCATAGTGTCGAACGGGCAGATATGCCTTCGACTTAGGAATCTTCGCACCCCGTTTTAGCTCAAAGTAGTATAGAATACCGCCGGTGCGATGCTCCTTTTCACTTAGAGGCTGATCGTCAAGATACTCCGCGGGGTTTAGATCAAAAACCGAGCACCAAAGCTCCCGTAGAGAGTCCAGCTCATCTTGTGTTTTAGGGGCCCTTCCACCTAAACTTAACATCTCAATTACACTTTTCAAGGTCGTGAAAGGTGATCGAACGTATATTTTCAATCGAGACTGGGATGGGTCCAAACAATCGATGGCCACGATTTCGGCGACTGGTCGCAAGTTATCCGGGAATGAGTCGAGAAATTCGTTGAAGATATAAATTGAATCTAGCAACCCCTTTGCGGGTGCAGGGAGCTTTTGAAAAGCGTCTCGAATGACAGAAATCTTTGTCTTCTCTTCTTCTAAAGCTTTCCACGCAGGCAAGTAGTATTGTTTGACAACAATAGACTTTTCCAGTAGATCAAAGGCCATGAAGCTTTGTGATTGTGGAGGAAGCGATTTTTGATGTTCCCTTCTGGCCGGTTCGTTTCTTGACAGCAGCAAACTTTGGAGATGGCGGTGGAGATATAAATCTAAGTCATTGGTCAAACAGAGAGCATCTCCAAGTAGGCGCTGACTGGCGGCTGTATTGATAGGATCGACTTCCTGCCCAGCAGACGGGCCAATTGGTTCTACCGAATATCGAACCGTAGGGGTTGCTAGCGATGTAGACCAGCACCAGCTTAGCTCGACTGGGGTATGATCATCCGTCATGAAGCTCTTCCAGCTGTCGGGGGGGCCACATCCTTTAGGATGGGAACCCAATGATCGTGCCACTGACTCCCGAAAGAATTTTGTGTGAAGCGACTCGGAGTCCGAAGGATAGCCCGCCATAACCAACATGCTCTGGAGCATGGAGCCGACATCCTCTACCCATAACGATATGTCGTCGGCGGAATGCTTGATGGTGTCTTCCTCAGTTGTACCCTGTCGGGATAGTTAATAACTTGGGCCATTTTCTTCACAAAGGTACCCACACACCTTCACGTCTTCTAGTGTCCATTTCCACTTAAAAGGCCAAGCCCTGATATAGGTCAGTTCTCTTCACTTCATTGCTGTTGCTAGTTAGGACAGTCACTCACAAGAAGTTTAATAGAGTGAGAGCCATAATATTGCTCTAAAGTTACCGATTTTGAAAAGGCTTCTATTACCCTTGGGACAACAATCAAAGGTAACTTATACACAATGAAGATTCAGCAACTTCATATAATGTCTTCGGGGTATTATATCAGGGCTAGAGATCTCTGGGTGGGGCATAGGGTAAGCCGGAGTGGCTCGGCGACTAAGTAGCAAGTATGTCTATCTTGGTATGTAGACCTTTCCGAGACGGCTGAGTATTCGGCCCTTAAGCTGTTACGACCAGAAGCCCTGAATAGTGATCCACATAGTGGCAATTTTGAATCATGTACTGTACTTCAATCCTGTGAAGATACACAGAAGTCTTTACGACGTTGACTAGTAGGAAAATGGCGTCAAGAATTTCCGATCGGTGCAAAAAGCGAAATGCTACCATCATACCTAGTCTCATAGGCCAGCATGATGCTGTTCTCAGCGGGGACACGACTACAATTGACCTCAGTACGGCGGAAAACTGGGCGACCAAGACAAAGTTGCTGCAAGGCCTCGAAGGGGTATTCAGTGGCCTGTCCGAGAATGTATGATTGCCAAATCCCCGCAAAGTCACCATCTTTAGCATACTCACGCCTGTCGTCAGGATTTGGCCTACTCATCTGGCATTGGTGGTTGTCCTACTACGCGACAACTCATTGCAGACTTGATTAATGACCGCTTTCAACCATCAATCCCCGTTGAAAACTCTCATGTCGTCTTAGCGGCAGGGGGAAGCTTCGCTTTGACAGCACTTATTGAGCAAATCTGCGATCCCGGAGATGGAATTCTCATTGCGACACCATACTGGGCCGGTCTCGACATTTCCATCAGTGTTCACGCCCATGCCACAGTTGTGCCCGTCCATATACCGTTGATCGATTTCTTCAGCACGAATAGCATCTCACATTATGAATCGGCGCTGGAAATATCTTCAAGTCCTATCAAGGCAGTGCTAGTCTGCAACCCCCACAACCCGTTGGGTCAGTGTTACCCACTGGAGACTTTAGACGCTTTGCTCGAGTTTTGCAAGCGCCATGAGCTGCACTATATTTCAGACGAAGTATACGCTCTCTCCGCGCACCAGCCATTTCCGGGCGGTTTCCATCCATTTGTATCAGCACTTCAAAGGGGGGATCGTGAAACGAGGGCTCAGGTTCATGTCATATACAGCCTCAGCAAAGATTTCGGCTGCAATGGAATTCGCATCGTGAGTGGCTCTTTGGTGATACCAGCGAAGCAAGAATCCATGGACATTACTAAAAAGACATTAAATGCAGGGGGCGTTGATTACTCAATTCAACGATGCTGTGCGCCTTAGTAGCGCTTTAAGCGTTCACAGTCAAGTGTCCTCGCTGTCGACGGTGCTGGCATCAAAGACGATACTGCAGCCCACCAACATCGACACAGCAATAAGCTATGGGGCTCAAAGTCTGATGGGGTCCTATAAAGTGATTCAATCCTTCCTGGAGAATGCTGGAATGGAGTATATACCAGTAGCCTTTGGTATGTTTGTATTTAGTAGGCTTGGCAGAGTCAGCAACTTCGATGCAGAGAGAAAGCTGCTGAGATGTTTGAAGTCCAGAGGCGTATCTGTGTCATCTGGGTCAAGTTATCATTTCCAGGAGCCTGGTTGGTTCCGCATATGCTATGCAGTTCCCAGTGATCAGTTGGAAGAGGGTCTCAGGAGAATTGGTCTTGGGATTCAGGATTTCCATCAGACATTCAACGTGGACGAACAATGACTGCGCCGGCTTAGAATGAACTTGAAAATTGAAGCACTAGAATTACATGAGTTTTCTCTTCCACTTAATCTAAATTATTTAAATCGGTGCGTTTAGTGGTCCTGCAAACAGACAAGGCAGAAAATAAATCAGTCTCACATCTTTCAGAGCTTCCTATGTAATGATAAACGAGTTGAAAACTATTATACAGCTGACAAAATCTTCATCATCGTCTGCGCGATGATAGCAACGGTTTCCGAAGAAACCATATCTTCCATATATTCAAAGTCGCACGTCGTATGTTGTTTCTCTTCGGTGAACTCAATCAGAAGTGGGAACTTTGCACCTGTTGTTTTCAACACTCCAGATTCCACCTCGACGCCAGGGAGTGAAAGATTGTTTGCGTTGGAGTCCTCCTTTCTGTTATACACAACCATCACTTGGAAGATTTCGTCTTCTCCAGCAATCTTCCGAATGTCTTTGAGAGGAATTGAGTGCATCAGCGCATTTTGTATCGATGTTCGCACCGTTTTTATCAGACTTTCAAATTCGTTCAAACTTCCATCGACGCGCACTGGTAGGCGGTCAAGGAAGCAGCCCAGAAGGCTTTCGGTGCCAGGCTCAGTGCGATCAACATGCGGTATGCCAACGATGACATCTCGGGTCCCTTGAACATTTGCAATCGCTTTTGCAACGAGAGCGACATAGACTTCCATAGATCCAAAGAAGCTTGGTGAGGTTCTCAGTACAATAGACTGTGAGTTTCCGGCATAGGTTCTCGAACCCTGCCCAAGCGATTCAAATGGAGGGCTGGGTAAATTCAGTAGGTGGTCTCGCCAGTATGGAGCATGTTTGGACAGCGGTGGTTGGTTATACTTCTGCCATTGAGCCCAAATGGTGTAATCTGGAGTCTCATGTGCAGGAGAGGTGACATCTGTTTGAGGATCACTTTCCAGGGACCGGCGATACTCTTCCTGTACCTTTTTCAGAAGCAAATTTATGGATGCCTTGTCGGTAACCGCGTGATGTTGCACAATAACAAGATCGACCCACGAAATGTTTTGGTTAATCATGATTCTGGTCAATGGACCAGATGAAAGATCGAATTTTCGATTGGCGAAGCTGCTGATTGGGGGATTGGGGATCTTGTCCACGATCATCTCGGAGGAATCATGAGATTGGCCACGTACGATTTGACCATCGACATCTTTGAAACAGCTTTTGAGAACTGGTTCACTGGAAATAACTTTCTCGATGGCTTTCTGGAAGAATTCCAGGTGAAGGTCTCCTTTCAGTCGCAGATGAGAGGCCACATTGAAAGCTTGAGGTGTGGGCGACGAGGCCGACAAGTGGAAAGCCTCTTCCTCGATGTTGGAGGTAGCTGTATATGGTGGCTTAGCCGTTTGCCAGGATGAAGAGAAAGACCGCTGGGTATACAACTGGTCTTCATCAGATATATGATCAGTTATCTCTTTGCACAACGCCGACAGCACGGTGTTGAAGATAAAGAGCCCCATCGGCAGCTTTGTGTTCAGTATTCTACTGGCAATCTGAGCAGCTTTTATCTGGGAAAGGGAATTGCCTCCCAGTGCCAAAAACTCCGACTCTTCGCCAATTTCGACAGTTTCAGGAAGGCCGATTGCCTCACGCCAAACCTGGGCTACCAGAGACTGAGTCGGCGTCAGTGGATCTGGGCTTTGTCGTTTTTCCAGATTCAAATGGGACTGCAATGCCTTGCGGTCAAGTTTTTGGTTTGGCATCGTTGGTAGAACAGAAAATGCCACGATGGTCGAAGGGCAAGCATATCTGGGAAGCTTCGTTCGGAGGGCCTCGTGAAGACCAGGGATATTAATATTATCTGGCTCAACAAATGCAACAATGTTATCGCCACTAACAAGGGCCACCGCCCGGCGAATTTCTGCACAGACTGTGCGAATGGCGTTTTCAACCTCGCTCAATTCGACCCGGTAGCCTCTTATCTTGACCTGATTATCATATCGCCCCAAAAATTTCGGCTCCATATCCTCTGTCCACACGGCACAGTCCCCAGTGCGATACATGCGGTGTCCAGGCACAAATGGATCCGGAATGAAGCGAGTTTGCGAAACTGATTGCATTTCAGCTCCGATGTAACCATTAGCAACTTGGATCCCACTCAGACAGATCTCACCAGGCACACCGATGGGAACTGGCTGATTTCGCGAATCAAGTAGGTAGACTCCAACGCGAGGAATCGTTCGCCCTAATGTGACTTCTTCATGTGGACTGAGAAGCTTGAACAAGCACCCAATCGTGCACTCGCATGGCCCATACGAGTTGTAGACAGCTTTAGTTCCTGCCCAACGGTCTGCAAGAACTTGGGGCACCGCTTCTCCGGCAAAAAGAATGGTGTCAATATTCGGATAGTCAGAAGGTTCCAAAACCGAGAGGAAAGACGGTGTGATCATGGTCGCGTCAACCCGTGAAAGATGGGAAAATGGATCCACTGGATCGGCCAAGACGAGAGTAGCTCCATAGCAGAGTGTTCCAAAAATCTCCGCCTGGTTGACATCGAATCCGGGTGAAAACATTTGTGAGTGTCGTCGACCTGGGCGAGCATCCATGCGAGCAGGTCCATAAGACAAATATGAGACCACTGCTCGATGTGGGATTTGAACACCCTTGGGAACGCCTGTGGATCCGGATGTGAATGTGATGTATGCAAAATCTTCTCCCATTGTTACTGTCTCAAGTCGGGGACACATAGTCGGGACCGTATCCCCCAGGAGTTGATGCAACAGGATATTGTGTTGGAAAATATCTTGAAATTTAGCCTGACAGTTTTCGTTGGGAAAGATGCACAGTTTCACCCTAGCCGACTTAACCATGATGCGCATTCGCTCAATGGGTAATTTTGTATCAAGTGGGACATAAATAGCCCCGGATTTGATCACAGCAATGACGGAAATGAGCCATTCAATGCCACGGTCGCTGATTATCCCAACAGCATCTCCAGGGCAAACGCTGGCTGCAATTGTTTTGGCAACATAATTTCCCAATTGATCGAGCTCCCGATATGTGATACTGCGAGATGTGGATTCAATTGCCACTGTATCTGGCCACTTATCGACACCAATCTCAAAACTGTCCTTGAGATTAGATGGTCCCACATACGGGCTCATAAAAGTGGATGAATTGGTAGTCAGGGAAAGAAGCTCAGTTGGCTCCAACATCCTTCCGCACACCTGGGATATTGTCTGACAAAGCGGATCAAGCAATGCGACGAAAATGTTTCGGAAATGTATGATCATGCGCTGGATTACCGGTCTAGTATACATTGTCTGGTTGTATAAACCATGGAACGTGAGACGGCCTCCTTCTCGACGGATGAGGACGGTTAATCCAAATTCTGGAACGTCGGTACGGGAGAATTTCCAAGTGGAGTCTTCAAAGCCTGGCAAGTTGTACTCTAGGAAAAGGGCGGTCTGGTACACCCTGGTGTGACTTCCGGGCATAATGGTCTGCAATGCTTCTTGTGCAGACCACTGGTGAGAACCAATGTCAAGCAGCAGGGTCTGCACGCTCGAAAGGAAGTTCTGTTTGCTTTTGTGATCCAAGAGGCTCATTGGGAAGGGGCAAGTATTCAGCGTCGGGCCCACAAGGGAGTCAATCCCGTGGAGAGGGAAGTCGCGGCCTGAGAACACAGTTCCAAACGTGATCTGCTCTTGTGCTGTATAAGACCGTAGTAGAAGTGCCCAAGCAGCATGTATCATTGCAGCCGATGTAACATTCTGAGTTCGACATATCTGCTCAACTTGGTCTAATTCAAGCTCAACGTTGACAGTAGTAATACCAAAACGTTGCTCTTCCATTCCCTCATTCGGCTTAGGAAGGCTCAATGGCACAGCATCGGCGACCTTGGAAAATGCTTCCTTCCAAAAAGCCACTTCCTTATCCTGTGGAAGCTGAGACCTTTGTGATAAGCTTCGCGAGAACTGCCAGAATTGAGCAGGTGTGTTCTTCAGGGTTCCACCCTCCAGAAGCGTTTGAACTTGTTCGATGATGTTACTCATAGACCAGCCATCAATCAAACTATGATGAACAAGCCATAGCAAATGTGCATTGCTCTTGCTCTCGTTCACAAGAAGGCGAAAAGTGTTAAGAGGACGGAAGACATTACTATAATCGACATGTCCCGTGCTTTTCATCAGCTCGTCGGAGTGATTCAGGAGAGCTAATGGTGCATCTTCATCAGTCACAAAATGTGTTTCCCAGTCATGATGATAAGTAGAACCAACTTTCTGTTTCCCCTCAGTGAGATCAAAAGTCGTTCTGAATATGGAATGCTGCTCTAGAACTGCTTTCCAGGCATTGCAGAATATGTCACTGTATTCCGTGGTGGAATTCCAAGGAAAGGCGATGGTGACCAGCATATAGCTCGCCGCTGAAAACTTAATGGAAGATCGAATCATTCCCATCTGTGTTGTCGTAATTGGGGACGTAACGGAGGAATCGCTATGGACGGTGTCCCACAAGGGCGCCAATGGTTCCTCTTCCGGCGCATCAGCTTTTTCCAGGAGCTCAGACAGGAGGACCAGAGAAATCGGTGTGAATAACCCCTGAAAGTCCACTGTGTAACCTCCTTTCCTGAGAATCGACAATAGTTTGATAGCAAGGAGAGAGTTTCCACCAAGTTCCCAGAAGCTGCAAGAAGTACCCACTGAGCCAGTAGAATGCCCCAATGCTTCGGCAACCGCTTCTTGAAGAATTTCCAACCGAGTGCCGCTCGTGGTGTTAGAGGAAAATTTGGTAGAAATGCTCTCAAAAGTGTCTCGCAACCTTTTCAAATCGACTTTGCCGTTGGAGGTGCGATCTAGCTCTCGGAGGGCGATGATCTGATCAGGAACAACGAACTCATCATGTGACAGAGAGAGTTGCAGTCGCATCTCCGTGCCGTCAATGCTTTCAGGCGTGACAGCTGCCACCAATCTACCTTTGTACATCAGGGCGGCTGCCGACTGTACCTCGGGGTAGGAAGTCAAGATGGGCAGAACTTCCATGTCGATGTTAATGAGATAACCTCGGTTTTTCACCATGCTATCCTCACGTCCACAGAATATGATACCCTCTGGTACTCTGTGAGCTCGATCAAGGGTCCGGTACAATCGACGGCCTTTCCAGGTAACAAATCTCTCTGCAGTCAATGCTTCGTTTTTGTAGTACCCAGATGCCAAGCCGGGTCCACTAATACAGATCTCTCCTTCGTCAGATTCTTCGAGATGTTCGTCAAGGATGAGCATTTTTGTTTTTTTCATCGGTGTTCCTAGAACAATCGGATTTCCAGGTCGCAACTCAGCCATACTGGTACAAATAGTGGTTTCGGTTGGCCCGTAGCAGTTGAAGATTCGCCGGTTCGGACTCCACCATCTCTCGATCAAGGCTGAACTTGGAGATTCGCCGCCGAGAAAGATATTCTTGGCCCGGGAATAGGCTTGAGGATCCCCCAATGTAATAAGGAGCGAAGGCGTTGCCGGAAGGATTGTGCAATGTTTCGCGTCCTCCAAAACCCTTTCTGGTTCAGACAGGACTAAATGACCTCCATGGCAGAGGCAACTGAAAAATACACCCCAAGCAGCTGCACAATAGAGCTTGGATTAGCATATCGTGACAGAGATTCCCTGGATTTCTCGGTTCCACTTACCATCAAAAGCGAAAGAGAACAAAAGCAGAATTTTGTCGTCTCGACCAACTCCCAAGTTGAAAGGCATGCCTCTGTCCCATCCTTGCAGAACATAGTTCTCAACACATCGACGTGGAATAACAACACCTTTCGGGCTCCCGGTTGTCCCCGAAGTGAAGATAATATAGGCTGGATGTTCAGAATCACCGGGAGTGTCGAGATCTCTGGTGATTGTTGGAATTTCGGTCTCGGTAAATGAGGCATTGTAAGTCAAGCGAATGGTATCTGCTTCAATCACCGAGTAACGCGCAGAATTGAGTCCTGTCTTTTCAGACTTGACCACAACTTTTGGCTCGACGGTTTGCAGAACTGCATCGACTCTCTGTTGGCTCCAAGAGCTGGCATCCATAGGCACCAGGCAGGCACCCAGTCGCATCAACGCCAAAATCGATGCCACGCTCTCCAAAGATCTTGAGAGAAATATTGGGATTGAATCTCCTGTCCGGATTCCATGAGAATCAAAGAGCGCGGCTAGGAATAATGAGGCTTTGTCGAGCTTTTCGTAGGTCAAGCTTCGGTTTCCTTGAGAGACAGCAATCGAGTTCGGCTGAACATCAGCATTTGCCTTGATTAGAGCACATATCGACCGAAGCCGGTGGTCTTCCCCCGAAACGGCTGGTGACTCGGGTGTAGCGTGTGGTGTCATATTTGATAGGCGGGTCGATTTCCAGTAGACTTGCGTTGAGAAAGGCTGGGGTCTTAGTTAAACCCTCTGTATTCTGGACTTTGCCAAAATATTACTTTGCCAACGGCGACTAAGCTTCGGCGGATATTTTTCCCAATTAGCCGGCCAAGGTTCTCCAACTACCGCGCGTGAGCCTTTCGTTCTTTTGACAAGACTCCGGTTTATAACACCGTTCAAAATCTCCGGCATACAGTCTCTTTTCAGTTCCTAAAATTATGTATCGTCTGGCAGAAACACATCGAAAGTCCAACTTGTCATTCACTATTCTAAGTAGGCCTCTAATTCGTGTTTAACCAAACAGCGGTTTCTGTCCCTGAGCCTCCGCCGCAATCGCTGTGGAGACTCCCATCCCAGCCAGGGAGCCCGAAAAGATGGCATGGGGAACATTTTTCATCAGTCCACAGTTGTCACCTGCCGCAAATACACCCTTGACGGTGGTTTGGTAGAAGGGAGGGGCTATTTTGATATCACCGCTAGGTGTCAGCTCCAGGCCAAGTTGCTCTGCGAAAGAACCGCGGGGTTTTGTATCGGGAGTGTGCGCAAGGAATCCCTCCGTCACGCTACTTCCATCTTCAAACTCGAGAAGTATACTCGCCTTCTCGTCTTGTTTGGACAGGCTCTTGATTTTGCGAGAATCGACCTTCATGACAGTTGAGGTCCCAAATCCTTCGCTCACTGCTTTAGCGAGATCCTCAGAGCCGTTTGTGTAGATTGTCACGCTTTGACTAAGTGTTGATACCTGTCGGGCGACGTGCAGGGCCGAGGGGGGCTTGGAAAGTCCGCCAATGGCAAGCACACCAGCGGAAGTGCATCCTCGCTCTTCGTAGCCTTTACAGAAAAGACAGTGGAATCTAGTAGGATGATCAGTTTAAATCGGCTCACTATATCTATGGGTATGTTGGTTGCATCTCACATTCCCTTGCCCCAGCACTCAGCATAGCCCGGGATATCGGGGAAGACGTCCTCGACACCGTTGCACAGAATGATCTTTTTTCCGTTCCACATGTTTCCAGTCTCATCGGTCAGAGAGAAGCCTCCTGACTCGTCCTTTCGCACGCTAGAAACGGCTTTATTCTTGAACTGGACATGGTCATAGTTCGAGAGAATATTGTTCCTGGCTTTCTCTCGATATTCCGAGGGTTTAACATGATCAAATCCAGGAATTAAATGCATATAGTCTGCGGGGTCATTTCGATAGGTTCCAGCATCGAAAACGATTGAATTCTGTTGTTGACGAGCCAGAGTGAGAGCCGCGGTAAGGCCTGCTGGGCCGCTACCAATGATGAGCGCGTCTGCTGAAGTTGCCATTTCGGATATTGAGTTTGACTTGGTGATCAGAGGAATTTTTCGTTTGGTGTACGATTTTTCTGTCGAGAATGTCAGAGAGAGCTAACTTCGTGCTACCGGCACATCTATCAAGTATGGTCCAAGTGGCAGGATTCGGAGGTTAAAAGCCGACATAGTGCCCGGCGGACATTAAGTTACGTAGGATAGCCCTCGATAGCTCCCATTTGTCAGGTTCATCGGGCCTATCGCATATGCGAGGAATATCTAGCGCGCATTGCACGTCACCAAGGTCCCCGTAATCTATCCGAGGTAGGTACCTTGGACGACACTGACATCCAATCAAGCATGGCGTCTCTACTTGGGATTTGGATTTTCTTTGCTGTTCGCTGGTGGTATATGCTGCTCACTTCTATAGTATGACCGTGTCGAGATTTCCGTCCCGCCCTTAGCGATATTCATTTGAACGCACCTACTTGCCGGTAGTGTCTAGTTTGTAATTTTTAATACGTGGAGTTGTGTGGTTGAAGAACCTTGGAATATTATTGACAGGATTTATCATTCTCATATATCGTATATGTGTTCTAAATGCTAAAGCAAGCCTTTCAAGATTGCCTGTCTCACGTTGTGCTGTAATTATCTAGCTTCAGGCTTTTGGCCCCAAACGAAATACACATTAAGGGCGACGTGATGTTCGTCCATCTCCTTGGCAAACCGCTCGGGCAAAGTCTTCCATTCTTCTTCAGTCATTCCAATCATCTCAGGCCTAGATCTCGTTAGATATTGTTTTCTTTAAAGCTTCCCCAGTGCGAACTTACTTGGCCACCGATTGGAAGAATCCCAGAACCGACAACATGTTGCGTTTTCCTCGCGCTCCGAGTTCGGGATCGGAATTTGAGGAGCCAGCAACCATTTCAATTGCCTTGTATCCCACATTCACGAGTCCTTCGTCATTCAATCGACCCGCAAGCTTTGTTGAAGCGAGTGGGTCTGAAACCACCGTACTGGTCAATTTATGGACCGCCTGGACAGCCGGGCATGACTCGATGGGCTTGGAAACCGGAGTCTGGAAGTCCATTTCAACGAGTTGAATCCAACCTCCCGGCTTCACGCAGCGTATCAGGTTGCGAAGTACGAGTGGAACTTCTTCGGTTTTAAACAACGGGATGACGAATCGTTGGTGGACGAGGTCGAAACTGTCTTTCCACTCGGCAGGAAACTCTTCAACCAGGTTTTGCTTCACAATCTGGAATTGAGAGCTGTCCTTGAGAGGCGGATATCCTTCGGGACTTCGAGGTACCGATTGTGAGCTTATCTTATGCAAGATATCATGACACAAGGTTGGACTTGTAACTTACGCGTTGTCAAAGCCAACAAACTCTGCATCTTTGGGGAAAATAGACTTGACATCCTGCATCCAATAACCTAGAGAGTATTAGCATCATCAATTCAACATGCAGAAACTGGTCCGATACCATCTGCTGTGGCGGCGTCGAGAACTCGTAAACCCGAACGGTTCAAGTCAATTGGTGCCAGGATCAATCCATTGGCACCTCCTTTCAGCCACTCGTGCTGGTTTTGCATCCGCTCAGCTTCCTCCAAGTTCCGTGGAAGGAAATATCTGCTTCCGACTTCTTCGACATTCTTATCAACGGCCTGGGCTTGGCTGGAGTCTGTCATGATGCTTTGAGTTTTTTGGTTGATATCAAGTTTCGACAATTTGTGACAAGTCAAGAAACCTTTTAGTATAGGGAGTGTGCTAAGTTATATAAATATTTCATCCATATCTTAATATACACCACCTATTCAGGGTGCTGTGGGTACAGCCTCTTAGAGCCATTATCGTAACGTTCACCAGGGGATTTGGAGAGGCCGGAGAGTAATCGGACCCAAAAAAAAGCATCTTGAATTCTCCGATATCCATCACCTTGGCCAATGTGTACAGTGGCTTCCAGGGAGCGGAGAATATTAAAGGGGTGAGAGTACCCTTGAGGCCAGGCCCGTAGATAACTAAGTCACCGAAGCTGAGTCATCGATATCCCTTCCCGCAAGGTTCGGAGCGGGGGTGGGGAAGCCCCACTTCGATGAATACTAACCAATCAGAAAGGTTGGTACTGCCAAGGTGCTCGTTCAGAAATTGTTTGCACTGTATGCACCGTTTGCCCTGTTTGTATGACGTCTCCGTGATTCATCTGAGAATTTCTTTCACATGGATCCAAGTCATCCGTCCAACTTCAACCGTCTGACTTCCACGCACACAAACACCAACGGGAGCACTCTTCAATTCAGGGAAGCCATCTGCTTCAACCGAGGAAGTTTTCCATGCGGTACAGAACGAAACTCCAGCCAGTGCTTACGTGCCTCGATTCTCAAGTTGTGGTGGAGTGAACCCGATTGTCCAAGGATATACCCTACTTCTTCTAGGGCTCCTCTCTCATCGTCGCCATCTCATCTCGCTGCAAGACACAAGTGCTTGTGATGCTCCCTCTTGAGGATAAACCTATCCAAGTGATTCAAAATTTATATTATCGAAAATATGCCCGCCAAATTTCAAATGAAGATCATGGATGCGTTCAGAGACTAATGCATCAGCGCGGGTGTTTGTTCAGATGATATGGGAAGGGCTTGCTCGACGTGCTCGACTACTACTTTCTTTCCACTATCGATATAGAGCCTCTGCTTCCTGTGATCGGACCTTCGCTCATTCGAGGTCAGCTCCGAGAGCTTCCTGCAGCTTCCACGGAAGAGAATATCTCATCCAGAGAGAGAAAGCAGAACAAAGAATAACCTTGCAGAATTACTATTCCTCTACCTCATATGTGTTGCTTGCGTATTCTACCTACTTTGAATTCATTTCTATTGCCTAGTACGGCACCCAAAATGGGCGAAAGAAAATTCATACAAATTATCTGGAGATAATGCATGTCCCCTATGGCAGAAGTTTCATTTTTCATGCCGATCACCACCATGCCTGCCATCAACCTATCTAGGAATGCAATTTTTGTATATATCCTGACGTGCGCTGAAGTCTCGAATGGTAACACCCAAAGTAGGTTGCTTCTATTAACGATACGGTATGCTACTTTTCTCAAGGCTACAGCTAGTTTCAATTCATCTCTTTTTGGTCAATTCGCGAATAAAGATCTTCGCCCCCAAGGTCTTCAACTTTAAGAATGATCCACAAGGTCCCCCGAAGACTAAAAGATACCTTTCTAATTTTTTACATTTCCTTTCGTTTCTTAAATTAACAACATCAAGTGTGGCTTGAATTTTGATATGTCTAAATCTCCAGAGTGCAAGTCCCGTCATGCTATGGATATAGATGCCAATGAGGGTTGCGACAACAGGTATTCTTACCACAATCGAAGAACGTATGTTCCCTCACCCCAGTTGGATCTTGAATTTCCTCGCTGGATCATTTATTTAACGAGTCAATAGAGCGGATTTTCGAGTCTTACCCCTCCTAGTATTGGGGTTTGCTAGCTATCAGCTTGACAGAACCAACATTGCCAGCGCACTCACAGGGAATTTTGCATCATTCATATCCGTCAACCAAAACATTATTAATTTCGGAAATCAACTGATGTTCCTGGGTGTTATTATACTTGAGATTCCATCAAATATTATTCTACACAAGGTATGTCGCATCAATTTCCGGATGATTCCGTCTGATTGAGTTGAATTAGATTGGGCCTCGCCAATGGATCAGTGGACAGGTCTGCATCTTCGGCATAATCGCATGTTTGCAAATATTTGTGCGCAATAAGTTGGGCTTCCTACTCACTAGAACATTTTTGGGTCTTGCCGAAGCTGGGTATATCCCCGGTGCAATGTATACTCTTTCCACCTGGTATACCAAGGAAGAATTGACAAAACGTATCGCCATATTCTTCTTTGGTATGTTTGGCGGAACCGCTATTTCTCCGCTTCTTGGGGCTGCTTTTTTGAAACTGGACGGGAAAGGTGGTCTCTTTGGCTGGCAATGGATCTTCCTCGGTACGATTGGGGCTGGTCCTTCAAACGTCGAAATATGCTAACAAATATGTAGTCGAGGGTTTATTCTCCGTTGCGGTATCATTCGTTCTATTTTTCTTTCTTCCTGAACACAAGAAAGTCCCTGTGTCGACCGATGAAGTGAACATTTCGGAGTCTGGAGGACTTCGCCTAACGGAGAAACCATTGGCCCATCCTGGCAAAACGCACATATCACTTAGCTTGGTTTGGAAGACATTGACAAGCTTTCAAAAATGGCCGCATTTTATTGCCACGGGCTGTGTCTTCGCTACCTGGAGCCCTCTGACAACATATACCCCAAGCATTTTCATGGAACTGGGGTTTCCCCGAGTTAGGGCAAATGCATTGTGTGCAATCGGAAGTTTGCTCACTCTCCCCGTGATTTTGGTTTTTGCGTGGATCAGCGACAAATCGAATAAGAGGGGCCTTACCGTCATCGTTGCTATCTTCGTGTACTTGATCGCGTTGGTAATTCTAAGAATCGCAGTTCACCATGTGGATAAATGGGGCAAGTTCGGCCTCTGGACAACAGTCAATGCCCTGGCTGTGGGCTATCATCCAATTCACAATTCTTGGATCCAAATCAACTGCAAGAGCTCTGAAGAAAGGAATATAAGTGTTGCGTGAGTAAAACCTGTCCTATTGGGCGTTCTTCGGACAGATCAGCTAACACTCCTTCAACATATAGAATGTGTAAGACTACTACCTCTATATCAGACAGGCTTTTTCTTTACTAACTCAATGAAGTCGTCATGTCAGCTACAGCGGGGCTCATGGCAGGAACCCAGATATTTCGGGCGGACGAGTCAGCTATATTGTAAGTCCTATACTTGCGGATTATACCCCATTCGTACCACTAATGCTAAATCTATTAACCTTGTAGTTATCCAAGAGGGGTGTCAATTATGATTGGACTACTAGTTTTGGGACTGATTCTTGTATCCCTACAAATCTCGATATTCTGGATCCTAAACAGGCGTATCAAAGCAAAAACTGGCAACGGGGTCTTGAACATTCTATAGTGGCCAGGATAGCGGTCTTGTCGGGTGACATTCTCACATATATGATCAGATGCGATGTTTAAAAATTTACAATTGACTAGTAGTTATGCAGGGATAAATCGACTTGAACCATCTACGTACAAGTTCTATATTTTGGCTTCTAACCTACTCATGGTTTGGGAGTAATTAGGTTTGTGCAGGTAAACGACAACGTCTCATATTCTATAACGCAAAAGGCATATGTTTGATCCTCGATATATACAAAGAAAATAAATTATGCACAATAATGCAACCCAGTACTCCAGACCTAACATGATATCGTGTCGTGCAAGGCCATCATGCCAAATGCGAATCCGGAATCCAAAAGAAAAGTCAAATATTGCCTTTCTGCTTTTCTTTTCCAAAAAAAAAAACCTTGACCCTCATGCGTTCTCTGCGTGTATGGTTCCCTCTGACTTCCGACCGTAAGGGTTCTCATCCGCAATCCAGTCCTGGTGGCGTTCGGGAATCTCGTAGCTGCTGCTCTTCCAGGGAACAACCTTGTTGACATACATCCAGTCAAGCTCCTCAAGTGTACGGCCCTTTCCTTCAATAACGAAGAAATAGACGACGCCGATAGCCACGAAAAGGCAACCAGCGAAGACGTATCCATAGGCAAAGTCGATGTCCTTGGTGATGAAAGTTGTGAAAAAGCTGATGAGGAAGTTCCACAGCCAGTTCGTTGCAGTAGCTAAGGCCATACCCTTGGCACGGTACTTTGAGGGGAAGAGCTCTGCGACAATCGCCCAAACCATGGGACCCCAGGTCATAGCATATGCCGCAATGAACAAGCAAGCGACGACAATCATACCCTTGCCAGCGTTGGGGGTATTGGTAGGTGTTTCCACATCCAGAACGAAATGGCCGATGGATGAGAAGATCATAAACATGATAAACATCCAGATGGCTCCGTAGATCAGGGACTTGCGACGACCGAAATTTTCCACGACATATAGGCCGCCAAATGTAGTTCCAAAATTCACAGCACCAAGGATACACTGGGTCACGAAGCTGTCCGAGAGACCAGCGCCTTCGAAGATAGTGGTACCCTATCAAAGAAATCGGTGTCAGCAATTCCTCGCACCAAGATCCCAAAATAGAAGAAAAGGCTTGTGTAGGAACTTACGTAGTAGAAAAAGTAGTTAGCACCGCTGAGCTGCTGCAGTGACTGCAGAACCATGCCAAGGACAATACGATAGAACATGCGGGGGGCAGTGAGGAATTCATCCCACTTCTGGCCCTCAGACTCCGCTTCAAACTGCTCACGAATCTCGTTCATTTCTTCCAAGATGCGGACATGGTTCTCTGGGATGCCGTAGAGCTTGGCCAGGGTGCTTTGGGCACTCTCGGCCTTTCCGTGGCGAAATTCATAACGTGGGCTTTCCGGGAAGAAGATCATACCGCCTCCGAGAATCAGAGCGAAGACGAAGGTGATACCGAGAGTGATACGCCACTGAGCAGTGCCATCCAGAGTGTGAGTACCCAGGTTGATGCAGTAGGCCAAGAAAATGCCGAGAGTAACAAACAGCTGGTAGCAACTGATCATGGCACCCCGGATGTGACGAGGTGCACTTTCACCCTGGTACATGGGCACGAGCAGCGAGCAGCCACCAACACCAAGACCAGTGACCCAGCGGCCAACAACCATCTGGTACCAATGGCCATCGGGAGAGGTAATTTGAACGATCAAACCGACGTTGAGGATCATACACCAGAGGGTGATGGACCACTTCCGGCCCAATTTATCGGCGACGGGGGCTCCGACCAGGGCACCGATCATGGTACCGATGGACAACAAGGCGACAATGAGACCGGAGCGCACGGTGCTGAATTTATAGGAACCATCGGCGCCAAGCTCACCATACCGCTCCAAGTAGTTGCTCATTTCTTGGAAGCCAGAAATCTGACCTGTGTCATATCCAAACAGCAGACCACCCATCGAGACAAAGAGGGCCATCACCAAGGACCGCATGGTTATCCGAGGGATTGGGGTATCGATACCCACGGGTCGCATGTGTTTCTCCATAGGACTATTTTGAGGGGACGACTCGAGGCTTGGCTGTTGAGCCTGTGTGATGGACTCCCCATGGTGGGGGAACGATTCGGCACCCATAGTTTAGGTTAGGAAAGAGGAAGTATGTATCTGACTGTCCTGACGTGTGATATTTCGAGTTGTATTTAAGAGATACAATGGACTAGGAGACCAGCTCAGAAGGAATATGAAGAAGAGTAGAGGAAAACAAACCCATGGGGAAGAAGAAAACTCGGGGAAGATGGGGGAATTGGGGGCCTTTTGTAATCCATCAATCAAAGGGTAGAGAAGAAATTTAAACCCAGAGTCGAAGTGGGGAGAGAATTGTGGAGAGGCAAGTTGCGCGAGATGACGATGCTCATGGCTAGGTAGTACTTCATAGTATAAGGTAGGGTGGCAGTCAACAATGCAGCAGCAGACGGCTCGCACAGCCACCCCACCAGGGGAGGAAGCCATACAGGGCAGGTTCCAGTGATTCCAAGTGGGATAGCCGATGTGGTCGGCATAGGCCGGCAAGTGGCGGATTCAAGCTTATAGGCCAAGGCCGTGCCGAACTAATTCGGGATCAGATACTTTAGTCGGGGCCGAGAAAGAGACTGTACATCAGTTGCTGGATACGGCGATAAATTTTGAATCTGGAGAAATCATCCATGGACAGTGGGGCAAATAGAAAACCCGGCTAACCCCAGGCCCTCGGGTTCTCTCCGGATCGAAGAGAAATTCATTTCCTAATCGGTATGCCGGTGAAAACAGGAGAATTATCATCTCCAGACATGGGGGTTAGGGGAAATGCGGAGTCTGGGGATATGCTACGGAGCACCAACCTGAGATATTACGACTACTTCACTAGAATAACATTATTCCTTGACAAATGCCCCATCTCCTCCGTTTAAAAGCTTATAAATAAAGCCTAATCCCACTATCAATCCCAAACATCGGCAAAATAAACATCGGCATCCTCATGTTGATATATCCCGATGCGGGGGTCCGTGGGCGGGTTTACGGGGTCTTACATAATATCAAGCCCCGCCTGGGCACACCTTTATTGAATTTTCAATTCATTTCCAATTCAAATGCTTTCTCGCACTTTTATTTGTGGCACTATTGATTCTTCTACCGATTGTCCTCTAACTCATAATATATGCTACGGGACACCATGCAGTGACCTCTATCAACTCTAGGACTTTGAGAAATATGTGTGCCCCAGTTGTATACATAAGACTGCGCCTTCCCGATGCCGACTTCCGAGGTCGTCAGTGGCGGGCATCGGAGGCGCCACACCCGTTACCCTAGGTCTTACGTCATTGAAGAATTTTCAATTCTTTTTTTTTATTTGACCGTAATTTTCATTGAATTGATAATCTCGTACGTAATTTACATTAAGCTCATAATTTTATGTAATTTGCATTAATTTGAGGATCTGTTTACGGAGTACTCCGTATTCCGTATGTATTCCTAACATTACTTCGGGGTACCCAATATCGCTTTGGCAACAGCAATGGCGTAAATCTCGCCTAAAGCCCAAACCCATAACGCATGCCAATGCATCCGCAACCCAAATTCCGGCATGGCTTTTCCTCATCTCCCAGGTACGGCGGCTCAAACGCCTTGACCAATTGGGACAAGCGTGGCAATTTCTCCGCGTTTGAATTGGTGCAGGACTTTCCCCGCAGTTGCAGTTGGTCTATCCAGTTCTAGATACCCCACATATGCAAGTGGGTTGGCTCCTAGACGTCGGTCCCTCGAAGGCTGAATCATTGGTATATCGCAAGCAGACTACCGCCTCGATTATTCCGCGGACGACACGGGAGGCTTGCACCATAAGCTCGATGGGAGCAATCCGTGGCCTGATATATCCTTCAGTCGATGGAAGAATTTTGATTTCCTAATCCAAGGTGGGAGTTGATCCCCGTCTTGGACCTCGATCCCCAAGATATATATATGCATTCATTCATTCAAAGCCAGATAACAAGTGCACTGCGAACTCTAGGATCACTATGAAAACACTAGCAATCTTATCATTGACTAGTCTGGTCTCTGCCGAAGCTGCTCCCTACGCTCAATGTGGTGGAACTGGCTATTCTGGCTCCACAACATGTGTCTCTGGCTGGACTTGCCAATATCAGAATGACTGGTTTAGCCAATGCCTCGAATGTAAGTGTGCTCAGATATGTTCCAATATTGTTCAGTCGATTGACACGGAAAACTCCAGATTCTGGCAGTGGTACCACCACTCTATCGGCAACGATAAGTACAACTAAGTCGACGGCTACAACAAAGGTAACCGCCACCAGTACTAGTGGGGTGGAGTTCCCCACTATAAATGGACTAGAATTTGAAATTGATGGAAAGACAAGCTACTTTGCCGGTTCCAATTCCTACTGGATTGGCTTCCTCACTAATAATGACGATGTGGATCTTGTGTTCGACCACATGGATGAATCTGGGCTCCGAATCCTCCGAGTTTGGGGATTCAACGATGTCAACACTATTCCATCTTCGGGGACTGTTTATTATCAACTACTCAAAGATGGAACTGCCACTATCAACACCGGTGCAGATGGCCTACAGCGCCTGGATTATGTGGTTACCTCCGCCGAGGCACGGAATGTGAAACTCGTCATCAATTTTGTCAACAACTGGTCGGATTATGGAGGTATGGCGGCCTATGCCACTGCTTTCGGTAGCAGCCAGACAACCTGGTATACAAATACTGCAGCTCAAACAGCCTACCGGGCTTACATCAAAGCTGTTGTTGCCCGGTATATCAATTCGCCTGCCGTCTTTGCATGGGAGTTGGCCAATGAGCCCCGCTGCAATGGCTGTAACACTTCGGTTCTTTACAACTGGATCCAGTCTACCAGTGCCTATATCAAGTCTCTAGACTCGAAGCATATGGTTGCCATTGGCGATGGTATCTAGGCCCGTAATATCTCTCCCATCATCCATTGTCTAACTCATATTATAGAAGGCTTCGGACTGGACACTGGGTCTGATGGCAGCTATCCCTACAGCTACGGCGAGGGTTTGAACTTTACGATGAATCTAGGGATTGATACCATCGACTTTGCTACATTCCATCTCTACCCCACAAGCTGTATGTATATCCTTTTCCCATGACCCTTGGTCCAGAGCTAATGTATTCGCACAAGGGGGAACCACTAACGATTGGGGCAATGGATGGATCACATCCCACGGAGCCGCCTGTGCAGCAGCTGGCAAGCCATGTCTCTTTGAAGAGTACGGTGCTACTTCCAATCACTGTAGCATTGAGGCACCATGGCAGAAGACAGCGTTGAACACCACTGGAATTGCAGCTGATCTCTACTGGCAGTATGGAGACACGCTGAGCTCGGGAAAATCGGCCGATGATGGAAACACCTTCTACTATGGCACTAGTGACTTTACCTGTCTGGTGACGGACCACGTCGCAGCCATTGACTCCTAGATGGAGCACGGAAAGAGATACAAATCCATGTCATCAGCCGGCACCGATATACTGTTCTGCCAATCTATGAATTGTATGCTCTTTGTCAAGATTTTTGATTATGATATGCAACTCAGCAGAAATAACGGTTTTGATGTGGGGTATTTATACATATGTACATGCAACTCGGTGCTTTTCTAGAATTAATTAGATTGGGCTAGTTTCAAGAGGGTATAAAGGGCTTGATGTCGCTATCGAAAGACATTTTCAATGACTGGATTCCTTCTTGGTGACTTCAGAGTAGGCTGAAGGTTCAGGGGAGGTATCATCCTGCTCCACAGCGTCGGTAGGGGGCCCGCGGTAGTTGTTATAGCCCCAGACACCATACCAGAGGGCAGCGATAGCAATGAAGCCAGCGAACACCACAGATGCATAGTTCATGCTCTCCTTGGTGACAGTTGTAAGCGTTGGCATGCAGAAAAGAGGAATTGCAAGAAGACTCCAGCCTATGATAGTTGAAGCGGTTAGTTGAAATCCATACATAAACAGATGGTTTTGTTAAAGCAACTCACCAAGAGCAATAACGTTAGCGATCAGGCCAAAGACTCCAAAGTTGAAGCTACCGTTCTTAATATCCTCTCGACCACGGAAGATCAGGGAGACGGCGATCGGGCAGGCATAGCTCATGGTCAAGAAAATGACACCAACACCCGAAAAGGCATTGTACGCAGCAGTGGAGCCAAAGTAGATCACACCGAGAAGAATTTCAACGACCATTCCCAATAATAAAGAATTGAAAGGAATGTCAAGGGTCTTGTTGACAGTGCTCCACCATTTTGATCCGGGAATGCCGCCGTCGCGGGCAAAGGCCCAAGTACAGCGAGAGGTAGCGGTAACACAACCGACACCACAAATGATGCCCAGCACAAGCAGAGGAATTAACAAACAGAATGTACCAGCTGAGTTGCCAATGGCGGCCTTGAAGATGGCGGGGGTGGGCTGGCCCGAAGCCAGATTGACCAGGTATGTGAGATCGGGAAGCACGAAGCAGACGGGGATCAAGAAGAGGAGACCGGCGATAAAGTTGATAATGATGGTTCCGACCATGGCCTTTGGGACCATGATGGCGGGCTCATGGACCTCCTCGCAGAGACTAACAGAGACCATATATCAGCATGTGGAACAGCCGACTTGGAGAATTCAAAGGTGCCAAGACTCACGAGATAATCATGCCGGTCGCCGATGTGGCGTAGGCAGCCTGCAAGAGACCAATGAAGAACGACCATCCCGCGGGCCACCCAGCTTGACTTTCAAAGTGACCAAAAACCCATGCGGCATTGTGACGCCCTTGCTTGGCGACAGCCAACAGGCAGACGACAATGGCGAGTAGACCGGCCATAGTCCAGAAAATAGCGAATGTCTAAAAATGATGATCATCAGTATGATTACCCCACGGGGCAAAGGGGCACGTGCGACACATACCTCCAACCACGGCAACCATTTGTTGCCAAACGCCGAGATGGAGTGTGTCAGGAAGGTAATGGCCAAGAAGATCAGGAAGATATGCCAGGCCTGGAAATCATCGGTGATTCCGACGCCCGGTGATTTTTCAAAGACATCCAGACAGGCCACGAGGAGCAGGGCAGTTCCAAAATTGACAGCGAGGGTAATGGTGATGTTTCCTGCAACGTAGGACCAGCCACAGATCCACGACGCAACGCGACGACACCACAAGGGCGACAAGACAAAGGTTTGATAGTAGACACCACCTGCAGTCGGGTAGACCGAAGTGATTTCCGCCAATGAGATAGCCACGCAGAGAATCAAGAAAGAGATGATCACCCAACCCCAGATGACATTGGCCGGCCCACCTGCGGCGAGTGGGTAGTATAGAGTGGTCGACAAGCCATAGGGCACTGAAGAGAGAATGAAGCACATAAAGGTGACTTGCCAAATCGATCGATTGCGAGCCATCTCAGGCTTGTATCCCATATCCTCCAGGGTGCGATCCGCATTGGTGGTGCTCACACCCTGTTCGACGGTCACCCCGGAGGGATGACTGAATCCATCGGCAGCCATAGAGAGAATGAAGTTATTGCGATAGGTTTCGGATCTGCATACGGTGCAGATTGGTTACATATAATCGGGACAGTATTCGAGAATGGGAACAAGAGAGAAATAAGAAATATAAAAACAAAAAGGCAGCAAATAAAGAAAAAACGAAAAAAAAGAAAAGCGCCACTCCAACGGCAAAACATGGAAAAAAAAACCCAAAAGAAATAATATGACCGGCATATTTAATGCAAGGCGAATGAAATCCACCCCGATCCACATTGACCCACCCGGCTCCACCCAATCCCCACCCGCATCCACAGGACACGAGCGCGATTAACTTTGAGCCAGTCAATGCGCGTGGAGGGACAGGGAGATTGTTGGCACGGCCAATCAGACTGCTTCTATAATCCAAAACACGACTAGTGCGGTCCTTGTTTCGAAGCTTTCAAGAAGGAACACCGGGGGGTTGTGGTCTCCGAGCTGACAAAGACCAGACGGAGCCCTAACTAAGAGTACATACATACCTGGGGCTAACGGGCTGGATATTCTGTCAACATCCCCTGACCTACCAAGGTACTACTCCGTAGTTGTCTCACCTCTAACTCTATACAAATACGGAGTCCTTAGTGTGGAACCACCCGTTGACATGATGTCGGAGGCGCTGGAGGTGCCAACTTCTGCCAGAGCCGAAATGGTAAGGCAAATGAGAACCTCATGATTTTAAATATTGGATGTTTTCGTATCTACAATATAGGCATCAGAGGCCCAGATTCAGATAGCAACCAGAATGGACGCCCGTAATACCTTCTCCGTATACAGTTAAAAGATCCCCCTGATTCTACCTGCTTCCCGATATCAGCCGTGTTCCCACAGGCCATCCCGCAAGTATAGAGATAGCCTCAATTAAAAGGGGGCACAGGCTTTCGGCGCAAATCTTTCATTGGCCACGGCTATCTTGGCTGCAAATTTTTACTCAATTCTTACGGTGTACTCCGCAGGGGCAAGAAGTATGGCAATTTTCAAAATTCACAAATCAGATGGTAACTTGGAATGCTGAGAGTTCACCTTCTGAAAAGTCTAGGCAGAAATCAAAGTGCGCGCTTTCTAATTCCCTTCCAATGAAAAACACCACAGATATGGGGCCGAGAGAATGTCTAACATCATACGGGGTACGCATATCCATAGTCGCAACAAACGGGTGGCACTACTCCGTACAGTAGTTAGCGACATTGTGGATGCCTAAGGTGTCGGACCTCGGAGCTTTTCAATGCTGATATTATTTCCGCATCTTCGTGGGCCTTCATAACGTGCATAACATTATTCATTCCACGCCTTCTGACCCTGTGTGAAGAATTCCATTGAAGTCAACCCTCTGGCGCCCATTCAGGTCCATGGCTTGCTGCCAAGCGTGTCATACACCCCAAAGTACTCTTTCCAGTGTCTCGTCTACGTCAACCATCACAATCATACAGAGGCGACGTATGCAACTTGCGAGCCGTCATTATTACGGCTTCCCAGGATTGATGTGTTGGTCGTGTAGTGTGCAGAGCTACCTCGACTGATACAGACCGTACAAAGCCATATCAAATTCTATCCTGCGGTCGCTAATTTATAAAATGCCCAGGTTTAGAGCACAACCCAACTTTTCAACAATTCGACTCATTTCTGCATGCGCTAGGAATCTCGCCCTAGGTGATATGGATCTTTTGCTCCAGTGAAACAGATGGATGACGACGTCGAACTACTGGGACGGTCGGATTTGTGCGCTTCGTGTCGGTCTCGGGGCAGGTGGAGACGAGTGTGTCCATGCTTATAGCCTTGGATGGGCAATCAAATGCAGACAATAGGCCTTTTATACAGACTGGGTTGTAAATTTCGAACAATAGTAGATCCGGACTCTAAATGTCGAAGGTTTCGTCTCGGTCCGCGGTGGGGGATGTGGGGATCTTGACATGAGGGAGAAAATTGTGGGGGAAGCCGGGGCTTGAATTTATATACGGAGTACATGGACTCTCTTTGCACGACATTTAAAATCTATCATTGGATTGCGAGGATAAAAGCTCGCCTGGGAATGACAAGATATAGAGCAATCCCATCTCGCGAAGTAAAATACTTACCCCCTATAGGCTCTGCATGTGATTCTCCACGTAGATCCTGATAGCGTTAACTTAAACTATATTTTGTAAATGTATCATTGTATAGCGATATCGCTATATAGATTCATGCTATATCAAAATGACGTCGGTTTCCTAATTGAGCGCCGGCGTTGAAAAAGTCCTATCTCAAAGTCGTTCCTCCTATTGTATTCTATCCAGCCTCCAACATCGCTTTATCAACATTTCCCAATCTCACCATGACAATGAATAATATATTTTCCTCTATTGCCACTTCCACCAACCATCTCAAGGCCAAATATCATGGTCATATCCAAGCTAACAGATTCAAACTGCTGATACAAGAGCTCCAAGAAGCAGAACAGACCAAGGATCAACTCGACTGGATATCTGAACATCGCCAGGAGACAAGACGGGCTAACAATATCATCCAACGGGAAATGTATGTGGGTGCGACATATCGCCGCTATGAAGCCCAAGTGCAGGTTGAAACCCCGCCAGAACCTTCCACCTTGAAAAAGCTTCAGGGGTGCAATGTCGAGCTCATGCTACTGAATATTGAATACTTCCAACACCTAGAGCGAATGGCAGAACTCCTTGAGCGCAAGCCATCGGGATGCCTCGTCCATCGACATACAAAAAATCTGCGGCACAAATCCAAACAGCTCTGGAATATCGAACAGATCTACTGCCAACTTCGTGGCGGCTGCTGCGCTCGTGAGTGTGGTTGCTGTGGACGATCTTGGCACACCATTCGAGAGCCTTCTGGTAAGGTTCGATATATGCACTGTACGGGAAGTTGTGGATGTTGTACCCGCCATCGTGGTTACTCTTCTTCAAGTGTGGTCAGGAAGAAGTCCGGCATGTAAGCTTAACGGTCGACAAGCCCCAAGGGACTTCGATTTGTGAAGGGGGATTGCTCTCGCATAATGCTTGCATAATTTCTGCGATATCTTCCAACATAAACCTTGAAAGGTGCCCTGGCCTTTGATTCGTCAATCTTAACTTTATCTCCTATTTAACTTTGCTCGTCCTTTTCTGATACGAGATTATTTAATTACTCTTTATCTGGTCTCTTGCCCGGTCTCTTGGCCCAGCTTTTTTTTCTTTTCTTGTCGGTTATTCGCGGCCAATAGTATCGTGGACTGGTCACCGGACCGCTGGTGTTGTTACTTAGGGCGCCATTTTTTGCCCGTGTTCTATTAGGGAGTTCGAGAGATCATTTTTCCATTCTGCCGTTCACGGATCCCAGCTTTTGCTGTCCTCTAATAATCTCAACCATCGAGGTCTTTCCGGTTGATTATGCAAGTATGGGCACTAACCGTGGAAAAGAAAACTCGGGGTATAAGCTGCAATAATGAATATGTTGTACGCATTTCGTATGATTTTGCAGTCTTATCTCCGGCTGGAAGTCTAGTGGCTTACCCCAGGATTGTACCTTTGTTCAGGCCTAACGGCCATTAGGCGGCCACGGACCCCTCTACTGACCAGTCATTGTCCAGAGATATAGCGATTTAATACGGCGCGGCTGGGGGTCTCTGTACGACGGGATGGAAATGCGCTGTGGAAAAGACTCTTAAATACGGCATAGATTCCTGTCGAGCATTTTTTATCCAGCATTTTCCGCTTTCATTGCTGCACAAGATGGCAACAATAGAAGGTGATCAACATCCGATCAGCGAGAAGGGCAAATCACTTCGAACTTTAGTCGAAGCCGACCTGCTCGATGATCGTTATGTAACTACAACCAAACGTGGGTTGAAGAATCGCCATGTTCAGTTAATGGCCCTCGGCGGCACGATCGGAACAGGTAAGTCTGCAGTGCGACATGAAAAAAAAAGGATTACTCACATAAGTCAGGACTTTTCGTGGGTTCCGGCCAAGCCCTGGCCATTGGAGGCCCCGCATCGCTTCTGTTGGGTTATCTCTTCATCTCAGCCATGGTTTATGGCTTGGTCACGGCTATTGCTGAGGTAGGTGCCTATCTTCCGGTACATGGTGGAACAATGAGTTATCATGGATTCCGCTATGTGTCGCGGAGTATGGGTTTCGCTATGGGATATCTATACTGGTACTCTCTCGGAATCTTGGTGCCGTACGAGATCACAGCTGCCGGACTGGTTATTGGATACTGGGACCAGAATGGATCAATCAATATCGCGGTGTGGATCACAGTCATGATGGTCGTTATTGTCGCGCTCAACTTTATGCCTGTGCGAGTATACGGCGAGTCGGAGTTCTGGTTCGCCGGGGTGAAAATCATCACTCTGATCGGTTTGTTGATGGTATCTTTCATCCTCTTCTGGGGTGGTGGACCCAGTCGTCAGCGACTAGGCTTTCATTATTGGAATAACCCGCGTCCATTCAACGCCTATCTCGCAACGGGAGATTCGGGCCGGTTCGTGGCGTTGTTGAAATGCACAGTATCCAGCGCCATTGCGTTCATTTTCGCCCCAGAGCTGATTGTGATCAGTGGGGGTGAGATGGAGTCCCCTCGACGCAATATACCCCGGGCAGCCAGGAGATACATTTACCGATTGATCTTCTTTTACATCTTTGGTGTACTAGCCATTGGTGTTATATGCCCATCCGATGCTAGTCGTTTGACCAAGAGCGACGGCACGGTAAGCTCATCACCATTCGTGATCGGCATCCAGAACGCCGGCATCCCCGTTTTAGACCACATCGTGAACGCTGCCGTCTTGACATCCGCCTGGTCCGCAGGAAATTCCTTCCTGTATATGTCTTCGCGGTCACTCTATTCCTTGGCTATGTCAGGCAACGCGCCACATGTGTTCAAGACATGTAACCGATGGGGTGTCCCGTACTGGGCTGTTTCGGTTTCGGCATGCTTCTCAGCATTGGCTTATCTTGCCGTTGGCAACTCCAGTTCGATTGTGTTCAACTGGTTCGTCAACTTCACCAACACTTCTGGTTTCATCTCATGGATCTGCTGTTCCGTGGTATTTCTCCGTTTCCGCAAAGCTGTCAAAGCACAGGGCATTGAACAGCCGTACAAATCAAAGATGCAGCCGTATGGGGTTTATTTTGGCCTCGCGGGTGCCACTCTGATGGCGCTCATAAATGGGTTCACAGTGTTCTTCCCATCGGAATGGTCTGTGAGCAACTTTTTCACCGCATACATTGGTATTCCTGCTTTCCTGATTCTTTACTTTGGACACCGGGCACTGTATTGGAGTGATCCATGGGCATGGCACCCAGAAGAAGTCGACATGCACACGGGCTTGGATGAAATTATTGCTGCTGAGCAGCCACCAAAACCACGGGGGCCTTGGTGGAAGTTTTGGTAACACATAATAGGAGCTCTAGGGGAGAGTATGTTTGCCAGGTTTGCCAGGTTTGCCATGTTTGTACTGTTTGTCAATGTCATGACGTATCAACTATCCAAGCGGGTGTACTGTGGCCACTCATCCGCCTTATCACCAGACGAATATCCCATAACATCCAATAGCAATTCATAACTCAACATCTTTTTGCTCCGTAACTCGGAGTTGGCCCTTATCAATATATTTCTGTACGGAAAATAGCCAGTGATACCTTCTTTATTACTCCCATCGTCCCACCTATTCTCTCTCGTGTTCGGTATACGCCGTCGACCGTCTCTCTCCCACAAGTTGCCTTTAGTATCAGCCCAGGACTATAAAGACTGCCGTGTAGAACATCATATGAAAATTCGATTTCGAGTCGCGAACCTGAAATCTTAAAGAATCAGAACTATGGCTGTGTTACCACTTACCGTCCGTCCGCTTCAGCCTCCTCCGGGCTCAAGCATTGATTTTGGTGCTGAGGTTGAAGGTGTTGATTTGGAAAACTTGACTGGTTTGTGGATTACTGCCAATTATAAGAGCACAAGCTAATGGTCATATAGAAGAGCAGTTTGCCACTATTCGGAAAGCCCTCTACGAGCACCAGGTTGTGGTGTTCAAAAACCAGAAAGGGCTATCACCTAAAGCCCAGTATGAGCTGACCAAGCGATTCGACCCGGTTTCCGAAAACTATGGACATGGCAAGACCATTGATGCGAAGCGAAGCATCCTCCATCCTGACCTCAAGACTGTCCCTCACCAGCCACAGGTGCAGGTGATCGGAAATGGACATGTTGATTCGTACGAGGGTCTCAAAGATATCACATTACGACACCCTCACCACCGCACATTCCACAAAGATCACATCCCGGACGATAAGGACTATGATTTTACCCGGTTTTACCGCTGGCATATCGATGCCGCCCTTTACGACCTATACCCGCCCCAGGTGACAACGCTTATGGCCGTAAGTGTGCCCAAAGGCCGCCGACAGACATTATTGTATGATGATGGAACCGGGGAAACAATGGATGTACCACTTGGGACAACAGCGTTTGTTAGCGGAGAGCGGATGTTTGAACTTCTTTCGCCCGAGGATAAGGAGTTTGTGAAGACAAGCAAAATTGAATATGCCCCCCATCCGTAAGATCCCTTATGGTATTCCCATGGCTCTGATCAACTGAGCTAAATATCACAACAGGTACATTTGGATGAGCCAAGCGCATTCCCGATCTACGGGGCTCGGTCTACACTCAGAAGGACTCGAGTTGCCTGACTCGGAACTTCCACCTATCGACCCTAGTAAGATCATGGTTTTCCCAATGACCTGGAAAAACCCAGTGACGGGCAAATTGGCTCTCCAGATCCATCCCTCTGCTGTACGGCGTATCCACTGCGCCGATGGAACCACGATCGATGACTTGGCCCGTGTACGGGACATTGTCTATAAGTTGCAGCGGCCGGCCATCAGCCCTCAGTATGTATATCCCCATGACTGGGAAGATAACGACTTGGTTTTATTCAACAACCGTGGCGTGCTGCATTCCGTGGTTGGTGCATTCAAACCCGACGAAGTGCGACTGTTCCGTCAATGTAACTTGGCGGCTTCGGAGCCACCAGTTGGGGCATGAGTGCTTTCATTTCGATTTCGATTTGACATTTCTGCTGTTGTTTGTTAATATTGGATTTTCGAGGGAATCAATCGAACTTAATCTGGCTTGAATTTTTTGAACTGATATAACTTAACCGCGGGAATCACATCTTGAGTAATGAAATATTATATATCGGATGTTGTACATAAAAGACGCCATTTATGTATCTGTAAAAAGATCTATGAGCGTATTGACAAGGATTAGCGGACAATGTAAAATCCATGTACGGCAATTTGGCTCTCTCTGAGCTCATCGGTGACAGAGCGAACCCCAACCCGGTGCAATGGAACTTGCTCTACCAACTTCTGTCCTCGGTTGACGATACTAGTACACCCCCCGACCGTGCGATCAATCCAATTCGAATTTTGTTGAAGGTCCGGATGTTCCGCTGCCCACGCGGGATGAGCCAGAGTATCATGTACAACAGATGCGTCGTACACATCAGCGAGCAGGGCCGCCTCGGCAGCTGCCACTTGCGCCTCGGCGAGTTCTTTGCTCGTAGTTCCAGTGGGTGGTGGGATTTCAGCGCGAAGGTATCCCAAAACACGAATCTCGATTTTGCTTGTTTGGAGAGGAACGTCCTGAAGGAGGCGAATGGCGACCACACGTTTCGATATTTGAGCCATATTTACTCTCGTCGCCTGGAGGGGATCCAATGCCCGCACGGACAAGATAGCTGGGTACCATCCAGTAGTCGAGCAACCTTTGCTCGACTCAAGGTCGAATCGAACCCAGCCGAAGAAGTAACCCCTTAACTGCTCCGTCACCCAGTCGGGCATTCTGATTAAGCTTAACTTCGGCATATTGTCATGGTTATTGGGGTACGAGGTTTGATCGGGTTGACAGCGAGCTTTGAATGTCAAAGGAAACGGTGACTGGGGGCCGGCATCGATAGAAACCGGGCTGCTTCCAGCTATTTCTGGCGCTGCTAGATTTACTTGAGATCGTCCAATAGGACCCTTGGAGCCATTGATGATACCACCCACGCGGTTCTCAACACCACTCATCGTGTAAGCCTTTTGGGCCGCTGTCATTGTCACCCACGATGGACGAAGCGCAGCAGCTTGGGCTTGAAGCGGAGCAGTTTGGGCTTGAATGGCTGAGACGGCCGGACCTGCCACGGTTCGCGCTGCAGTTTGGGCGTAAAGGCTCACAACCATAGCCCCAACCTCCAAGGGTAGCGTGCTCAAGCTCGCGCCACGGATAGAGCTAGGGGCAGTGGATGCAGAGAGCACCCGGAACACGGGGCTATTGCCAAGCACCTTCTTCTTGACTCCTTGGCAGAGAACTAGCTGGAAATATCCATCGCCTGCTTCGGCTGGAATCCGTACAACGGCCGTCTCGCGTAGCTTATGTGTATCGCGCGGACGTGGCGGGGCCTTCTTTCGAAATTTCTTGATGTCGCGTTGCCAAGCTCGTTCATCATCCGGAGTCACCTGGTCGGCCCTCAGCGGCATACCCGGAGTCACATCCAGCCAGCTATCTCGGAGATTGAGGAATGACTTGAATTGCATTCCGGTCTTCCCGGTCCAACCTTTACTCTGCAACCACAAGGTGTGTTCGGGAGGTAAAGGGGCATCAGAGAAAATTGATATAGCGACCGATGTAGTGGGCCCACGGTAGAAGACCAGTCCATGGGAATGTCGCAAAATGGTGACATGCTTGTTTGATTCCGTTGGACGATTGATCAGACCAGTGAGGAAATACCTAGCTTCGCTGTATGCCTTCTGAACAGGCGTCGGAGGAGCCGGAGATGAGGTTGGCCCCGCTGTCCTTGGTCGTGGCAGTGAGCCTGGAGTTACAGGCCTGGAAGGTGGCGTCCCATAAAGGTCCGTATATGATGGGGGCTGTGATGATGGGGGTACAAGGGACGGGGTACTAGCAGCATAAGCTGTCGCCTCCCGCTGATCGGCATGGGCTGTAGCTCGCAAGTTCGGGTTTGACAGGGGCTTCCGCTTGATGCGAAATGAATCTGGCGGATGGCTCGGGCTTAAATGACTAGAAGACATTTTCTACATGATGTTCAAGGAATTCAAGAAATTCAAGAAATGCCGGGCCCTCCGATTTATTGGAATCATCACTCTTGGCCACTTGCCCCCATTGGCCCGAGCTGGATATTGGCCTGAGGCATACATTAATGCCTGAGGTTGTAGGCCGTTCTCGAGAATATGCGAAATATACTGTAATCTTATTGCTTTTGACCTCAGCTCGTACTATAAAACTAGGATGTATTGAAGGCTAATGGTATGCACCTGCACATGCCATTGACCTCCTGCGTTGGGATTGATCTAGGTGTGTAGATACCTCGAACTAGATCCGGACTCGCGGTATGGCATGCATGGATTTAGATTGCTTCAATTATATGTTTTCAGACATTTGACCTCTTCAATTTCAACACTGTACTATCTTTCAGTATCTCCTACTCCCATTCGTCTCTGTCATTGATCCGTTCATCTATCCTCCAGCAACTTTGTAGAGTGCTCAATCTCATTGTATGAGAAACAAATATTCATGACTTTCACCATTTCCACAGCTATCATTGTCAGTTTGGATCCATTCCAAGGCTCTTAAAACTAACACACCTGATAATCTATCACCGGCTGTATCATCCTCATCCCGTCCATTTATCCGAGTGTAGTGGAGGACAAAGTTGACCCGTGGCCGACGGCCCGCTTGGTACATTTCAAGTCGCGTGGGGACATCGTCCGGCGTACTGCCACAAGGGAGCAAGGTGGCAATGCTAACTGCATCTTCGATTGCCATAGCTGCTCCCTGGCCCAAGTCTATCGAGTTGTCAGTGTATGTCACACAAAACAAGTTTGTCCATTTGCAGCTATTCGGTTGCTTACATGGCTGGAACGGATGTGCTGCATCTCCCAGAAGAGCAGCGTGGCCTCGAGTCCAAGTCGGCAGTTCCTCCATATCATAAAGATCCCATACTTTGAGATTTTTGTCTGCACTTGCAATAATTTGCTGAACACCGGGTGAAAACTTCGAAAAGGCCCTCACAATTGTAGTCTGGTCTCCAACTGACTGCCAGGCTATTAATCCCAATTTGTCAGTAACCTTCTGTATCAACCCCCGGAAACCTCTTACTGTCACTTTGGTTGTCTGCCTGAACTTCATTCAAAGGGACAAAAGCACAAAGATTGAGGATCTTGCTATCAGAGCAAGGGTAAGCCACGAGCCGCCGGTCATGGGATGCCCACTCAATAAACACGCCGGTGTCTCGCACAAAATCAACAGTGCTCGCATGTTGCTTTAATTGATCTGTGGGAAGAAGCCAACGGAAGCATGACTTGCCAACGGGGTATGGGGAGGGAGATCCTGGTGCGATACTCTGGCGAATTTGGGACTATAGAACAGTTAGAACAGGGACGAGAGCTGGATAAACACCGGTGTTGATAATCTAGTGTTCATACATGTAGTCCATCTGCACCAAGGAGCAGGTCAGCCTTGAAAGTGCGACCATCACCGAGAGTGACCGACGGACAAGCCCCTTCCAGATTGACCTCGGTTATTCTACACCCTGTATGCAACGTTGCGGTTTCAAGGGCACGTTGTTTGAGGTGGTTGTGTAGCTCAACTCGATGCACGAGGTACCACTCCTGTGTTCAGATTAGATATTGTCCTGGCTGGGTCCGCTTCATTCGCCTACCGCTTGCCAATGATGACGAGTGTCAGCAAACTCTCTCTTGTATGTCAACTCCCCGTCAAATCTATATCGGTGTATCTGGAGAAAGCAAAAAATATCAATTCCAGCCACTCTTCTTGTCAAGAGACAAATCTGACCTGATGAAGCAATGTGCCTCCGAAATCTGCTGGATCAATGCCCATCCAGCGTAGCAAAGCAGTGCAATTCGGCGGCAAATGGATCGCAGCCCCAGTTTCTTTCAAAAAAGCAGACTTTTCCAGAATCTAGGCTTGGTGAGAAATTAATTTTGCAGCAAGCTTGGGTTGTTGCCCGGGGCATACCACAACACGATGCCCCTGTTTTCCGAGGGCAATAGCTGTTGAGAGACCAGCAATGCCGGCGCCGACGACGAGGACGTCAAGAGGCTGGGCTGATACCGTCATGATGAGGAGCCTATGTGGTTTTTGAGCTATATCGACTGATTTCCCTTCATGAATCTCTGACGTGAGATTTATAGCGGTATGCTCTCTCATCCGGTTTCCGAGTTTGGCAATCCCCGATACTTATCTCCGAGTCAGCCAAGAGAAGTGGATGCTTCAATGCTGCTAGATGGTCCTTGCAACCTCGGATAGCACAGCGGTATTTTTGAGCTGAAACGGAAGGAAGCTATCGGGCGCACAGAAATTGTTGAATACTGTTGGGTCGAAGTGATCGACACTGCATTGTTGGACACATTTTCCACGTTCACCTCCCCTTCACTCCCCTTCACCATATCCACTCCAGTTTGAATTAATATGGCGTTGACACATGAAAACGGTCCTTTGAATTGGAGTCTTATAATACCGTGTAATATCCATATTTCCGATAATAACTGTTGTGCCGCTGTCATTTCAGGTAGTGTGCGTGGTAGCCAAGACCTTTCACTTCGTTAGCCAATGAGAATACAACTGTTGTGCATTTCGCGTCAGATCTATCCGGGCAATTGGCGCGTCATTAAATCAATTGCCCTATGGGGAGATTGCTAGTCGTGAACAATATAATATTGCTTAGGCTAATTGTTTATGGGACGAGGCAGACAGGGCAGGAGGGAAGAAGAAGGTGAAACGTGTTGATATGCCAGGAGTTCGTCATGTCTACGAGAGCAAGCCCTGTAGGTATGTACGTGAGAAAAATATATATATATATATGATTTTAGATTGAATTTCATATCCTCATTCAGAGCTTTCTTGGCTGCCCGTTGCCCACTTGGTTGGTGATGTTGTAGTCACCATAGCAAGCTTCCTGGTACATGGCCTCCTTGTTGAGGTCGGGAATAGCTCTAAGGAAATTTTTGACCTTGCAAAATCCATTCACAGAGCCATCACAGACCTTGAGACCATCAAGCGGCAGAGGTGCATTATTCAGCACAAATCGGATATACTCGGTGGTATCAGACTTGGACGACAGGTCAGGGTTCTTGTATTTTTGCACCTGAAGATCCTTGAATGCGAAATCATTGGGGCAGGTCCAAACTTCAGAGAACAAGCGAGCGCCAAAGGGTGTCATCTGGTTTAGGTTGAAGGTGCGGTGCGGGGCGTGCGCAACCGAGACAGGCAAGCCATGAGGACCGTACTTGAAATAATCCAGACCCAAAGCAGTCAGGACAGACACGATGATATCATCGTGGGACATGTCCATGTATAGTGGCTGATCGAGCGGGAAAGTCTTGATGTTGTCATCGTACGTGTAGTTGATGCTGCTGTCACTGCTCGTGATGAGCCTAGACTGCAGACGCGCTGCCAGCTCCTGAACATAGCCAATGCCCTGGGCGCGGCCACTGGGGGACCCAAAACCGTAGTCGCCGTAGAATTGAAGATCGATGTAGTATTCAAAGTCGCGCCACTCCTGCTCAGTGAAGAGCGCGCAGAAAGAGGACTGGCCCAGTGCCGCATACTCGTACGGGCACATATTAAGCATCGCTAGAATGTCGAAAGTGTCGAGCTTCAGATCCTGGGGAAGGTGTGCAGCAAGACGCTCTCGGGCATGTTTGACAAGAGACGAAGCGAATACCTGCGCAGCGTTGTCACCCGGCTCCATGCCATTCGGGCAGGAATCGGTCGACGATAGGGTATTGTTGAAGTCTTCGAGCTCGGGGATAATAGTCAGATTGTACTCCGAGTATGAGCTGTTGGCTCCTGTGTTTCCAAAAAAGCCACCCAGCCACCAGCGAGCACTCTCCAAAATTCGGGGGTACGAGGTCGTGCGGAAAGTCGGCTTTGGGCGCGCGGTACCATTGGGATACACATTCAGTGATGCATTCCAGGCTGCATTGGCATTTTCTGCGCGATAGAGCAATCGGCCATACTGACTCCAGAATTGAGCGCCGGAAGTGGCTTCGGTGGCGGCGCCAGTGGGTAGCAGAGTGTTCAAACCAAGCATATACTCCCAATCGTTCAAAAAAGACAGAGGTCCGGAACCGATTTTCTTGTGTGGATTTTTCTTAGTGTAGTTGGCCAGTTTCTGGGCAAAGTTCTCCATGCCTTCTCCATCGAGGGGCCATTGTGTAGGATACCGCTGGGCATGGCGGTGTAGCACATGCACCTGCGACAGTTCACACTCCGATGGAAACCCCTTAGAGACATTGAAACTGGATGCATCGGCATAGGGGCTGAGGTTGGCCCAGCTTGTTTTCATATCAAACCCTGACGGGTATGAGAGACCGGTGGGACTGGCTACGGCCGTGGAGCTCGATGCCACTGCAGCAGTGCTTACCGCAAGAGCTAGCAGGGCCATGGCAGATGATTGTAGAGCCGCCATTTTGATGCTATTGTCGTCTCTGGGCACGCGACAAACTTCCAAAAACAATTCGAGGAATGGCCGACTTACCCATTTTTATCTGCCCCTGTGGAGAGGGGAAAAGGGGATCGACCAAATCTCTTTCCTTGCGTGGAATCGCGTAAGTCCGTTCTGTCCGGCACGATGTGACCCTAGAATCCTCATAATGTTGTATTTTGCTCAGGGACAAGATAAACATCCTTGAGTTGCGGTGATCCCCGAAATTTCAATAGCCAAGCTCGCGTGGGGAAATGCTTGGCCCGACGAAGTCCGTCAAAAGCCGTCAAGGGCAAAAAACAAAGGAGAAATACGAGACTTTCAAGGGCTGGGGGATGAGCCAACGGGTTGTGGCCATTAAATGGGCTTTTCTTGCATTCGTATAAACCCGGTGATGCATCAGAGGCAATCAAAGAGAAGGCAAAAGAAGGGGGGAACACATCACATCTGGGCACATGACCTCTCCCAGCCCTTTACCAACACCTCCGCTTTGCTGCTATAAGAATTCAGCTCTCGGGTCATGGGCTATACGATATCCCGAAACCCCCATTCGCTTACCTTGTACCAATTGGGATCAATGCAGATGCCATGTCGATGCAGCTGCTCGTATCGGACACGAGACCACACTTCTTAGAGCCTGCGCCTCAACTGGATCGGAAGCTCCAAATAAATTGTTTCTGATTACGAGCTCTATCATGAACATGTGGGAGAAACCATAAAGCGCAAGGGATCCGGCCCTTTCGAGCAGTTTTTTTCTTTATTTTGATACTCCTAATGCAGAGACCTCCAAATTAGCTATATCCTAGCTATTATTGACTTCACTATGTTGGCCCTCGGTATTGTCTTGTATGCCCTATTGAGTACGTCCTTGGCCTTTGCTATCGTCAAGCTAGCCCTATTGGCTTTCATTGCTGCCGTATATTCTGGCTAGCATGCTTTGCTGACCTCGCCAGCCTCCTTGGTGGTGCTACTATTACAAGCTCCTACTACAATACCGTCATTGCCTTTGGCGTGCTACTTTGGTAGGTTCCTCGGATAGTCTCCAGACAATACACACGCAGTACAAAGAACCGACCTGACGCTTACCTCATATATAGGCTGCTATTTATTGCCCTAGTTATATTTACCAGTCTTGCCATGTGTGGTGTTTTGGTGTCTGATTGGGCTGGGTACCAGTCTCCCAGGAAGGAGAAGGGAGTTGGTATGAACCAAACTAGGGCTGGCCCTGCTCACGAAGTGCCGACGAGTATGAGTCCTGTGGTTCCATAGAAGTTGTGTTGTCGTGATGCTAAAGGTCTTTATGAACAGCCGAACAGTCAATGGCTTAGCCCTTCATCGCCCTCGCCCACAGCGTGGAACTGAGTACCACACAGGTCCGCATGAAACCAGTCCAGCATAATCACCACAGTTTTGGTTTGGTAGGATTCGCAAGGAATAGTAATGGGTCTCATCGGTAATAGGTTATATCTTTTGCGTGTTTCCGACATTCTCATATCACCTACACTACTAATAATACGTTATGCCATGTTAATATTTGCTTCAATGTGATTATCAAGAGCATTTATGTTCATACAATCCGCATAAAACCGCTGCCGTGCTGTCACGACTAATCAAAGGAGGTATATAGTCCAATCTATCCGTCTGAACAAACTGTGCGTCGCAAGCCGTAAGTGTCCAGTCGCTGTAAAAAGCATAATCGTCAAGCCCGAGAAAAGGTGAGAAGGTAAAAAGCAAACCCAACATGTATGTCCAGGATATAATGAGCCGGCTATCAAGAAAGACAAGACCAGGTACGACATGGTACTCAACCAAAAAAAAGAAAAGAAGAATGATAATGGTAATGACGAAATCAAAGAGTGGTCTCTTCCACAGGCTCTTTTCCACCGTGGGTCTCCTCATGGTCGTGCTTGAACTTCTTCTTTTTCTTGTCCTTGTCCTTCTCATCCTTGCCCTTTTTGCTCATAGCTTCGGCCATAAGCTGCTCGAAGGCCATGTAATCGCCTTCTTCCTCGGGGTCGCGTGCGGCCTAAAGCTAGCTGTTAGCATGATACTCAATATGCGGAAAACAGGTGTATATACCTTTGCGTATATATTGCCGGCAATTACCAGCGCATGCGCACGCTCAATCCGTTTCTCAAGTCGGGTCCGCTTATCGCTTAGAATCTGATCACAAACATCACGCAGGACACTCTGGATCTCAAATTTGCTGCCACGCCACGCCGCTGCGAGGATCTTGCCAGTCACTCTCTTCTCGTATTCAGCCTTCTTCTCGTCAGTCCAGTCTTCACCACCGCGTTCCTCCATCTTAGCCATCTCCTCCATGGTCATCTGCGCATCAATGGCTGTGGAGATGGTGGTCCATGTCTCCTTCGCAAGAGTGCCCTTGTCCTTCAAGCGAGAGAAGAAGCCAGAGATACCTAGGAACTTCTGTGACTTGAGGAAGGAAGTACCCTTCTGAATGTATGTTTGACCAACAGCGTGGAGAATTTCCAAACCGAAAGATTCCATTTTTAAGTTCTCCACCTCAAGTCGGATCTTCTCCTCGAAAGCATGGGACACGTCCTTACCCTTGTCCGTCTCAGTCCAAACGCTTAAACGATCAATCAGCTTATTTGCGAGTGTGTTGACACGATCTTCGCGAGCCTTTCTGCGCTCATCCTCGAAAGCGTTAAGGCGTTCCTGCTGCTCCTTAGACAAACCCTTCTTCTTCTCCTTCTTGCGCAGCTCCTTCTCCTCCTGAGACAGACCGGCTGCCTCCATGCGAGCTTCTTCTTCGGATTTGTCCATGAGGGCTTGCTGTCCGAAATTTCGTCGAGGAGTGCTGGTACCAGAGCCTTGGTTGGAGACTGGCTTTTCAGAGGGGCCGGCAGCTGCAGCTGCAGGTGCGGCCTCTGCCGTAGAACCGTGGGTTTCATGAACAGGAACATGAGCGGGATCGCCAGCTGCAGCCTTCACCTCCGCGTCATGAATGTTCAGTTTCTCTTCAGCAGATTGAGCCAGTTCTTCCTCCTCCATTTCCTGCATCGTGATGTCCATAGTCGCGGTGAGGTCCTTCATAAGGGAGATCTCGCCGATAAGATCAACAAAGGCCTCGCCCCCGAAGATCATACTGAAGAATTCGGACGGGTCCTCTGTGGAAGACAAATCAGAAACGGTGTGCTGGACATTGGTATGCATGTGATGGACTTACCGAAACCACCACCAGGTACCGACTCCTCCTTACCAAACTTGTCATATCGCTTTCGAAGATCTTCGTTGCTCAGAACTTGGTACGCCTCACCGATCTAAATTAGGAAGATATCAGTTCCGCGTAACATGCATCATCCCTAGGCTTGCGCAATCATACCGCCTGGAAGCGTTCGTGTGCGGTTTCATCTCCAGGGTTCTTGTCTGCGATAATGGATTAGAAAGCCTAGCAAGGAAATACAAGGTCACATGCGGCCATACCCGGGTGAGTGACAATAGCCAGCTTCCGGTAGGCCTTTTTGATTTCCAGTTCGGTGGCCGTCGGTGGCACACCTAGGGCGTCGTAGTAAGCAGTATCGGCAACCATCGCAGCGACCGAGCCTAACTTGAGAACAGATTGAATTGATGGAAAATGAAAGCTCAATAGATTCAAAGATCTGAAGGAAAAAAAAAACAGTGGAGGGGTGTTGTTTAGGCAGAACCTCGAGATATTTTTCGGAAGTTGGCGCTGATATCATGTGGGGTTGTATGCATGGTTTGCTCCGGTCACGTGTCGGCTAAACTCTGCATTTAATCTGTTCTGGCCTTTTCCCCTTTTCCTCCCCCCAATCCGCCGTTCCCCCAGGTTCTGTTGTTTTTGTTTGTTTGTTTTTATTAATCCTCGTCTTCAATACCTTTGCTTTCGGATCCTATTCCAATTGCTTCACTTGGTGAAGATTCAGCTACTTTGCAACAACTCTTGAACATCCGACTCGCGCGCCTCTCCCCCGCCCATCATGGGTCTCATCGGCAATGCTCTCTACTACTCTTTCCACCCCATGCAGCTGAGGTCAATTCTCCAATGGTATGTTTTGGTGTTCCTGAAGCTCATTCCCACATGCGAAGCTAACGATCCACGTCACATAGGAAAGTCTGGCACAACCCGCCCCATGAGCGTAACGAGAAGAACGAGACCGAGAATCAGAAGATCTGTTTCCAGTTTTTGGACAAAACCAGCCGCAGCTTCAGCGCCGTGATCAAGGAGTTACATCCCGAATTGTTAATCCCTATCTGCATCTTCTACTTGGTCCTCCGTGGACTGGATACCATCGAGGATGACACTTCCATTCCATTGGCCACCAAGGAACCTCTTCTCCGGGACTTTAAGGACATCTTGACGCAAGATGGCTGGACTTTTACTGGGAATCGGCCGGAGGAGAAGGACCGTGAGCTGCTGGTTCAGTTCAACCACGTCGTCACCGAGTTCATGAACATGAAGCCTGAATACCAGGTTATCATCAAGGACATCACTGAGAAGATGGGTAATGGCATGGCTGACTATGCTGTGAAGGCAGAGCATGACGATGCTAGTGTGAAGACTAAGGAGGAGTATGATCTATACTGCTACTACGTCGCTGGATTGGTTGGCGAGGGCCTCACTCGCCTCTTCGTCGAGGCCGGGTTTGGTAACCCGGCTCTGTTGAAGCGACCTAAGTTACATAAGTCAATGGGTCTTTTCCTCCAGAAGACTAATATCATCCGCGATATCCGAGAGGATTTCGATGATAACCGACGTTTCTGGCCTCAGGAAATTTGGTCCAAGCATGTCGACAACTTTGAAGATCTCTTCAAGCCAGAGCACCTTGATGCAGCTCTTAACTGCAGCTCGGAGATGGTCCTGAACGCGTTGGAGCATGCTGAGGAGTGCCTGTTCTACTTGGCCGGTATGCGAGAGCAGAGTGTTTTCAACTTCTGTGCAATCCCGCAGTCTATGGCCATCGCCACAATGGAGTTGTGTTTCCGCAACCCCGATATCTTCCAGCGCAACATTAAAATCACCAAGGGAGACGCATGTGAACTCATGCATAAGTCAACCCAAAACTTGTCGGTTCTGTGCGACACCTTCCGCCAATATACGCGCAAGATTCACAAGAAGAATACCCCCCGGGATCCCAACTTCCTGAAGATCAGCATTGTCTGCGGACAGATTGAGAAGTTCATTGAGACCATCTTCCCGACGCAATCCGCCGAGGCCGCTAACCGTAAGGTCTCTGGTGAGCTCACTGCGGCCGAGCTACAGAAGAAGAAGGAAGACGACGAGAACAAGAGTGATGTCTACTTCATGATGGCTCTCATGGGAGTCATTGTTGTCGTTATCGCTAGTCTCATGATCTTCGCCGCCTGGATGATGGGCGCCCGGTTCGACCTTGCCTTTAAGGAGATCACGTCTGGCCACTTCAGGCCGCCGGCTAAGAACCAGCTTGAACACCCGGAGCTTTGATTGTCTTATATTATTTTCACATCCACGGCGTTACGACCTTTTACTGTCTAATATTTTCGATTCCCCCTTCGGCATATTGTCTTACTATTTTCTCGCCTGCCCCCGGCGCCCTCGATGTGTATTGATAATAACATAACTCTTTCTTTTCTTTGCCTCGCGCACACACAGACTAACCCTCCCATTTCTACCCCACCCTTTTTAGCACGGATGTCAAATTGCGATCTGGCCTTTTCATGGCCGAGGTTGTGCCGAAGAAGTACTTATATCGAAATGGAGATTCATCTCCCTAGCCAGTGAGTACTAGATCTTTGTCCAACGGTTCGCCCGAGGTGGCAAACATCCATTGAAGATCTAGAATATCCCGTGTATGTAAAGTTGTATGTCTATAGGAAATGAAACCATCAGCCTCTGGAGGTTGACTCTTGTCCTGAACTCAGATAACTGAAAACCGGCGGGACTAGAGAACAGGCCCCCAATCAGAAGTTTCTGCTATAGTGTATATCTTTTATTTCTCGGCAATAAATTTCTTCCAACTGCCGGCCCATTTCTTTTCGCTTTCTCGCTCATTACTCTTGCCATCTATCCATCGGCCAGGTTGGCCTCCCCGAAGCATCCTCAATCAAATGGGTTCCAAAAGGATGGCTTCTTCTTCTGGGGACTCCGGCGACTCCCCACTGTCCGCGAGTGATTTCCGGACTTATAATCGTATGTCGGAGCAAATGGAAGGATTTGTAAGCTTACCATCACACCTGGGCACCTGGGCACATTAGTATACCTTGAGCACTAACTCTCATGCAGCATAGTCATTTCCGTTTGACATGGAACCAGCTTTGGGAGGCCTGTGAAAACTCTAGAAAACGGGGGCTTTCAGCCCGCCAGATGATTATGATGGGCCTTCAATTCTGTTCGCAATTGGATTTCCATCATTCCATCGAAGAGCAACACATCTTCCCCGTATTGGCGAAAAAGATGCCTGAGTTTCGAAAGGAGCTTGAGCTATTGAGTCAGCATAGACAGATCCATGCAGGACTCGAGAAACTCGAGAAGTATCTTGAGCAGTGTCGGTCCGGCGAGGAAGATATGCGTCGCGAAGAGGTGAAACGGTTGATGGAAGGGTTTGGCAAGGTTCTGTGGACACACTTGGACCAAGAGGTTCAAACTCTTGGAGCTGCTAATATGCGCAAGTTCTGGTCTCTTGCTGAAATGCGCCAGCTTCCTATGTGATAATAACGAACGGAGGCAAGTTTTGTCAATTTCATTTTCAGAAACATGTCCAACTTTTTTTGAAGAGTATACATATCTGTGTGCCCATTTGAATTAATTCGAACTATTCTGGTTTGCTATTTGGTCTTGAAAAAGCACCTATGTTTTGTTTCCGAGGGATCTGCTTCTGCTTCATCAATGTCCATCACAAGCCAGAGTTGCAGTTTGATAATGGTAACCCCTACACGAAAATCCTTGGCTTAGAGTCGAGTGACCACTGCTAACAATGTGGACTGTTCCCGGAAGCTCCACCACAGCGTACTTGGGAATGTGAACACGTTGTCATCCCTTGCCTGGTATGTATACTAACCGCATCCAGGTAGCATTGCAAGCACGCCCCCAACTTCTGCTGTTTCAAAAACCCTTGACACTCGACCCAGTTTGTGTATGTTTCTTTCTTCTGTTGGCGATGATGTCGTGCGAAACAAGCACTCTCAGTTTTACCGATTCATCGGTAGATGTAGCGAGAATGCCAGGGTCATATGGAACCCATAAATACGGAGCAGCCGCAAAGCTTCGGAATATCGACACTACATATAATAAAATATACATTGTTAACCTTCAATGACATGTGCGTCACTTCAAGTTGATCAATCTCGTGGCAGATATCGGGGCCGCCGATCTTCATCTGATCCGTCAGCGCTCGGCTGTCAGATGTTTCTGTCTCCAAGAATGTGCTCTCACAGAAGTGCACAAGCTCGGCCGAGCTGCTCATTTTCACTAGGTCTCACATCATGACGATAACGGAAAGGAAATCTTGGCTTGGATCATGAACAATCGGCGGGAAACAGAGAAGATCAACACATCCGCAGCAAATGCAGGTCATGAACCTATTAATCGACGTGGCTGAGATCCCCAGAAATAACCTGACCTTTTTCACTCTCCATATCTCCACTCCAGTGGGTCCATAATTGTATCTCATCTTGTGTCTGGGGTCATCAGTACTACACCACGCGCTCCTTTCCTCATGCGGATTGGGCATGATGTCGTGCCGCATGCAACTTATATGAAATACAGGATATAAGTACCATCGGACCAAGCTCGAGAAATATTAGGTTAGTCAGGTTATAGCTTCGCCCTTGCTATCTATACCGTGTCAAAATCCGCTCAACTCACTGCCGTTTCCACCAACATGAAGTTCACAACCACCACGATCCTAACCACCGCTATACTAGCAGGCAGCTCTCTCGCAGCCCCTCGCAGCGGCCTGGTTGACCGCTTGCAGACCCGTGGTGCTCTGTCACGCCAGTCACTACCTGCCGAAAAGAAGGGTGTATTACTGAGGGAAGGAACCGAGGGAGTCAATGTTCAATACAGCAAGAACTGGGCTGGGGTGGTGCGCGAGAAGCCACCCGCCAGTGCTACCTACACCGCTGTGTCTGCAACTTTCACCGTCCCCGAGCCAACGGCCACCGATGGCTCTGGGGATATGCAGGCTGTGTCCGCCTGGGTCGGTATTGATGGGGACACTTACACCAAGGCCATTCTACAGACTGGCATTGATGCCTACATCCAGAATGGCAAGAAGACATTTGACGCCTGGTACGAGTGGTATCCATTAAGTGCGGAGAACTTTGACCTTGCATTATCCGCAGGCGACGTTATCGTTGCGAAGGTCGAGACAGATTCGCCCAGCAAGGGTGTCGCTATCATCGAGAATAAGTCAAGCGGCCAGAGTGTTACCAAGACTCTGTCTGCACCTTCAACCTCCGCCACTCTCGCTGGCCAGAATGCCGAATGGATAGTCGAGGACTTCAACACTGGTAGCAGCATGGTTCCATTGGTCAACTTCGGCAGAATCGATTTTACCGGCGCCCAAGCTGAGGCTGGCGGTACGAAGTATGGTGTCAAAAATACTGCTGTTTTGGATATCCAGCAGAATGGCAACGTGAAGGCCCACGTGGAAGTCCGAAGTGACACTGAGTTCTCTGTTACCTACCGGTGATTTGATATATATATCGGAGTTGATGAGTCTGGCGTTTTGTACAATGGATGATATCCGTCATATATCTCTCAATCGAGATAAGGAGGAATTTGCATCAGCAAAGTGAGGTATACTTCTTTCATTCAATTTAGTGAAATCTATCAAAAGAAAACAATGATTGATCACGTCATTTATTTCTTCCTGTGATAATTGGTCAAAATATCCCTGCCCGGATCCTGATGACCCTTTATTATCTTTTCTTTATAAACCGCGTATTCAGACATGTTGGGCCTATAATTAGATGAAGAGTGCGCAGAAGATGTTACGAAGAGGAAAGATAATAGACTTCTTACTAACTATTCAGGAACCTTAGAAATACACATAGCATCACAAAGAAAAGGACATATTTTGGATGTTGAACAAGAAATTCGCTGGGATGACAGAAACGACGACGGGGTATTCTGCTGAATGATAAGAGGAAAGGACAACAATCAGATCGAAACGCTCAGAAAAGATAAAGGCAAACTGTGAGCCTAGTAAGGGCTCGAGGTGTCGGCAAGAAGGCTGTACGAGTTTAATTGAATACCCAGAGGGCGAGGTTGAGGCATCAAGGCGCCTAGCATCTGCTGGTCATCGTACTCATTGCCTGTTCCATCTGTAAGCGCGAAGAACATGGCAGATGGTCGGTTCACGCGCAAAGCTTCCAGGATGTCGTCACTCCACAGGCCTGTGCACTCGTTATTGACAAGTTCGAAATACGGATTCAGAGGCGGACAGCTTGAGTCGAGGTTGATGAAACGGATGCGCAAATACTCCAGGGCAGGGAGGACGGATAGGCACTCGATTGCCTTGACCACCATTGCCTCAAAATCACGAATGAACGCAATGCTGGTAATTGGACGTGTCCCGTAGCTCGTCTGCGTCCAGTGATTCAATCCGTCTACCTTCTGATTGTGACAGCACGTCTTGACTGAAAGATCTAGTGACCTGAGAGGAGAACCAGACTCCATTTCCGTTGCCCCTTCCTTCAATTTCTTGAAGAGGTACCAACATACACGACCAGAGTAGGTAAATGACTCGAAGCGCGGAATTGCCTCGCCAAGTAGAGTACAGATCGGAGGAGGCGCGCTTTGAGAGCGGAAAAGCGCAGACAGCAACCTATTACTGGCGTTGGAAAATTCCTCCAGGCCAAGATTGATGTGTCGGATGGTAGGTGGAGTATCGATAAAGATGCTCATCATGATCAAGTAGGCACACAGATGGGGTTGGACCCAATCACAATGCCATTCACTCAAAGCTGGCAACGCTTGTGAAATGTTGCCCCAGTCGTCAACTTGTCGCATCAGGTTCCAGGCACCACGCATGATGAGTGTCTGTATTTGTCCAAGAACAGGTAGATTCCGACCGTTCATGGCTTCCCTATAGCGGGAATGCCGCACTATAGGCGCATTCTTGCAGTGGCCACCCTCCAGGGTGAGAACCCGGGCAGTGGGGAAAAGGTACTGAATAAGCCAGAAGATTTCCTCCAGCGAAGTGTTACCGGTTGCACGGTGATAACGAAAAATAACATCTCCGTGGTTATGATCATGATTCGTCTGCATATCTACAACATGTTCTGTTGCATGGGTGCCATTTTGCTCTGCATTTGAGCGAGCATCGTTAGGGCGAACGGCCCGATTTCCCCAGATAGGCATCCAAATCTCAATGTGACAGACATATGGAGCCAAATGGGGGTTTCGCTTGAACCACCATACACACTTGATCAATTCGCGGTTGGTGCCTTTGATTTTGACTAGATAAAGGCTACTCATTAGTACAATTGCGTTGAACTTCAGATTGACAGTCAGATAAAACTCACTATGGCGGTAGATTCGACTTTGAACAAGTCCAGTCCACATCCGGCAAGTCAGGGCCAGGTCGGAAAGGGCCTTCCGCCGCGGATGGTGGAGAGCCTTACTCCAGTTCTGAGCAGAAGATTGACCATGTGCTGAATGGTTACTAAGGGAGGCTCTTTTGCCAAAGATTTGATCCAGAATGACCTCATGGATCTCAACTGGGAGCTCTGTGAATTGGATTGCCGACTGTCCTGCCAGGGGATGAGATTGGTCCTCACTGGCGGCGATATGGGAGGTAAGGGTTTGGTAGTCATCCTGACCAATAATATTTGCACTGATGCTGCAGTTTGGTTTCTCTGCGCTTTCAGGAACTGCAACAGGTGCACTGGCTAGGGGACTGACCGACCCCGGCCGGAGAGAAATTGCGGAGATCATGAGGGGGGGTAGAGATGAGGATGAAAGAGGATTGGAAGAGTCAGAGGCCATTGATGCGACCTGGTCTTCTTTAGATCAGAGGCTGCAGCCTGATAGCTGCAATTTGATATGTGTTAGTGAACAAACGAGCCATGCCGGGGATATGCATATAGATCGTACTCACCTCACAGCTGTGGTTAACCGCTATCAAAGCCGCTCCGGCTCAATTCAGTTTAGGTACAGACGGGTTATCTCAGAGGATCCTGTTCACAAATGAATGAAATAAACGTCAGAAAGAGAGAGGGTCGCTGGCCGATCAGGCTGTTGGGCAGCTTGATGAGGAGGATTGGAAGGGGATTGGCGGGGAAGAGATAGGCCCGGCTGAAAGTGAAGAGACGTGAAGATGAAAGAAGACCGAGAACACAGTGAAGGAGAAAAGAAAAGCAAAATACATAGTCAGAGGAAAAAAGTGACGGGGGAGTCAGAATAAACGCGGGAGACGTTGCGCGACACGAAGTTCTACGGTTGGAATACTTGATATCGGGGCTTTTGAGAACCAAGACAAGGGTTGTGATCAATAAAATAACACGAACATAATCAAAATAGATCGAAGCCTGCATTATACATGTATTTATTGGGTAACAACTATATCATGTCGTAGATGGTGTACATGGGCCGTGATAGTTCCCTTGGCCCTATAGATGCCGTCGTTTTCGCAATAAGAAACATGACAGGAATAACAGTCATTGCGATTGAAATCGGACATTATTTCCTTGCAGACATACATAACACAGATCAGCAAATGGATGCGAGGGTATCGATGCAGAGTAGACGCTACAAAACCATTGCAAAGTGAGAAAGAAAAAAAGATGGAAGCTAGCGCTTACGCCTGAAACGGAAACGAAGTTCATCATCGCTGTCCGAATCGCGCTCCTCGCGAGCCCTCTTCGGGGGCCGAGCCGGAGTTGGGTCCGAGGTCGGTTGAAGCGAGGTGCGTGTAATCGCTGACAGCTTGGACCGTGATGGAGCAACTTCATCGTGATGATCAGATTCAGGACCTCCAGCCTCGTTCTGAGGGTAAGTCTCAGCAGGATTGCCACCCCAATAGTGATCGCCAATTCCATAGTCTTTGCGGGTCACTTCTTCTAAGGGGACGATCACTGTCTGGATGCGAGCTCGACTACGCGGCTCGCCTTTTCGCCGGAACTTCTTGAAATTCTTGCGCCCATTCCATTGATCATCCCATCTGTCCGAACTGTCATGCTCGTGCGCTGGTGCGTTCCGGACGGGAATCTCCATTTCTTCCACAATAGCCAGGTTCTTCAATTTGTCCACATCCACATCACCTACATCGGCTGAATGTGAGTCTTCTTCGGCCTTGCGTTGTTGTTCTTCTTCTTCACGGTGCTTTCGCGCGGCTTCGAGCACGTCAAGTTTAGGTCGCTTGCGTTTCGGGGCCTCCGATTCGGGGGCTACGGCCTCATCCTCTGGGTGATGGCGAGTCATATCTGCACGACGACGCTTCATTGCACGGGCGCCCGGGAGAAGATCAGCCACCATGTCCTCCTCAGCCTCTTCCTTTACTATATTCAGGGGCTGGATTTCTTGAGATGGCGCTTGAGTTTCGATATCGATGGTTTGAGTGGAGTTGATATTGGTGTCCTCTTCTTCAGGTGCATACACTGGGACAGATTCCATGTCGAATCCGTCATCGAAGGTTTTCATTTTACTGACGTATGCACGCACACGGGTCTTGGCCGGAGCTTTCGAGGGTTGACTAGGCTCAGAGTTAGGCAGATCTACCGATTCAGGTACGGCAGAAACTGCTTGTTGGCTTGTTTGTTCAGCCTCGACCGCGGGTGTAGATGCGGTGATCTGACTAGAGCTCTCCTCCGTGGGCAAGGTACGGCAGAGGGGTGATGCATCATTTCCAAGGATAGCGTCAAGGAACTCTCGTTGCTCTATCACGCGCTGGTCCATCATTAGAGCAACCTCATTACCGACGTCAATAGACCATTGTTCGAGGTCTCCTTTCGATCGAAAGCGAACAAGAACGACGCCACCGGAACCGTGTCGCTCGGGGCCCACGCCTTTCTGTCCTGCTGCCTTTTTTATAAACCGAACAATATCTGCGGCAGTTGTGACCCCATCTTCAATTTCGTAGAGGAGCGCCTTCCCTTGGCCATTGTTGATTGGACCTTGTAGGTTTTCAAACTGGCTTGGATCACCGAAAATAAACGTATATCCCTCAAAGACATTAATACGTGCGGGATTGGGAGCGAAAGCAGCGGCGGGACGCTGGGTTGGTTCTTTCCCGGGGGGCGGAAGGTGTTGATTTGGATCGGGCCATGCTAATTCGAAGTCGGTTTCAAGTGGACATAGCGACTCAATGTTCTCAAGATCCCCGGGGGTAGCCGCGTAGACGAGTGCATCGATATATGAATCATCTACTATGTACTTCCCGTTGACGAGTGCCTGAAGACCCTTAGCTGTATTCCGTTTGCGCTGTACCACATGTGTTGTGTGATCGACAATATAATCCATGATGGTCTTAATGTCGAGGTCTTCTAGACGTGAGCGAACATGGGCTAGAGGATCTTCACCTCGCACCTGCTTGGAGGAGGATGACAAGGTCAGAACCACGGGCTCCCATTTGATCCTATCAAGAGCATCAGCCGGGATTCAAGCCAATCGTAAGAAGACATACGCACCGGAGCGCATGCTGGTATTTAGCGAGCTGGATGAGATGCTCATCGCTCTTCTCCAACTTGCATTCTCCTTGGATTCTCCTCTCGTCAACGACTGTTCCTTTCTTCGAGTCTAAATCGGTTATGGTGATATTGGATCGCGCTCGTAGTGACAACTGGAGGGGTATTAGCCAGATAATGCATATCGTCGCGGGGAGTTCAACCGTACCCCATCTCGCGGACTGACCGGTGAGATTTCAATGGTCATATGCTTGCGGGATATCGAATTATGATTGACAGCATGGCGGACTATTCAATAAGAGATCAGCCGAACTGTGTGATGCTCCAACTGAAGTAGGCCATACCTCCGTCTCGATGGAATCGACCGAATAGATACCTCTTTCCAGGGCGCAGCCACACGCGCTTCCCTATGAGGCTTTAGCAACCAATCGATCCTTGTCAATCAAATATTCCCACCTTCCAGAAAATCACCGGTCGAATCAAGAATCCACATGACGACGAATCCGCCCAGAGAGATGTTTAGCGTTAGGCAACATGGCTGAGGCTCACGCAAATTGGAACGCGTGTCCACGTGACTCCGCGTCAAATTGAATTCCGCGCTCTCGCCTTCTCATGATCATCTACCAGCCATCGATGGGACGGTGGAAAGTATGGAGTCTTCAGGTGAGAACCCCGCCAGTGATCCGAAGCCTGAGTCGGTCCCTGATGAGGATTTTGGGACCCTGAAATATCAGCTACTCGGTCCCTCTTTAACTAAAGCGGGCCAAGATTCCGTCGATCAGCAAAAGGTGCGCTTGATGATTGTATTCATTTTGAGCTTTAGCTAAACTCGCGTTTCCAGGTATCAGAAATTATATACAATGCCTCCAGGGGCTCTAAGTTCTTTAAGCACGAACAGGATCGGGATCGGAATCTAACGTTGAAAATCGAGCGAATTCTAAAAGAAAAGGCACGGCTAGAACGTCTAGACTTGAGCAGTGAGCTACGACGTGCCGATGAATACCTCGCGGAGCTTGAATCGAGCCGTGAGCTCTCTCAACATGTCATTCACGTGGATTGTGACGCGTTCTTTGCCGCCGTCGAGGAGCTTGACCGGCCCGAATTCAAGACAGTGCCTATGGCAGTCGGTAAAGGAGTGCTGACAACCTGTAATTATCTGGCGAGGAAGTTTGGCGTCAGAAGTGGTATGGCCTCATTTGTCGCGAAAAAGCTCTGCCCGCAGCTGGTTCTTTTGCCGCCGAACTACGACAAATATACCGCAAAGGCCAAGGAAGTCCGAGCTATCATGGCCGAGTATGACCCTCTCTTCGAGAGTGCGAGTATAGACGAAGCCTATTTGAATATCACAGCATACTGCGACGAAAATCACTTGGAGCCTGATGAGGTTGTTCAACGGATGCGCGCAGAGATATTGGAAACAACCAAGGTGTCTGTTTCCGCCGGAATTGCTGCTAATGCGAAGATTGCAAAGATTGCATCCAACCTCAACAAGCCCAATGGACAATTTCAAGTCCCCAATGAACGGGAGGCAATTATGAAATTCATGCGTGACCTGTCGGTCCGCAAAGTGAATGGAATTGGCCGAGTATTTGAGCGAGAGCTGGAATCAATAGGCGTCAAAAAGTGTGGTGATATCTACCCACATCGTGCTTTATTGACCAAGCTATTTGGGGAGAAGGCTTTCCAATTCCTGGCTCAGTGCTACCTCGGTCTTGGGCGGACCAAAATTGAACCTGTCGAGACCCACGAACGTAAAAGCGTCAGTACAGAGACCACTTTCCATGAAATTGGAGACAAGGAGGAACTTCGAGCGAAGCTCTGGTGGGCTGCGCAGGAGCTTGAAAAGGATATGGCCCGGACTCATTTCAAAGGCCGCACGCTTGCCCTGAAAGTCAAACTGCATACTTTCGAAGTGCTGACGCGCCAGACAGCTCCATCTCGTGCCGTCTTCCTGGCAAAAGATTTGTACTCCTTTGCTTTGCCCATGCTCGCCAAGCTTGAGAAGGATATTCCGAACATAAAGCTACGGCTTCTCGGCCTTCGCTGCTCGAATCTGGTCAGCACTCAGAAAGTTGGAATCAACTTTTTCGGCGTAGCAACACAACCAAAACCCGCCACCGAGCCAACTTCTGAGCCCGCCCCTATATCGACATCGGATGTCAATGTATATCATGAGATTTGTGCCGAGGAGGCTTTCGAGGCGGCGGCTCGCCAGGAAATACAGGACGAGATGAATGATCTAGAGCAGCTGAGTCAAGAGACACCCGATGTTCATGAGCCAGAGGCCTCTGCAGCCCCACCGGTGGTTGAAACACCCGCGATGTGGGATTGTCCTGTATGTACACGACCGCAGATTGCGGATGACCGCGCATTCAACGAGCATGTGGACTTCTGTCTCTCTAGACAGACAATCCGCGAAGTCGTGCAGGACACATCAGAAGAAACATCCTCAATACCCCCCAATTCCAGAAAAAGGAAGTTGCCATCACAGGCTGGTATTCCCGAAATGGATCCAAAACAGAAGCGGCTTTTTTTCCAATGACGGCGAAACTTGGATGCCGCTCATCCCGACAGAAAAGCGCCGATACTCAGGCTCGGAATCCAGCAATCATTTAATATTGCAGGGTCACCGTTTTTCAAGGCTCCACTTGACAGCCGCCAGATTCGGGATAGATGTGGGACGTCTAGGGGCGAGACGGATACAGGGGGTTCTTTTTTCTATGGGTGTGTTGGCAATGACCTGCCAATCAAGGGCCTTGTAGAACCCATTCTCACAAAACAATAGAGGTCTCACAATTTCCTCATCGCAATGTCAATAGTTCGACGCCCTTGTTCATTGAAGTAAGGAATTCCACGTTGCGGTGAAGCGGCGCCCTAAACCCAATCAGGTGACATTGTTTTCGTCACTCGACTTTCTCCTCGACTTTCTCGACTTTCCCATCCATCAGGCCACAAATTCCCTGTTACGGAACAAGAAGACAGGCGATTCTTTTTATTGGCCGGTGCCACAATGCTCATGTCCTGTGGCACCTCGCAATGCCATGACTTGCACCCCCCGCAACTATGACCTACGATAAACAAAACAATGGCAGTATCGCCAAACCGTTCACACCCACCCTCAGCGCTGCATTCCATAGGAGTAACAGGGCTCCTTTGACACCAAAACTTGCAAGTCCAAGTCCCGGTCCAGGATTCCCACGTCGCCTCGCACAACCCGACCACCCCTATTCCAAAGACGACTCCCCCGCGGTCCCGACCTTTCTGAGCGCCAACGTCACTCCACGATCCGGTCCTCGAACCACCCGGCGAGATGGCGCTATCTACTCCCCCACAAATACTTCACCTGCCCCTTCTCCCTCTCCAAATCCACCTTACTCCCAGTCAACAATTGGTTATGGTCGTCGAGACCGCAGCCCGGCCCGCGGGGTCAAGCCGGAACAATCTCGAACTCTGAGGTCGAAGACATTGACCGCAGACAACCAGCCTAGATCAAGATTGAATTCTTTCTCGGATACGACATCCGGGACCCCCCTGTTCTTCCATGCGTCCGACGCACGATCGTCACATCCTTCTGAGCCATCAGATGCCCCTCGCCCGAGGCCCCAGGGGAAGACATCCCCAGCCTCGAGCTTCATATATGCGAACGGAGATCAAGAGCGAAAATCACTAGGGGAGCAATCGAATGTTACATCCGCTTCTGCCAAACGGCGATCGGGTGGTCTTCCCCGTCCCCTGTCCGCCAGCAAACCACCACCTTCCTCCTCGCGCTTGAGCTCTCCTGGTCTTCCAGATGTAGCTTCACACCCTCCAGAAGATATCAGATTACCATATGTCACCAGCATTGAGAGTGGACTAGGAATTAGCCCGCGTCTTGGCTCGCCCTCGTCGAGTACAATCGGCGAGAGACCGCGACCGCATCCGATCCGACATACCAAGTCCTCAAGCGTCGACTCAGGCCGCCATGGCAATTATTTACAAGACAGCTTGCGGGCAAGCCCAGTCATCGTATCCGGGAGCCATTTTGGTGAAGAACCAGCGCCTGTGATGTCGGAGCAGATACCCGCCCTTCGCCCTCGCATCTTCAGCAATGTATCCACCACCTCAACAGATACATACCCTCCTGTACCACTTAGTCCTGGGAAATCCGAGGGTCCGAGTGAGGCAGCTCTTAATGCGCGTATCGAGCGCAAGATCATGGACTTGGAAATAAGCAACTCTTCACTACTAGCCATCAATCGTACCCTGGAGCGCGAAATGCGACAACAGAAGGCGGAGCTTCGGCGGTTCCGACGACTGAGTCGCTCCGGACGCATATCAATGGCACCTTCCACCCGTTCATTCTCCGGAGCGGCACTCTCAGTTACCAGTGAGCTAAACGAGGGCGCAAGTGAGATTTCGAACCTGTCACAAGACGATATGTCCGACATCAGCGATGAGGATTCAATTGTGGATGAGAGCATCCTGAGTCCGGGCTCGCTGGCCGAGCATAATGCCAAGAACCGTGTCAATGATGAGAAACGCGTCATGCTTGACTTGGCGCGACATCAGGAGGTGCTAGTGGACAGCCAGAAGATGAACCAAAGTCTCAAGCGCTGTCTAGGATGGACCGAAGAACTTATCAAAGAAGGACAGCGGGCCCTGGAGTACAATGTTCACGTTCAAGACGTTGAGCTGGGTGGCCGAGTCCTAGCGCCTGAAGAGTTGGGCGAAATTGGTGAGAGCGGCCGTGGTCTTTTGAGCCCTTCAGTCCAATATAACGCCTCTTTTTCTCCTATGGAGGCCTCCGAACTATCATTTACTGAATCACTATATATTGGAACACTATCTCCTACGCCCTCTATTTCTGATCCGAGCACCTGATCTTATTTTTGGCCCTTGTCTCCCGGCGGGACGATTCAATTGTTTTCTTTCTTCCTCATACATTTGCACAATACCCTTTCTTTTTTGATGCGTTTCATTTTGAATTCGTCCTTTCTTCGATCGAGACAGATATTATCTCACTGTTTTGGACTTAGCGACTTGTACTATGAGACTCTGGACTTACCTTTCTTCCCTTGCGTTCACGATTTCCATCAGACAGGATGGTCAATGATAGACCTCTATACCCGATCATTTCATCCATCGCGAACACATTTTTTGGCTATTTCGAAAGATACCCGATGTGCAATTATTGTCTTGTGTTTATGTTCTGTCTCCATGTGCACTAATTGATCTGCACGCTTGAAAATGCTAGACTTCTGACCATGTTCGCTTAATGCTGTGTTCTTCAATATCTCATGTCTTGATTTTCTAGAAAAGAACGACCAGTCACTATGGTTACTCTCACAGTCTGCAACTTTGAAAATATCATTATATCATGGTCAACATCATCAAGAGTCTCATATCATGGAAATGGACACTGTCCCATCCGCTGCCGACGAAGAGTCTCCTTGAAACCCTCCAATTCCCTGTACCCCTTGCCCTCAAAATACTTCGGTCCCAGATCATCGGTGCGATAGCCCTGTGGGTAATATTTGTCCCCGTCATCACCAGGCAAAGGATGTCCAAGTGCCCATTTAAACCATGCCATCGGCCCCCAGCGGTTCCAGATTGTGGGCTGCACATAGAATGGAGCTCCGTCGTATATCAACACCCAGTTGCGGCCGTGCTTATTCGGTTTGTCGGTGAAAGCGTTCAAGCGCAAGAAGTCTGGGCGTGGCAGTGATAGGTATCGCAGGTATAGTTGGCGGAGTTTGAATATCAACGCAAGTATGCCGCTGAAAAATGCAGGTGGTTCTTCCATCCTAGAAAATGTACACATTAGACTCGCTGAATGTGGTGGTGAGTTGGGATACATACATCATCGCGGTCCGCAATCGATCTCCCATCAGATATGACACGAAGTATCTAGCCAACGGCTTCAAGAAATTTGGCAAGTTATATACCAGCACGTCAATCGTCTTTTCCGCAAGCTCCTTGTTGCGGGGGTGTGGCTTCATGTGCTGGATTTCGTATTGCTGGCTCCATGCACCAATCTCCCCCAGCCAGTGAATCCCATCTTGGAAGCCAGTCTTTCCAGAGGGCAAAGCATCATAATTGATTTCCAACGCATCACCGAGGCTCTTCCAGAATGTCCCGACAGCACATCGTTCCATTTCAGTCATCTCGCGCCACTCGAATTGTTTCACAAACTGGATTGGCTCGAGAGCGAATAAGCTCAGTGTGTATAACATGTCAGCTTCCATGATCTTGCCGCTAGCTCTGTAGCCCTTGTGCAGAAATTTGGTTCGGGCTATTGCTGTCCGCGCTCGCTCGGAGCGTGGGTCGAAAGTCATGAATTCGCCGATCAGTGTGCCTGTGTCGGCATATCTTTTGAATGATATTGTAGAGTCTGATAACTGTGATGTCTTCAGGAGCAGTGTGGATATTGTCGGAATGCCATATGTCTGCCCATGTCAACTTCCAGTCATATACATACTTGGATGGGCTTTGCATACGCGGAAGAGGGCAAACTGCAGTGACTTAAGCACAATAAAGGGAAACTCGGTCTGCATGATTGTCTTTTGAATAACCCAGGCATCCTGATCGGACATGCTGCGCATGGATTGCCTCGTTCCGTAGCAGCTATATTTACTGTGGAGTGTCTGCCGTCGTTGGAAACGGAGTGAAGATATCAGCGCTAGGTATGTTGCTAGCCCCAGCAACATACATAGTGTCTGCTTAGACAGTGAAGCTTGTAGCAAGGAGCTAGATGGAGGGACATCCTCGGTACTGGACGTAGGTAATGATGCCATTTATAACAAGGCGACGGAAATCACTCTGTAGATATAGATTTAGGTCTTGAGATAGAAATAATGTCTATTAAGATCAATTAATTGCACTCGGTCTTATATAGATTCCATCCTCTATGAACATATAACCTTGATGACGATTAATCGTGAAGTATATTGCTGATCTCATGTTAAGACGACCGGACCGAGGAAGATAGGCTGCGGGGAAATCTCACATCTCAAATGCATAAATTTTTGTATATGGGTGTACATCATGGGATATTGTGCTAAATAGAAATACCTATGAGCTGTATTCAACTGTACAAGAGAGCCGTGTAGTTTCAATATACCGAGGTTTGCAATTAAACCCGAATCATTCGACCATCCACGCCCTCTGTGCCAGTCCAATCAAATCTTCATGAATCAGCCTGATCGACAACATACTCGGTATCTCAGTCGGATGGACTTGAGCCAGCATCGTACGATATATCTATCCCTTGTCTCCCCTCTTTTCTCGCTTTGTACTCGTGCTTTTTTACTGAGGGGCTGCCAATTTCTCCGCCTCGAAACACAAAGCGTCCTTGGTTGCCCACTTCCTTGGAACCCTGCTTGTCTTTAAGAGGGTATGATCTTCTTCTTTAGATAATCGGGGAATGCGAGAAATCACAGGACCCTGTTCTTGAACTTTCAGCGGTCTTGGCTTCGTTCTCTCATCCATATCGTCTGACATGCCTAATAGCTTGCTTATATGTATTGTATGTAGTTTGATGTCGTCTTGATCAGGTCCGTAACTATGTACACATCGTTATAGATACATGCAGTCTCCCTCTCATTTTAGTGCTGTTGTAATCTCGCCAGCACCGTCTCCTCCATCCCGAACGATGATACCTAGGATCCAGACGTTCACGGCAAAGAAGAAGAGCCCTGCGAGAAACAGCCCAGGTACGAAGGATGATAGTCCCAGGAATTCGAGATTGTAACCTTGGTGCAGCCAGAGGGCCTATATAGTTGGTCAGAGTTGAAGCCCTGAAGATTCTGGTATCAGAAAATCACTAGACAATACATACCTGTCCGGCAATCCATAGTATGGCTGCTGATATGCCCAGAGCCGGTTTACGGATGAGCGAGGAAGATGGTAGGTAAAATGGAAGCAGGATGAGGTACCAGAGGAAATACTAAACAGATTAGCTGCGAGTATGACAATTTTCGGATGGAGTCACATACCTGACTGGTACAAACTTTGTTGAAAGTGACAAAAGTAAAAGTCTGCGCAAGCATCGTAGTAGTCAAGCTCTTCTTTGCCAGGACCAGAGGCAAAGCAACAACCACAAGGATTAGCTGCGGAAGGAAGGCCAGTGCCTCAAAGCGAGTTTCGGCCCCACCCGCAGCAGAAAGATAGAGCAGTGTACTATAGGGAGAGAAATTGTGGCGGTGATCGATACGAGTAAGATGGTGGAAGAAAGTGTGATGGAGGAACGGTTGACCGTGCTGGAGGTACATGACGAGATTCAATGCCACGAAACTGGCCAGTGCTGCAACTGTAAACTTCACCCGGGACGGAGTAATGAACCCCAAAGCCTTTGACAGCAGACCCGAGCCAGTCGTTACAGACCCATCGCGCTCAGCATCCCACCACCAGAGAATGGAGACACCATAGATGAACGGGTAAATTTTGAAATGCACAGCAAGACCCAGGATAAGCCCAGCAAGGACAGGCTTCTTCGTCAAAGTTGCCCAGAGGAGCGCCGCAACAAGCACACCGAGCAGTCCCTCCGAACTACCACGGGTACTGATATTGGCAACCATGGGATTCCACAGCCAAACAGCCGAAACGTACCGCAGCGCGCGCTCGACGGGAAATTGATAGCATCGGACAAGCAGCTGGACAACGAGCCATCCAGCAAGGACGTCAGACAATGCAAAAAGCGCCTTTCCAAAGGCGAAAGTCAGTGTTGACCAAGGCGTGGCACCTTCCCACGCAGTAGGGAGAAGCATCCATGCCAAGAGCGGCGTGTAGCGGTAAGTATCCCGAGTGTATGGCGACTCGCCCTTTGCAACATAGCGCGCAGCATCAGTGAACACCATGTAATCGATGTCGGTGTATTTCACGGTGGAGTGCGCATCCTGCCAGCCTCCATAGACGAGGAAAATGAGGCGGAGAGCTGTTGCGGCGAGAAAGACTCGCGCTGGAGAGTCGAAGATAGCCATTCCCTTACTTGCCAAAAACAAACACTCTTTTTCGTCCTTTGATAACAACCAAATAAAGAAATCAAAGGTTGCTAGGTTGTCTGTTGCGGCTAGCTCGCATAATTGGGCGGCTTGATGAACCCCTGGCGGATGTCGTCGGGGAAAGGAAGGAGCTGCACATCCAACTAATCTTTTTGGATCTTAAAATCTGTAGTGACTGTGGGCATGAATTAATTCGCCTTCCATTCCATACCATTCCGCTTGGTAAATCGGATGTTTACGTGGAAGATAATTGTTGATGCCACCTCGAGGCTGATATCCGCTGACTCAGCATGGTCCGTGTCCACGGGTCCGAGATTGCCTAATCGGGACGAGAAGTATACCTCCAGGGCTAGGTATTGCACCCTTAACACGGGAGGGCTGCTATGGACTGGCTGTTCACTGTTTATGCCTTACTTAGGCTTGGGGTTTGAGTATAGTCTATCTCTTGTTGGCGTCTCTCACAGCTGTACACTGCCTCGAATTCCTGGGGCTATCATCCTTCGTGCCTGGGCTGTTTCTCGCAGAGCTCTTCATAGAATGAACTGCCCAAACCAAGGTCTTTACCCGACAAGAACAAGAAATTCCCACTAATCTACGTTGGAACTGCAAGATGTGGGGGAAACGTTTATACCCATGTCTATGTCTTCACGTTTAAACTATGTATCAGGCACCGGCTAAATGCCTCGAATTTGACACTTCTCAAACGTGGCTACAGTGAATCTCAATAGAAGCATAGGTTGGTAATCCTTTGAACTCACTTGTCGCAGGGATGATATCTCCGGATGTATGAGGGTCAATAATGCTGCGATCGAAGGTTCTGCTTGAATACAAGCAGATCACAATAAACCTCATTTAGACTATGTGAGCGGGCCATGAACCACACAGCCACCTCAAAGCACCCAAAACGAGACCATTGACAAAAGGCATGTGCAGCGTAAGCGAGAAGTAATCCCTTCCAAGTGAGACCCATCGTTACAGCTCGGGCCTGTACAACATCACTCAAACCCCTTCTGCAAGAAGCCATCGTCCAATTTTAGAATTCGACCGGCCAAATTGGGACAATTAGATCTGATAGGTTAGAGGCCGTCAGATGATGTGGTCTACTTCTATGCTAAAAAAGAAATAAGACAGGCTAGTTATAAATCTCATTTAAACCTGGCTATAGTCTTAACATAGATCGTTCAATTCATTAGCCAGAGATGTACTGCAGATATATCCATACTATCTGTGTATCTTATATACCAGGATACGAAGATGGTGATCCCCTGCAGAGGAAACGAAGCTATATTACAAACTTCATTATCTCCCCAGTCCGCCGTATCTTTTCATAGACATTTGAAAACTTCATCGGAGCTTGGTGATTATAGCGATACATCTCCTTGTTTATTCTTCTCTCCGTTGAAGAGACTTCATCATGGTCCTGGGCATGGGAAAGTATATCAATCGAGGGCTTCTCAACCCAAAGTCCGATGAGTCTGCAAAGGTCGAGAATGCTAGGTCACCAGTGAGCTCGACCTCCAAAAAGATAAAATTCCGCCGCCATTGCAGGCGATTCTGGTGCTTCTACCTCATCGCCAATGTGATAGTCTTGGCGATTTTCCTACCGGTTTTGTAAGTCGCAGTTTTTACATATTCTCCTGTTTGTGATCAAACTAACATTGCCAAACAAGCTTTCTGGTCGCGATTCCTGCAGTCGCGCAACTAGTTGTCAACAAATCAGATCTACGACTCGTCAATGCCAAAGTGATGCACCCAACGGCAGATACAGTACGAATGACACTAGAGGCCAAGGTGAATCTGAAGCTTGCACTAGGCGTTCGGCTCGATCCCGTTGTCTTCTACGCATTTGTGCGCTCCGCAGGCCACGAGAATGCATATGCAGGAATTGAGATCCCCGGACAAACTATCAAGGGAAATTATTCACTTAAAGTCACCGACCAGTTGACGCCAATCCTCAATATGACTTCCTGGGAAACTTTTGTGAGTCAAGCTGTCTCCCAAAAGGAAACAGCATTATCACTCCATGGAGTGACTGTTGGATATCTCGGGGTCCTGAAAAACCACATCATATTGGATAAAGATGTGGTAATGCCAAGTGAGTCGCTCGCTAGAGTGGTATTCCACGGTTTGCTAATCTTCGAGATAGCTTTAAACAAGTTTGAAGGCTTCTCCATCGCGAACAGTACATTCCTCTTACCGGCAGAGGACGATGGAACCAATCTCGTTGCCAATATTACACTTCCAAACCCCTCCGTCCTCAGCTTCGAAGTTGGCACCATCACACTTGACCTCAAAAGCGGCAATACAGACCTAGTCATCGGCAACGCAACGGTCAAAGACGTCACACTTAGACCTGGAAACAACACATTCCCGTTGAGAGGTGTGATCGACATTGGTGCGATGATCGGCAACCTCAGCGAAGTTCTTAGCTCACAGGGCCCCGCCATCAGGACAGGCGCACTGAGCCTGACAGCTGTGACCAGATCTATTGTATCTAACGGCACTCTAATCCCGTACTATACAAAGGTCCTCGGGTCACTTCCCCTCGTGGCAAACGTGAGCATTGGCGACGTTCTTAGAAACTCGCTCGCTCATCTGGGCTCGAGTGAAACATTGTCAGACTTCGATGACAAACGCAGGAGAGGCCCTGTACAGTTGGGTGGCCCGGTTGGATACGGTGTCGCGTATAACCAGGTCGCAAGTCTGAAACACAACAGACACGTTCAAAAGATGTTCGAGGATGAAGATCCCGAACGACGAGACGCAATTATAGAATCGCTGGCTCGATATTATGCTTCACTATGAATGTACACTTTTACTTCAATTGGATTTAACAATACCTCAGTGACAGTTTTCTTCCTGAATTAAATCTTGATATCTGGTTCGCTAGGGGTGGATCGACCATTGAGGCAATGAGCCAATAGTGGTCATCATCCTAGTGTCCAAGGATGAATGAAGCTGTTGTGGATTAAGATCCCATTTTTGTGCCAACCGTATCATGAAAAACGAGAAAAATCAGAAATCCTACAGTACATTGAGATCCTTGAAGCATTGAATGGAAAGTTAAGTCTGTCATACGTTCATTTCCACATATCCCCTATGCTAACATGCTGAGAATTCACACAAACAAGGCAATAATAGAGTTGGGAAGAGAAGAGAAGAGAACAAGATTTCAGTAGTAAAGCCCGCCATTTGTGAAAAAAACAGGGTCCGGCATGGCATCAAAATACGTCGATTGTTCTCCGAATTTCAGACCTTTCTCATGATCCGGGGTCAACAAAGACATCGTGTCGTTCCTCTCATCAACATCAGCGGCAATCCCCGGCCACAAATTGTTGTCACTCCAACTCAGATACTCCCAGAGATACTGGGCCCCCGAATCATCCGTGAACGGGGTATTAGCGAGGGGGTCAAGGAACCCATTCTCGCCCATGTTACCACGACATGTATTAGACGCCGCGAATATGAGCGACATATCCCGATCAGCGGGATAAGAGCCACCAAAAATGCTAGCGGAAGAATCAGGATCAGCGAGGTCCTGCCCCCGCTTGCTAGCCTCGTAGATACGCGAGATAGCATCCAGCGATCGCTTCGCCGTATGGCCAAAGGACTGCATACGGGCCAGAGTCATCATAGCCATTTCCACCTGTACTTGACAGGACTCAATGGAAGCACGGGGGTCATTTACCGTTGGATCGTTGAGGAACAATCCCACTAAGGGCACCAGAGAAGCCTGGAAGGTCCACCAAACAGCATTCCATCCGCACAATTGGTTAAGCTGCGCTGTAGCGGCAATATTCCGAATAGATTCTTCTGCGACTTGGCGACATTTTTCAATCGCAGTGCGCTCCTCGGATCGCAGTGCTATATAAGGCACACGTCGCATGGCGTAGTTGAGCAGTGTTGGTCGGTACAGGAGGATCCGCTGGTTATAATAGCGCCAGCGCATTACTGTGCGGACAGTTTTTATTGACTCCGAGCAGGGCTGGTGGTCTTTCAGGACGGAGGGGAGGTTGTCCCACCACTCTAGGAGCTGTGCATCTGCGTGGGCCATTTCTTGGTGCTTGACTAGCGGTGCTGCGGCGAGGGACTCTTGGACTTGGGTTGCGATTTTGGCGAAGCGAATGTTTTCCACTAAGGGGAGGATCTCGAGGACGTTTCCCTATTAGAATGACATTAGTCAAACGATCGTTTTTTTTTCTTTCTAGAGTGTAACAGGGCCTACCTTATCTCGACATAGAGGGGGTTTAACTGTAATGTTCGAGCCTATCCGACCCATACTAGGTCGGCCTAGCGTCATGCCGGCCCAGGTATCCATGCAGAACAAAGACCACCAGACGCGGCGCTTAAGATCCATGGAGGCTAGCTTGGCCGGACTCGATATTTGATGAGTCTCCGTAAACTCCTTGTGCAATCCTAGGGCAGCCGCCATACGCAGCGCGGCACCCATAATGGAGTATGCTAGATTCGGCTGACTGATATAGTGACAGTACCAGCCCCCCATCAGTCCCAGCGCCTGGATAGTCTCGATATGGGAGCTTCCCAAGGAACTCAGAGTTAAGTGACCCTTGAATCGCAGGAAGTATGTCTGGTGTGTTACATCATCGGGTCCTGTAGCAGCAATGCAACCGAGAGCAAGAACAATGTTCAGCAGAGCAAGCCAATGGTCATCTCTCCGACGACCAGAGCAGTAAGCCTCACGGAAGGAGGGCTCATCGATCATGGGAGCGAAGGCTTGGAAATAGAGGAAATATGCATCGAGCATTTGCATCTCTGAAGGTGGAATAGGGGGCTGTGAGGGTGTGGGAGGCGCAAGATGCGGCCATCCTATCGCATTTTCCTGTTCATTCACGGGCGTACGCGAAAAGTACGGGGCACAGCCTGGATCCAACCAGACAATAACCTTGATCACAGCCTGGATAGATGATACACCCAGGTAAGATGAAGGTTGGCGAGCCGACAGCGACAAGCCATTAACATCATCTGAGACGCCCTCTACTAGATCAGAGGAGCTAGTATTACGGCTATCGGGTAGTTCCTCAGGCATAGTTTGCAGGGCCTCGAGGTTGTCATCGTCATTCGATAACGGTGAGACATGGGCTTCCAGCGAAGCCGATGTCGATGGTGAATCGGTCTGATGTGACAGTGCTTGCATATGAGAGCTCGATGGAGTGGTTATGAGCTCAAGGAGTTTCTCACGTGGCAAATTTGCCAATGACTCTGGAGAGAAGTTGGGGAATAACTTTCCCAAGATACCTCGATACTCTTCCAGGGTGGTAGATAGCTTTTCTACGTGTCTGTGTATATTAAACTGGTTAGATGGTTGGGGTTAGAATAAAGCAATGGGCAAGGCTCACCTCCGTGATGGCCGTGGGTCTGAATAGTGGCACTGGTCTGACTTCTTATACCACCGACATGCCTCACATGGCTTCTCGCCATCACACTTGATCTTGCGATGGCGACAAGATGTACAAGCGCGCAAGGTTGTCACACGGCGACTAATGGAATCACGCCTTTCACTAGTGGACCGGTTACGGGCAGGAGTTGCTGCCGTAGGATTTTCGAAACCCTCGAATGTATGGAACATTGCTGATGCTATGAATTCACGACCACCGTGTGGTCAATGAGTAGGCCATATGGATCAGTAGAATAAGAGTGTATGATGTTTCCGTTGAATCGAGACAGTTCTTCACATTGTGGAAAGGTGGCAAGTCATATGTGCAAGGAGATAGAAAAAAGGTTCCAAGCGAAAACGCCGATTAAGAAAAAGCAGGGTAATAATAAGAAAAAAATAGGCTGATCCGCATAAATATCCCCGCATTTTGTTGGATTTGAACGATGCAAGTCTTTTTATAGGCTAGTGATCTCCGCGACAACTGAGGTTTCGAGTCCCGACCTGCCTAATATCCCGGGAATTGCCACGCCAGCATGAACAGGGGTGGCAGATTTGCTATACAGAATAAATCTCTTCCTTCCAGTATTCAAACGCCACAGAGCGTGCATGGTAGGGTACTCGGCACTCCCTGGTGTGGCATGGATTCCCCGAAGTGAGGGGCAATTTCCCCAGACTCACTTTAGGAAATCATCATGAGCCCTGCAAGATGGGACTAGACGATCGTATAGGAAGATCACTAGCTCTGCATGTCCGTTCTCGCATGGGGTCCAGTACCAGGCAATTTCCCTTTGACCGGATTTTCCAACCTGTTTCGCCAATCAACGTGTCAAACCTCTTCTTAGCGCCATGCTCCGTGTGCTCCGGAGTACGGAGTATACCATAATGGCTCTAAGCCCGACGCCGAGGCCTGGAATGAGGGATTTTCACGAATCAAGGAGCAGGTGCTCATTTCCACTTATGCTTACCCCGTGTATCAGGAGGGGCAAGGTGCGACGGCACATCTCGCCACTGGGGTTCGGTGCCGAGATACTTTCGCGCCATGTCTCTTTCGAGTCAAGGGCCCGAAATGGGGACACGAACGGTCAGGAGTTCACGCCTTATTTTCTCTTATTCTCGAAGCGACAAAGAGGCCAAGAGAGTCAAACTCGAAATTATTTAAAGCCAGCACTGTGCAGAGCTCCACGTTTTGATCATTGATCTCCGGGGAAATTACCGGGGCATGCCAAGCCTGTGGGATGAAAGGGAGCCGAAGGGTGCAGGACGCCCGTTGCCTGCCAATGTTCAACCGTCATTGGTTCGGTTGTGACTCTTGTGACGAACGATGCATACTAACGGTAATTGGTGCAATAATAATAAGTTCGATATAGGCAGTGTCATGACCTAAAAAAGCTGCCTGCGCGCGGGGAAGGCAGATGGTATGCAGGTCCATCAGTCCAGAGAGTCTGCAAGTTTATGATATCAGAAACTGATGGAAAGAAACCCGAACATCAACAATGCATGTTATGTTGAGCTTGACGGGACCTTTTCCGTGGCCAACAAAGCTCTTGGGTGGATATAAGAACCCCAGGGGTTGACATTGCTGAGTGGGACCTCGGGAGATATGGTTGAAATTTTGCCGTTTTGCAAATTCTCATTCTTTCACTGTATTTGCAGAATACAAGTTGCAAATATACAGGTCACGTGCCACACTAGTCCCTTTTGGACACGGCCAAAGGAAGTCTCCGGGCTTATCGATAAGGACAAGTCGGTCTCCACCTAACTATCCATGGATGTATAAGTCCGGGGTAGACCAAGCAACCTCCTGTATATTGCCAATTGCTTTTCAAAATGGCTAAGATCATACACTCTCTTTCTTCTGACTGGTCCTTCAAGGATCGGGACACCGACGAATGGCTGCCAGTGGCTTCGGTCCCATCTGTGGTACAACAGGATCTCATTGCTAACAACAAGTGAGCTGGGTTTGTTAGACGAAACGTTTCAAATCTAAAAGGTCTCTTTCAACAGGCTCGATGATCCTTATATCGGATTCAAAGAATTGAACGCCCGCTGGGTCAACGAGAAGACGTGGGTTTACCGAAAGGTGGTGGAGAAGCCATCCGTCCCCGCCGGCTCTGCAATTGTACTGGTCTTCGACGGTCTTGATACATTTGCCAAGGTCAAGATGGATGAACAAGTGATCTTGGAGAGTGATAACATGTTCCTGGGCCACCGAGTGGACGTCACCAAAGCATTGGAAGCAGAGGACGAACACACGCTCGAGATTGAGTTCGACTGTGCACTCGTCAAGGCACGCGAGCTCCGATCCCAGCACACGAAACATAAATGGGTCGGGTTCAATGGTGATCTATCTCGCTTGGCTGTGCGAAAAGCTCAGTATCACTGGGGCTGGGACTGGGGTCCAGTGTTGATGACCGCGGGCATCTGGCGTGCCGTACGGTTCGAGGTGTATCAAGCTCGCGTGGCCAATATTTGGCCCCAAACACAGCTATCTGCAGACCACCAGGCAGCTGATGTAACGGTCGTTATTGATGTGGAGAGTGTCGGTGATCGGGAATATACGGCCCAGTTTAGCCTTGGCTTAAAAGGAAACGAGATTGCAAGCAAGACTATCCCTGTGTCCGAGAGAACAACTCAAGTAAAATTCCCAGTCGACAAACCGGCTCTGTGGTGGCCCCATGGATATGGCGAGCAGACTCTGTACGACATGTCGGTGTCGCTACTTCGCAATGGTGAACAAGTTGACCAGACATCTAAAAAGTTTGGTATCCGGGCCGCCGAGATCGTTCAACAACCGGACAAGCATGGCAAATCCTTTTTCGTCCGACTCAATGGAATGGACATTTTCTGCGGCGGTTCGTGTTGGATTCCGGCAGACAGTCTACTCCCTGCTGTCAGTGCTGAGCGATACCGCAAGTGGATTGAACTTCTGGTCGCTGGCAGACAAGTGATGATACGGTAAGTTTTGTTTTCCTATGTGTTCTCGGATGTGGATTTAGCTAACGTTGAACAAGTGTCTGGGGTGGTGGTATATATGAAGACGACTCCTTCTATGAGGCCTGCGATGAATTGGGAGTACTGGTCTGGCAAGATTTTATGTTTGGGTGTGGTAATTATCCCACATGGCCTAAGATGCTCGAGTCTATCCGTCAAGAGGCAATCTACAATTTGGAGCGTATGCGCCACCATCCTTCGATTGTGCTCTATGCGGGCAACAACGAGGACTATCAAGTGGCAGAGTCAGAAGGCTTGACCTATAACTACGAAGATAAAGACCCGGAGAACTGGTTGAAAACAGATTTTCCAGCACGATACATCTATGAGAAGCTGCTTCCAGATCTGGTGGCTAAATACTCACCTGGCACATTCTATCACCCTGGGAGTCCATGGGGAGATGGCAAGATATCGTCAGATTCCACTGTTGGTGATCTACACCAATGGAACGGTCAGTGTTCTCTAACAAATCTCGAATCATTGCGCTAATCACTAGAATAGTGTGGCATGGAACGCAGGAGAAATACCAAATTTTCGATACTCTGGGCGGTCGGTTCAACAGCGAGTTTGGAATGGAGGCATTCCCCCATATCTCTACCATTGACTACTTCGTCGAGAATCCAGAGGACAAATTTCCTCAATCCCAGGTGATTGACTTCCACAACAAGGCCGACGGTCATGAACGAAGACTGGCTACGTACCTTGTAGAGAATCTACGGTCCGCCACAGACCTCGAGGTATGACCACCCGTGATGACCACCGATGCAGGCTAACGTCTCCAGACCTATATCTATCTCACTCAAGTTGTACAAGCAGAGACCATGATGTTTGGCTACCGAGGCTGGCGTCAGCAATGGGGCGACGAGCGACACTGCGGTGGTGCACTGCTCTGGCAGCTGAACGACTGCTGGCCGACAATCTCATGGGCCATCGTGGACTACTTCCTTAGGCCAAAACCAGCGTACTACGCCGTTAAGCGGGTCTTGAACCCGATCGCCATCGGGGTCCGACGTGAGCACCACGACTGGAGCGTGTCACACGCCCAACCGGCCAAGACCAGCAAGTACGAACTTTGGATCGCCAGCAATCAACCCAAGACCGTACAAGGCAGTATCGAGCTGCGGTTCCTATCTGTCAACACAGGCCGCGATCTTCGGGCTCCGATCGCGCGCGAAAATATCACCATTGCTGCCAATGGCACCACGGACATCATCAATGGTGTTCTCGACCACATCGCCGAGCCAGAACCGCATGTCCTCGCCGCCCGGTTATGGGTTGACAACCAGGTCGTAGCACGTGATGTCGACTGGCCACAGCCATTGAAGTATCTCAATCTGTCCGAGCGACAGGTAGAGGTAAAGAGGCAGACAGGGAAATCTGGTGAGACGGTGTTGGTGATCAGTGCCTGCAAGCCGGTTAAGTGTCTTGTGTTCAAGGAGCAAGAGGGTGTACAGCTTGCGGACAACGCTATCGACATTGTCCCTGGTGATGAGCAGACAGTCAGAGTTACTGGCCTTGGAAGTGAGCCTCTAAGGTACCGGTACTTAGGACAAGTCTCATGCGAAGTGGTCGAATGAGTGGCTACTACCTATGCTATATAGCAGTGGGCAATATGATTATAAGGGGCAGAAGCACTTCAAATACCAGGCATAATTCTCATGAATATCAATAGATGTACGATGTAGTACATATTAGACAACGACTAAGAGACGATCATCTCATATCTTATCGGCCCTGGGGAGATCTGAACTTAACAACCTCCAACTTTTTGCCAATGGGTACCAAACGCGACTGGGAAGGCCAGCCACTTGAGCTGCATCCTAAAGATACAATCATGGCAGAAGCAGAGTCAGCTCCTTCAATCCTGTCAATCTTTGAGAACTTCCGCGACGAGCTGGACGAGCACCATGACCGCCGCGAGCGTATCATCAAGAAAAGCCGCGACATTACCGCCTTGAGCAAGAAGATGTATGCCTCCACTTCCAGCTCAAGAAGAGCACCACTAACTAGGATTCTTTTAGCATCTTCGCCCTTCAACGAGTCCGCGCAACGAACCAACCCATCCCACCTAAAATCGCCCAAGAAAACCAAACCCGCTTCGACCAAATCCAGGCACTGTTCGAAGCTGTCGTCCCCGAACAATTAGGGATAAATGGCTGGCGATACCAGCGCCAAATCAGCCCTGGAATCCAGGAATTCATCGAAGCCATCTCCTTCGACCACTACCTACGCACGGAAACGCTAATCACGCACGCCGAGTGCTCCGCCCGCGTCCCACCACAAATACTCATTTCAGAAGAAGACTACCTACTGGGCCTGTTTGATCTCACGGGAGAGATGATGCGCTTCGCGGTTCTATCTCTGAGCTCCGGGAATACAACTGCTACCCAAGTGACCAAGAACACAACAAACGAAAGCGAGAAATCGCCGGTCGCTGCGTCCCAGGGTGGCATCGTGGTTGATCTACGTGCTATGCGCGCAGGATTTGAGGCGCTCAGTGTGCCACAGCGGCATTACATGTTCCGGGATATGGCGAAGAAGCTGGATGTGATGCAGAACAGTGTGGAAAAGGTTGAGCGGGCGGCGTATGGGATTGTCGTTCGTGGGAGTGAGAGGCCGAGTGGGTGGACGCCTGATCTGTCGGGCGCGATGGAGGTGGCATCCTACTAGGAAACTACGTATCATGAAGTATCCAGCAATGATCGATGGCTTATTTTGATTGACAGCGTAGTCCGTTATAGTTCGGGGGGTTGCATGGCTATTCATATGCCAGGAACTATACAGAACTTGACAATCAAGTCTTCTCCCGCTTGATGTCTTAATATCCCCTATTAATAACTTACTCCGACATTTTATGAAAATCGCATATTCCATATTGACATTGCTGTACCGACAGGTGCGTCACCGTGACATCACTAGTTCAGAACGGTAAAGACCGTAGAAGCCCGTTGTAGGGACAGGTTGGGTGTAAAAGGAAAAGACAAAGCATTTCCAATTGCAAAAAACAAAGCAAGAAAAACGCCTTCGTAAAACGATCGTGTCACCCATATCCCATAGCACCAAGAGCCAAAGTTACGGCCATGTTGACTGTAGACGGCCAAATCAGACGGGCGAGCGTGGGTTCTCATCCTCGGAGAGAATACCCTGCGAAATCAGGTCTTCGGGCTGTGGCCGGTTCTGAATCTTATGCTCGAGGTTATCGGCCAGCATGTGCTTCTCGAGTTCACGGGCAGGGGCCTGCAGCGCTGGGGCAGCGGAGGTTGCGGGGAGGATATTACCTTGGCGGGTTGTTAGTATATTGAGAGGAACTCAGGTACCAATCTCAGGCACGAAATGAAAGTGAAAAAAAGGGAAATGGGAAATGATCTATCGAATCAGAAGGAAAAAAGAAAGGAAAACAAACGCTCAACCAACTCGTCCTTCTCAGGCCTCTTCTCCAGGTTCTTCTTCAGACTGTCAGTAGCACGCTGGCGGTCGAGCACCTGGCGGGCAGATTGAATCGCTCTATCCTTGTGTTAACGATCATATCTCACGAGACTCATGGGACTATTCCCGAAGCACTCACGGAGCTACATTGGTGTCCAGCAGGATGTGGCGGTTCTTGAGGTCCTGCATTTCCGGGCGGGTTTGGAGGTGTTTCTCCAGCGAGTTGCGACGCTCGTAGGTTGGGGGAAGTGACTGCTGAACGGAGGACATTGTACTTGTCGCAAGTAATGATAGTCAAAGTGTTGTTAAGAAGTGGAATCAGTCGAGGAATGGAGAAGGCGAAAGTCAAGTGGTGGTCCCGTGGGACAATCACGCGGGGAAAGCGGCGGTCTATACATCGACACCATATCACCGTGAAACTACACCAAAGGGAAAATATCAAGAATAATGCAATTTACTGGGATAATCTAGGATAATCTGGGATGCTAGTAGATCATAAAACAAAAAAATACAATCCACCTTCATACCATCTCCCAGCGCAAAACAGAAAGCAACCGTCTCAACGTCTCCGCAATTTGACGATCTCCCATCTCCGTCTCCTAAGAAAAGGGTGAAAGGGGAAAAAGGGGGGGCACAGGTTTTCCGAAGTAGACATATCCAAGCAGCGCATCACAGCCGCGGGTCGAATCCACCAAGGGATTCGTGTCTTTTCGTGTCCGAGATCCGAATCATGCCGGGGTTCTGGGATCGTTTATGCCAGAGGAAGAGGGAAAAGCGCACTCTGCAGGCAATCACAGCAAGACAGATCCAGATCCAGATCCCCGCATTCGGGGGTTTATTGCAGTCCAGCAAAGAGAAAAGAGACACCCCTGTCCAGTTCTGGATGCATTGGTTCACAAAACACTCCAGTCTACTGTCATCAAGAGATGATTTGAAGGTAGACTGTTCTGCTCATGCTAATCAAGGAACCCAGAGCTTACCCCGGCCACGACCATTGCCTCGTGCACCGCGCGAAGATCCACCACGGCGACTATTGGATGAGCGGCGAGAGGCCCCAGCGTTACCACGGGCAGCACCGGTGGCACCCGCAACACCCTGTTGGGTACTCAAGTCTATAGTGGTCGGCTTGGTTGCGCCGCCCAGAGACCGGCTGAAAGAGTCGGGGTCTATGGGCTTGGTAGGAACTTCCACGGTAGGTGTAGGCTCAGCAGGAGGTGGCGCAGCCTTAGGGGCAGCCTTGCGCTGACCCCCACCACGCGAAGCACCTCGAGTAGTTCCTTTTCCACGACCGCGGGGGACGAAAACTAGCTCATCCTCGTCGCTCTCTTCCTCGTAGGACAACAGAGTCTTCGGTTCAGCGGGCTGGGCCTGAGTTTTCTCGACGTATTTGCAGCGGTTTTTGTACTCGCGCTCCTCGTACTGGATAGCGGTGCGTAGCTGCAGAATGTTCTTGACACCAATGCCAAACTTCTGAGCCCACACCTGGGTCGCACGGTCATTGGAGATAAGAATGCAGGTCTTGGCTGAATTCTCGGCATCGGGGCCGGCATGCAACCGCCAGAGCAGAGCGCTCAGCAATGGGCGCAGAGCGGGCGGTGCGGTCGGGATGACGGATCCGGAGATGGTACGCTGGTGGTTAGAGGACTTGCTCTTGGTCCTGTCATTCTTTGTTGCTTCATTGCCGGACCCGTGCTGGGCACACTCGGGGCTGGTACGGGAACTGCGAGAGGATGTGCGCGATCCAGGTCCACTGGGGGTGCCGACGGAGGTGATCGACACCGTCTCCGGGTCCTTCTTGAAGTTCAGCTTGGACAAGAGCATCTGCGACAGGTCATCCGACTCGTTCTTGGTCAAAGTATCGCGGGCGCTAGTTTCGATCGCTGGCTCGTCATTGTATGTCTCGTCAACTACCTCGGGCTCCTCTTCGAATTCCGGCAGGAAGAATTTCTCGGCCTCCTCCCAGCGCTCGTATTGCTCCATGGGGCCCTGGAGTAGAACTCGGTCGGCAGCGATGTGGTCTTTGCCGGAAGTGACCCGGTCAAGAAAGCGAACTGCTTCGCGCGCATTGATGGCGATCTGCGACCCTGCTCGCTTCAGCGCATGGAGTCGTTCAAGTGCTAATTAGAGGATAATGGTTAGACCGGCAAACGCTGCAGTGAGACAATCAAAGTCTCTTCAACATTCGGGTACTCACTGTAGAGAGGAACTACGAGATCGATAGCCCCATTAGTAGTCCATTTTTTGATTTCGCTAATATTGGTGGAGAGGGCCGTCTCGTCCACGGCACAGCGGAAGACCTTGCGTCCGGTCGACATGGCGGATACCAAACGTACTCGTTCGTATGTTGGTAAAGAGTGGGAGATACAGGGCAAAGATCACCCTATATCGCAAGACTAGAATTGTAGACAACCGCGACTAAATCGGGGCCAGGGTCAGCACGGGCCTAGAGCTGAGGAAGGAGGTTTGATGATGGAGGGACCTGGGAATGTGGGGGGGTAAGGGGAGTAGTGGGATGTCGGTTGATAGAGCCATGATTTTCACTCACGATGAGAATCCAGTTGACAGGATGTTTCCATCTGCAGCATCTTTGTAACAATACAGTCTGCTTGGGGTCAAAGAACGCACCTTGAGAAATGATGCGATGGGCAGAGAAGGAAATATGCTGACTAAGCGCGTTATAGGAACAAGACGGGATTTAAAGAGAGAAGTGAGGGTTTCTATATATCGAAGAGGGATACAGTCTAAGAATAGGAAGAGAAAGAAAGAAAAGATCATGTTTGTGAAGGAAAGGGTTCCAAAGCCATCATCCCAGCCTATGACTTCACCTTCTTGATGAGGCCGTCCGATTCCTTCACTCGTTGCGCCCACTCACTGGTTTTGATGTTCATATTAGTACTAGTAGCAACATTTGAAGTACAAGGGAAACTTTGTTATACTTACGTCCAACTGCCGTCATATACCCGACGCAGGTTTGGGTCGCCATATTCGGCCTCACTCAGAGCTGTCTCAATGATGGAGGCAGTCACGCCAGTACCACACGAGCTGATAATTGTTTGGTTTGGATCCACCTTGTGGTCTTCAAAAACCTTTCGCAAGTCTTCAACGGGGAGATAGGCTTTGGTTTCAGGGTCGAGGAGTTCTTGGAAGGGCAAGCTCTTGGAGCCAGGAATATGGCCCGAAGAGAGGCCAGGGCGCGGCTCTGGATCGGTTCCAGCCCAGCGACCATAGGAGCGTGCATCTAGGATCTCTATTTCCTCTGCACCTTCTTTGCCATAGTCAAATGCTAACTCCTTCATCTCTCGGAAGGAGATCACTAGTCGCGAGTCGTACGTCGGAACAGAGTACTTCGACTTCTCCACCACCGCTGGCTCGCCGCTCTCAGTCGGAAGACCGTCTTTGATCCAGAGACGATAGTTGTTGAGGATATGTACATTGGGATGGCCGAAAACACGAAGCGTCCAGCCTACACGCGGCGCACTGAATATGCCCAGCTCGGCAGTGTCGTATACCACCACCGAGTCGTCGCGACGGATCCCCAATTCGCTCATGGCCTCGGCAAAGGTCTCGCAAGTGGGAAGCATGTGTGGGTAGGGTGAATCTTGATCTTTGATAGCATCAAGGTCAAAGAATCGGGCCTGGGGGATGCGCGAGTTACGGAACGAGTCAATTCCCTTGCGTCCCTCTGGGTCGTTCGGCATGAACCATGCTGCACAGAGAGGAATCACGCGCGGGGAAGTTGAGATCTTTGTCCGGGGATTCTTCTTGAGTGCTTCATTCAGCTGCTTTGGGGTCACTAGATACGAAGAAAAAGAGACATTGCGCTGAGTATGGAGCCCTGTGGAGACCGACATGTTGGGGCGGAAGAGACGAGCAGAAGCAAAGGATCTGGCAGTGAAAGCCATGGTGGAGAGGAAAGAAGCTTTTTGAAAGACCAATTTACATAACGAGGTAGCAAAGACTCGGGGAAATATCCAAATGCAAGCCAGACCAACCACGAGTAAGAGGAAGCGGAAGAGCAGGGAAGAGCAATAAGAGGAGTACTATTGCGTGTTATGGCGGCATGTGTGGAGGTGCGGAGAGTGGACATGTGATAGGAGGCTGATAGGAGAGATAAGCGGTGTTGACCGATGCTTTCCTTCTCTTCACCTTTCTTGATTCTCCACTATCCCACCCCACAATGAAGGTCGCTATTAAAGAATGGAATGCCGTCGCTACTTGGCATTGGAATATCCCCGAGGACGAGGTGTGTGGCATCTGTCGTGTCCAGTTCGATGGCACCTGTCCAACCTGCAAATTCCCCGGCGATGACTGCGCACTTGGTGAGTGAACCTTTGACTCCCAATTCCATACGGAATACTGACCACGGTGATTATTATAGTGCAAGGAAGATGTAACCACGCGTTCCATATGGTAAGACTGCGGAGTGGGCATATGAGCTATCCCTAGACTAATCAACACTTTGGAAACAGCACTGCTTAATGACCTGGATTGACCTGGAATCTTCCAAGGGACTATGTCCAATGTGCCGACAAAGTAAGCTTTACTCTGCATTGTCTGTGATATCGAGCTAACTGTCTCCAGAATTCGAATGGAAGGACAAGGAATAACGGCCCAATTTGTGTTTTCTTCTTCTCATCAATGGTTATCAAGGCGTTGTCGGACGAATTCAAGATACCCCCTTTGCATTTTTGTTGGGCGCCAAATTAGATTGGAGGAGTTGGTGGGACCTCAATCTCAACTGAGCATCAAATTAATCCCGTGGTTGGAGCGACTTCGATTAAACCGAGTTTATACTTCGTATTCGACCTTCCATTTGTCGATATATATTGTTGCAGATCGCGCCATAGATTAGTCGACTCATACAATACCCAAGCCCCAAGGAGCCTACCAACTACCATATAAATACAATCACCATGAAGAACGCAGAATAATCCTAACGTCTCAGGGTGAAACATGTACCAATATCAAAGTCGCTTGATCCCCTCGGAAGGTCCGGCCGTTGTCGTCTCTCGTCTGATCGTCACGTGGCGCTATCGATAAGAAGCTCTCCGCACGCGATACAGAACCTCGTCCTAACCTAAGCTCCTCTCCAGAATGATGTAGCCTTGGCCTATGGAGATGTCTCTGAACAACTCTCCCTATCATCCTCCCCTATCCTCTTCTTCGTCTAGGCAGTCCCTGCACAAAGAAGCACTGTTTCGACCAGGCACCGCCTCTTCGCGGCCAAGTGATCGACAGTCCAGAGGGCAACTGCCTGAGGGCCGCTCATCAACAGACGAAACTCATCAACCCCCGGGAACAACTGCCTTGCCCTGCCAAGATGAAGCTCTGGATGAGACCGAAGATCATTCTGAGGAAGGCCAAGAAAATCTGACTCATCCCACATTCCAGCCGTTCTTCGCCTTGATTGAAGACGCCCATACCTCAGACTACCACCACCCAACAGTCCACTACATATTCTCCGACGATGACACCGAGATCGTGACAGAGGCAGCCCTGCGTAGCTTGGCCGCGCAGCAAGAAGCTCTTTCCGATTCCAAGAAAGATCAGATCGCGCAGACCCAATCGCCCACTCTGCAGGACGAGATGAAAGATCCCTCCGACCCGGACCTAGCCAAGTCCACCCTACTCCCACCGTCCGTTCCAGGTATCCGAGATAATTATGTCATTCTCGACATAGAGCCCTCACCACACACACCTGACGTAGGGCAAACTAGTCCTATAACCGAACAACTAGCACCGGGCAAAGGCGGGGGCGGTACAAGGTCCATATCCTCGTCACCGGCGAACCCTTCCGTGCTCCCACAGGATCAGGGGCAGTTACACCCGCAGTATCGCGTTACCGCGGCGCAGAGCTTCTCGTCAACTTGGCAGGTTCTCAGTACGGAAGTGGCGACGGCGCCCACCTTTGAGAATAACAATTCCGGCGAATCACCAGGACAGGGGTTGATGCTGAAGATCCGTGGCACAGGTGGACTGCCGATTGAGGTAGGTAACACGGAGAAGGACCGTACACTGGAAGAGATGATGGACCAGTTTGCAAAGCGGATGAGCGAGTTGCAGGTTGTTATCGATGCTGCGGAGGCCGTGGATTTGAAAGAAGAATATACCGAAGAAGAAGTTGTGCAACATCCTTTCTCTCAAGACACAGCTGAAGAGACTACCCAGGGCGAGGGGGATAGTGCTGCATATGCTGCAAAGGTTGAAGGGGAACATTCTTGATGATTTTATATTTGCTGTTTTTGGCGCATTGTGCGGAACATCGGCTGTTGTACTAAGTCTAGTCTATTAACAGGCTAGAACCGGTAAACCTTATGAATATATCTTGACTACAAGATGAATCAATCCAAACTAGGAGATCGGGTATGATATTAAGATCAAATTTGACATCCCGATAAGAATATCAATGTAGTTGAACCGGAAACGCCATGTACAGTCGCCTTTCTATGGAACTCAGACAAAAGAGGAGATAGAAGAGAATGTCCAACCCAACACTGTTTTCTCAGCCAAAAACTCCGACCCAGAGTGGAAAGCCAAGCGACTATCGGGTATCAAAAATCGACAAGAAAGGAGAAAAAACCAAAAGCAAAAATTAACATGGAGTCCACCTAATCAGAGGTGCGGTTTCTGAACCTTCGACTACCGGCGATGGCTGAAGGGGGCATATTTTCGCGACCCTCCTTCATGCCAGCCATCCTTTTTGAGAGCATGGTTTTGGGGAGTTTAGTCCCGGGATTGTTGGTTGAGTTCGAGCGGCGCCGTTTGCGGGAAGGTTCTGGCTCTTCCTTTTCTGGCGTTTCGTCCAGGTCCAAGGATGTGGCCAACGCGGGGGTTTCTGGTTTGATGGGAGGTAGTACGTCCTCACCATCAGACACAACCGGTCTGGCGACGTTTAAGTCGACTTCCCTAAGGCCAGTGTTGGATGGTGGAGCTGCGAATGATGGAAGAGAGTGGCCTACCTCTTCCGGGGTATCATTATACACGAATTTCTTGGACGGTGAAGCATGTGGCGAAGTGGGAGCAGGGGAATCTGGTTGTCCCCCCTCACTGAATGGCAGAGCAGTAAACTGCTTGGATGTCCGGTGTCGAGTGCGAAGACCGTCGTGAGCTTCCGTTTGGGGCATTTCCGAAGGGTATTCGTAGCGTCGTTTCTGAGGGGTTATACCTGTTCGAACATACTCTTTCAGGGGGCGGCTCTGGATGTTGGACCGCATTTCCAAAAGTGGCTGGCGCACTTCAGCGTGTAGGGGTGCAGTAGTTTGTTCCAGGTTCTTGGTAAGCATATCGACATCCTCCTGGAGTTGCTCGACGCGTCCAGTGAACGTATTGAGTTGCCCATAGACGTTTGAGCGTGACTCTCGGACCGTATTAGCCATGGTATTCAAACTGCCTAGGTGTGATTCATGGAAGCGGCCATTCTGGGACCGTGCTTTGGCAACGAAGTCATCCAAAGCCTCCATTTGTGTGCTCATGTCGCTCATCTGAGCATCAACAATGCGCACAGTCTCTTGGTGCACAGATTCCGTTGCCCGATGAATTGAGGCGTTGCGCTGGTCGAAAGTCTACTGCTATTAGTTTCATTCCGCAACCCAAGGATGTCAGTCGGTCTTACCTCCCAGTCATTCTGCATCCTGGTTTTGATTTCATCCTTGGATGCAGTAATGTCCTTGGCAAACTGCTCCTCCTTGAAAATCCATTCATCAATGTGCCTGTCGTGCTGCGCAGTCGCTTGCTCAAGAGAGTCGCCTGATGCCGAGATGTCGGTGCGAAGGGTATTAAATTTGCCCTGAAGGCGGTTGTTCTGTTTCAGGCTTGAGTCCTCAAGGAGTCCCCGGATGTGAGACATAAGAGTTTCGCGCTCGACTTGTGCACTCGCATGTTCCTCTTCGAGAACCTGTGCTAGATTGAATGAAGCTTTTCTATTGGCCTCCACTGTCTGACGGTTAGCTGCCTGCAGCTGGAGACGTAGTCTGTGGACTTCGGATTTCTGTTCATCGATGTGCTTTGCCATGCCCTCGAACATGGTCTTGAAGTCTTTGCCGAGTGTGCTGTATGACGAGTGAAGTTGCGAGTGAAACTCTGAGAACTCCCCAATGACCTCTTCGGAGATTCGAGCAGCAGCAGCCGACAAGCCATTCAGGCCTTCGCCAACTTTGGACTTAACCTCTTCTCGGAGGACCTTGATCTCCTCGAGAACTTCATTCATCTTGTCCCGGGCAGTGGATGTGTTATTCTTGGCCTCGGCCTCAGCATTGTCAAACGATGCATCAAGATCCTTAAGGTGGGAGCGGGTAGACCGCACAGTGTCGAGTTCATGGTCTACGAATTGGTGGATCTTGCTAGACATCTCCTCGAGCAGCTTCGCATGCTGCGTCTGGAACATCTGCATGCGAGCATCGACTCGCTCCGTGACATGCGATACCTCACCGGTTGAAGCCTGCCATGTTTTTTGGTTATCAGTCTCCAGGTTATCTTTGCGATCCAGTTTCGCGTGCAGTCCATTCACGTCTTGAATAGTTCCATTTAAGGTAGTCACCAGGCCGGCACCAATGTGACGAAGTTGCTTTTCCGTATTTTGATGAGCCTTCCGCACAATCTTCTCCTCGTCCAGCTTCTCCTGGGTATCCTTCCAAAACCTTTCTGTTTCGTTGAGCACATCGCGCGTTTCTTTGAGTTTGGACTCAATCTCCTCATTGTCATGCTTTAATGAGTTGAAGTTGCCCGTGATCAAAAGTAGCTCTTGAACCTTGTGGCGAAGGCTTGCCTCCATCGACTCGATCTTGGCACGCTGTTCCTCGTTGACGATGCGGCGCGACTCACTTTCCATCGTCATTTGTTCAAACGCATCAGGCGTCATATAGACACCATTGCGATGCCGGGTGGCAATGAGCTCGCTTTTGAGCTTCTGAATTTCCATCCCGATATCTCGCAGAAGCTTAGTTTTGGTGATTATAGAATTAATCTGGGGTTTGTTGCGAATGTTCTTGGCTCGAAAGGCATAATCAAGGGTAGATATGGTCTCCTCTAGGTTGCTTCGGGCAGGCGAGACGGTGGCGATGATGCATGTTTTTGTTTGCCCTCCAAGTGAATCTTGTAGCAGTCTCGTAAGTTTCGACTCGCGGTAAGGAATGTGGGAGCTCTTATCCACCAGAGCGTTGATCACCCTCCCAAGAGTGAGTAGACTCTTGTTAATGAGACCTGCCTCCGTCGCCCGTTTATTTTCTGCACCGCTCCGTCCGATATTTTCGCTACCCGCGAGATCAACCAGGTTCAACTTGCCCGAGCTGACATAGTCCTCCCCAGATTCGGTCGTGCGATTTGTGAGCACGGTGATGGTAAAAACTGTATGGCTTCGGGAACTCAGGTCATTGCATTTTGTCGCTGCCACTTGGCGTTTATGGCTGCCCGATTGAAGTAATCGGATTCCGGTGGACGCAGAGTCGATGTAAGTCTCCTCCATGCCCTGAACCATGGTGCCGTGTCCTCCCTTCTTCTCATTTTCGAAAATCTTGAGCTTGGTGCTATCGTCGTATGACAGAAGATCGCGAAGTTCTTCATTATAAAGTTCGATAAAGGAACATTTCACTGTGCTTTCTGTGTCCTCCAGCTTGCGAAAGAGGGCGTAAAGCGTACGCGGAATAATTCCTGCGTCGTCGGAGAGGATGCCCAATGTGTCATTCATGTCTCCTGACATGGTGTATGTCTTTCCTGTTCCAGTCTGTCCGTAAGCGAAGATTGTGCAATTGTAACCTGCCAACATCTGCAAGGAATTAGCGCGGTCCTTTGGGTTCAGTCGCGGCGACTATACTAACCTCGTCGAGGACCGGTACAACCACATCCTCGTAGACAGTAGCTTGATCGGCAGCCGGGGAGAAGACCTTGTCAAAAGCATATGTCTTGTTTGAAACCGCGTTCGGTCCCATCGAGAGATCGAGGGTTTTGCCCTTCACACCCTCTGGTGTTGACAAGACTACACCGTTATTCTCCTTAATCTCGCGATCACTGCGACCGCGACACCGGACTACCACATGGATGCTTGTGTCCTCGTTGATTTCCCGTTCGAAATCTTTCTCCCTCCTCTTATTCGCAGCGCCCGATTTTTCTGGGCTCCTCGCCACACGAGCTGCACTTATCGCAGAGGACCTCACTGATGGCGTAGACACTCCAGGTAGTGCATGGCGTTCTGGGGCTGCCGAACCCGCTCGTCGAACTGGTTGGCGCAAACCCGACCTCCTCGTGGTGGGGAGGGTGGATGGAGGCCTTGGTGGGCCAGCCATGTTGACAATGCGACACTCGGAATGTAATTGTGGTATTATTTAGCAGTAATATTCGAGGGTCCGTCTGAAAGTTCAGTTGATCTTTTGATTTGATATTTTCACAAGCTGTGTCGGAGTCTTTCACGGTTGTGTATATCAGTGGAGCTTCGTCTCAAACAGGAGCAACATAAACAAACATTACGTAATCCAATCATTTCCCCCTCGCACATGACTCGGTTGGTCGGCTGCGCTATCGTCATCGCTCTCTTATCGTTATCCTTCCCCCTCATACCGTCCCTTACATCTCCAGAGCCTCCCCTTTTAACTACACAAAGCTCGACTATCGTATGGACTTTTGTCCACCCATGAACACCGGGCCATGAAAACGAACAAACCATCATGACTACCTCTACTTCCTCAGCCCAGGCGCAAATCTTCCCTGGGAAAGGACTGGGGTTTATCAGTATGTTTCTTTGTCTAACCTCGCAGCCTTTTCAGCAGCTCTCGCTAATACTCTTGAAGCCTTGGGTGCTTCGCTCCATAATGTCCTTACCCGCGTCAAGTCCTATCCCCAAACCTATCCCGCCATCGACCTAGCCTACTCCCCCGCAGATCCGCTCCGCAAGCCGGTGATATTGCAGTTACCTTCAAATGGCCTGCGCCTTCGATTTGACGGTCCCGACCAGAGGCTCCGTTTGATTGAAGTAGTCGACTTCTCTCGAGTAAACCTGGTATACAAAAATCAGGATGTGCTCAAAGGTGGGAAGTCAGCAGAACAACCCTTGTCCTCGCACGGCCCTAGCTTCCGGCACGTCTACAATCGCTTGTTTGGCCCCTCATACCCAGGAGAATACGTACCCCCGGCAGACCCACAGTCGCCATATGGAACCTACGTCCTTTCTTATCCGGGGGTTGCATTCTCGTTTCCCCTTCAGCACTCTGCCTGGTCAGATCAGTGTGATTTTGTAGCGTTGCTATCTTCCTCAGCTGCGCTCCCGGCCACATCCATGTCGATCTTCCAAGGGGCATCATGGCCTGAGGCCCGAGGCAAGTTGTTCACACAACAGGCACAGTACCCACGCTCGTCGGCTTTGATTGGAAAATCCCGAGAATCGCTAGCGGATGAAATCGAGGAGTGGCATGTCCTAGGTGCTGGGGAACTTCAAGTGGCTCGCAGGACGGGCTCTCCATTATACATAAAACTGGGGGAGACGACTCCCCAGGACTTGATTGCAGACTTCGGTCCACCCGACGCAGTCTACCGTAAGAACGACCGCCGGATCTCGATCCACCGTGCAACTGGGGGTGGGGAATCTCACCTGAGTCCCTCTCCGGGCAGAGGAATAGACATCCCGGACGGCGACCACTCATCCACTAACAGCGTAACTGATGATTCTGACGAAGAGTTGGCTACCTTCAATATCGGAGACCCCACCTCACTGCCCGCAGAATGCTTTTTGAACTACTTCCACCATGGATTCGATGCCTTCATCTCGTATCCGACTACACCTGGACCTGCTTTCCCCGCCTCGGGTCTTCCAGATCCATCGCCTCAGCCACCATCCTCCCAGCTGACAGTGACAAAGATTATTCTTCATGGGAACGTCCCAGGTTCTTATCCATTTAATCGTCACCGCCGAAGTCGCTGGTTAATCTCGTTGGATGAATCTGGCGATTGTCTGACTTCGGAATCGACATACGATGAAATCTCGGAGCGGCTGCGGGCTACTTGGAAAGGATCTTACGCCAGCCCCGCCGAGGAGCGTGCTCTGCAGCGGCCAATGGTACTGAACCGCGGCTGGGGAGACAGCCCCGAGAGCAGTGTTGAGTTCCTTGGTGGTTGGGAGGAGACCACAGCCAAAGGTCCTCGGAATGGTGCCGATGGGCAGGATGGAGGATTAGGTAATACCGAGCTTTTTGGGTTCCCGGGGCTTTTATTTGAAGTTCTCAAGAATGGCGCCGTGAGTTGTTTGACAGTGTACTGATTTAAGACTATTGCACCCAGCGCTTCTCACCATATCTCAATGCATTATGAATCATGATAATCCTGGCTTGGTATGTTTTAATGTGAAACTATATGTGACCATTCAAAACCTGGATTGTAGATGTAAATTGTAGAATTGATACCTAATGTCCATTCTCCAATAGCCTCGCAATTTCCGTTTGATTCAAATTTCTTGCCCACTCAATGACTGTACAACCATTTCCATCCTCGATGTTAGTATCCGCTCCTCGACCGAGCAAGAACCTTATTGCATCCAGTTTCCCAAGCTCTGTTGCTATGTGTAAAGGGGTTCCCAAACTCACAGGATAGAACCGCCTAAAGGTTGGATAATCCTGATACATTGGGACGTTCAAAGGGGCACCTTTATCAATAAGTAGCGCCAACACTTCATTGAGATTTGTCCGCCGATAAATGGCATATTGAAGGAGCTGTCCCTGTTGTACATCACCTCCGCGGCTTAGCATGAGCTCGATGATGTTTATAAGAGCTAGCTGGACAGCATAAGATAGCGGAGTACAGTTAATATCACATCGTTGATTGGGATTTGCTCCATGGTCTAGAAGCCAGTTCGTCATCTCTTCCTCGTAGATTGCATAGCTATGGTAACGAGTTATTATTGTGTTTCTTTTCAAGAAATGAAAGCAAGATTCTCATCCTTCGAATCACTGACTTTAGAACGGGGGGATCAAGGTCACTTATACGTTCATTGATGTCCCATCCTTTTTGCATGAAGCATTTGAGCGCTTTCTTCGATTTACATTTCATTGCTTCCAATGGAAAATATGAATGTATCGTAAGCCCACGGTCGAGAAGTTCTGAAATGAATTGAGTATTGTCTTGCTTGATTGCCTCTACCATCACCGGGACAAGTTCCTGTATGACATGTTTCGGGCTCGAGGGCAGTAGAGCGATAGTATCATTGAAGGATTGTATATCTCCTCTGAAGCGAAATCTGTCAACTGCTCGGTTGTTTCTTTCGGGATTTGACGTGGGATGTGAAATTGATTTAACTCGATGGGTGTAATAGATGAGATAGATGCCTCACGACACCATGATCGAAGATCCATGATGAAGAGATAAGTTAACACAGAGGTTATCTGTGAGAGCAAAAATGAAGTCTCCTAGGAGGTGTGAGATGTACGACCTCAGCGGGGTTGATGATGTACGACAGGTCTCGCAGTGGGCTTTTGCCATCTTCCCCCCTCTAAGAGATCGGAATCTCGTATAATTACCAACAGTAAGCGATAATAGATATGCATCTGGCCCTGTACATTGACCGCTAGTTCCCCGTTGATTTGTTTCTCTTCCTATAAAATCCTACAAGCAGAAATTATATCCCTTCCACTCTTACTCCTCTGAAGTCCCGGGAGATTTGGTCCCTGTCTCTACTCCATCGATTGTTTTCTGTTTGGCAGTGATCATGTCTACCGACTCAGCCTCTTGGACTACTGTCCAGGATTTTCTGCAAAAAAGTGATAGCCAAACTGCCGAGTGTTTTCGTCGAACTCAATGGGATGAGCTCTGTCCAATCGCTTCAGGTCTTGCTGGACACTTGGAGTGCGTGGCCTTAGACCAGGTTGCTAGCGGGCTCAATCACATTGTCCGTTTGCTAAAATTTTCCGACGAGACTCGCTGGGCGGCCCGGGTTCATATTAGAAGGAGTACCTCCCCCCTTGTCAGCAAGACCAGCCTCAGAAACGAGGTTGCGACAATGCAATTCATCAAGGAACGTTCCGTCTTGCCAGTGCCTCAAGTCTTTGCGTATGAAGTTGACGAGACCAACCCGGTGAGGGTTCCTTTTATACTGATGGAGCTGCTCCCTGGTAGCGTCGCCATGGACGCCCTAGGCGGCTACAACGTCCATCGCGGTATAATACCCAGAAAGCTCCGACCAACCTTCTACCGCTCCGTCGCAAAGTGCCATGTTCATTCCCCCCGCGCTATCAAGCCTATATAGGCTCACCTCGATAGTCAGCTGCTTACCTCATCCTATAGGTCCAGTTGACTTCGTTACGACTCCCAAAAATTGGGACGATTGTCCGAAACCGCGACGGTAGGTACGAGTGCGGTCCCTTACCGGGAATCGGCGGTCCATTCGATACAGCAACCGAATTCTTCGAGGCGTGGGCCGACAGCGTCGAGTTTAAGTGGGATAAAGAGACAATCACAAGTATGATGCAGAGAAGTCCGAACCCTGCAGAACGGATGATCGCGATTATCGAGAATTTCCCGTTACAAATCAAAGCTATGGCTAGCCGGCTATCCTCGTGTAACGAAGGGCCATTCCCTCTAGACCATGATGACTTTTTTCATAGTAACATCATGGTGGATGAGAGCTTCGATGTGACGGGAATCATCGACTGGGAAGGCGCATGTACGGTTCCCTATGAGCTTATTGCGTTCCCCGACTTCCTTACAGCCATGCCTGTCTCCTTCGACCTGCCCCAGAAATACGATGAAGATGGGCAGCCGTTCGATGAGGAAATTCGAGAAATGTGGCGCGAGCGAGAAGGGTATATCGAAATGGTCAGATTAGCCGAGCTTGACGACAGTGTGCTTTCGGATTGCCTCAGCAGCAAGAGGAGCCAGGCTATAGCTTATTTGTATGGGGCGTATACTAGTGTTGGAAAGCTGGGCTTTTATGATCAAGCTGTGAAAGAGATAGAGAGGGGAGAATAAAACTCAGCAGTTCCCCTATCCTGGAATGATAAAACGAAGCTCTTCGTAGAGTTATTGGGCGGTGGAACAGCATCAAAGAAGCAATTCCCTGACTCGACCGTACTTTCGGGTGGGATACTCCTTGGACGAGCCACATTGAGAGATCCTCTGCTTGGTAAAAGACTCTGGGCCTGGAATAGAAGGTGAATGTTAGGCGCGACCATGCAGTGTCCGATCAAGTATCCAAGTCCGGCGGAGTCTAAACCCTTTGTGGAATAGCCATGTTTTGTAAACCGCCAAGACCCTTCTCTTCTTGACCTTCCACTCATCACTTTCTAGGATATGCTGGACAATGCCGGAACTGGCGCGGGCAATCCCTCGCTCATGGACCTCGACGTTGAAACTGCCTAAATCCTCATTCCCTCCACGCGTATCGCCTATCGATCGGACGAAATACCTAAAACGGTGCACCGATGATCTCTACGCCTGGCAACGCCGCGAAAGGCCCGCCGACCAACCATTCGTCTTGCATGATGGCCCACCATATGCGAATGGCGATCTCCATGTTGGACATGCGCTCAACAAGATTTTGAAGGATATTATCTGTCGCGTACAATTAGGTCGCGGGAAGAGGGTGCGGTACGTGCCGGGCTGGGACTGCCATGGACTGCCGATCGAGCTCAAAGCGCTCCAAGGCCTGCACCCTGAGGACATTGCAAGCGGATCAGTCAGCGCAGCGGATATTCGCACGTCCGCGCGTAAATTGGCAAGACAAGCCGTGAAAGAACAAATGAAAGGGTTCCGTGGCTTCGCGGTCATGGCCGACTGGGAGAACCACTGGAAGACCATGGACAAACAATTCGAGATGCGGCAACTGGGTATCTTCCGGGAAATGGTGGACCGTGGCCTCATCTACCGAAAGTTCAAGCCAGTTTACTGGTCGCCTTCAACGGGTACCGCTCTTGCGGAAGCAGAACTGGAATACAAGGAGGATCACATCTCGACCGCCGCCTTAGTCAAATTCCCTCTTATCGATATCCCTACGTGTCTCTCTGAGAATCCTCTTCTTCGTGGAAAGAATTTGAATGCTGTGATTTGGACCACTACCCCTTGGACGCTGCCTGCCAATGCTGCCATTACAATCAGCGAGTCTTTGGAATACGCTATTGTCTTATCGGAAAAACATGGTCATCTTCTGATAGCTCAATCACGGTTAGAGTACATCCAGAATATGCTGAAAGAAGAACTCTCTGTCATTGTACCGTCTATCATGGGGTCCGAGCTGGCAGAGCGAACTACCTATCGACCTCTATTCAAAGGACCCGAAGCTCAGCCGCAGCCCATCTTCGCCGCGGACTTTGTTACTGCTGATTCTGGCTCTGGCCTGGTTCATAGCGCGCCTGGTCACGGAATGGAAGACTACGAAGCATGTCTTGCGCGTGGCATTCCTGTGTTCGCTCCCGTTAACGATGAGGGCAAATACACAGATAAAGCTATGCCCCTCGATCCTACACGTTTAACTGGAAAATCTGTCTTGGGAGAAGGTAACACCGCTGTTTTGGAATGGGTCGAATCGTGTGGTCAGTTGCTTGCCCAACATAAGTACGAGCACAAGTATCCTTACGACTGGCGTTCAAAACTTCCGGTCATTATTCGGGCCACTGAGCAGTGGTTTGCCGATGTGGCCGATATCCGTGGCGATGCTCTTCGCGCCTTGGAAGATGTCCGCTTTGTTCCCGAGACTGGAAAGCAACGGCTCGAAGCCTTTGTGAAAAACCGGAGTGAATGGTGTATCTCGCGACAGCGTGCGTGGGGTGTTCCGATTCCTGCAATCTATCACCGAACCACTGGAGAGGCCGTCTTGACTAAAGATAGTATTTCACATATCATGACCACAATTGAAGAGCGCGGAATCGATGCTTGGTGGACCGATGCTGCGGATGAGGCTGCATGGATTCCTCCGTCCTTGCGGGACGAGGCTGGAGCGGGGTATCGACGTGGAATGGACACCATGGACGTTTGGTTTGACAGTGGTACCAGCTGGGCAGAGATCGATGTTCCTATCGAAGGACGGAGTCATCCAGCCGACGTGTATCTTGAAGGTACCGATCAGCACCGTGGTTGGTTCCAGTCCTCTCTTCTCACATATATCTCGCACCAGCTCGGCTCGGGTCAATTCACGACGCCTCGTGCGCCATACAAGAACCTCATCACGCACGGTTTCACCCTGGATGAACATGGGCGGAAGATGAGCAAGTCTATTGGCAACGTAATCCACCCGCAGACCATCATGGATGGAACTTTGCTGCCTCCCCTCAAACCCCGCAAAGGCAAAGGAAAGAAGCAACCCGAGAACCAAGAACCGATGTACGACGCTCTTGGCCCCGATGCGCTTCGCATGTGGGCAGCGAGCAGCGACTACACGCGCGACGTGGTAATTGGAAAACGAGTACTCCAGACCGTCAATACCAGTCTCCACAAGTTCCGTGTCACTTTCAAACTGCTGCTGGGTGCCCTTGCCGATTTCAGTCCAGCGAACGTTATCCCATATGAACAGCTGCAGCTGGTCGATCGAATTGCACTCAAGCACCTCTCGGATATGGTACTCACGTCACAGAAGACAAGTGATAACTTCGAGTTCTACAAGGGCGTGAGTACGATGAACCGGTGGGCCAACCTCGAGTTTTCTGCTTTCTACATGGAGGCGATCAAGGATCGCCTCTACACCCTTGGTGAGGACAGCACGAGTCGCCGGGCTGCGCAAACGACCTTATTCTACATCTACAATTATCTTCAAGAGGCCCTGGCTCCCATCACACCAGTGCTTGTGGAAGAAACATGGGAACATACTCCCGAGTCTATCCGCACCGAGTCTGAGCACCCACTGCAGCGTATCGTCTCCGCCCCCGCTCCGGAGTGGCAGGATTTGACCCTGGACACCAGCTACCAAGAGCTGACGGTGGTTCACTCTGCCATTAAGAACTTGCAGGAGCAGGCCCGTAGTAAAAAGCAGCTTGGCTCCTCCCTGCAATCCTTTGTTCACATTGTGCTCCCCAGCAGCTCTGGATTATTCCAGCAGTATCTGTCGGAGCTCCCTGATCTCTTTGTCGTGTCTTCCATCACCCTGTCATCCCACGATGAAGCTATTCCGACCGACATTAAGGACGCTGAATGGCAATATGAGGAGACATTTGAGCTAGGTGACCAGCCAGGCAAAGTGTATGTGTACGCGCCACAGGCCTCCAAGTGCCCACGGTGTTGGCGGTACGCCATTCCGAACCCGGTGGCGATCGAAGATGCGATTTGCAACCGGTGTGAGACAGTGATACATGAGGCAAACGCCTAGAGAACTGTACAAAATATGTATACTTATTTCTATGTATTATAGCTAGCTGTAGGTGATTGGACAGAGCAGCCAATTTACCAACTGCAGTGCAACCAGTAATCCAAAACATCCGACATTCACATTGAAAACTAGACTGAAAGAAAGAGTCCATGTAATTAATGTATTCAATCTATTTGTCCATCCAGTGAATGTTCTAAATGGCTATGACGACAGTATCCAGTCAATGACGGTCGCCCCAATCATCCCCAAATCCTGCTTTGATGCAACATCATGTCATCTATATAGTCTTGCTCTTCTCGTTTCTTCTTCTTCCTCTACTCAACTTCCTAAATTCATCATGATTCAACCTCCATTTGATCAGTTTGCTACTCTAACGGCGCCCGCCACCACGTCCTCGGTGGCGCCTATTCCCACTATCATTCCGGGGTATGAGGTCTACCAGGAACTTCATGATACAGGCAAGCGAACTCTTTGGTATGTATATATTATACTATGTATTCAAATGTTTAATTATCCTAACATTTATAGGGTTGTCACTGTGTTGATGGGCGTTTCCTCGCTGGTGTTCTATACTTTGGCCGCTCGTGCTCCTCTAGTGAGTTCATCTCTTCTATATCATATATGCTCTCTTCTATTATTCATACCTATCTAACATATGTCCAGTCTAAACGAATCTTTCATATCCTCACCTCCCTGATAACCACAATCTCCTTCGTGATCTACCTAGCTCTTTCAACAGGCCAGGGCATAATAACCAAACACGACAGAGTCCACGAATCCCACAAACATGTCCCGGACACCCACACAGACTACGCTCGCCAGATCCTATGGCTGCGCTTTGTTAACTGGGCCATCACCACACCCCTGCTCTTCATCAACCTCGCCCTTCTATCCGGCCTACCAGGCGCAAACCTACTCATCGCCATTGTCGCCCACCTGATCATGCTTACAACAGCTGTATTCGGCATATTTTCAGGACACGGCCGCGAGCGCTGGGTCTGGCTGACCCTCACATGTATTTCTTACCTGGTCGTGATCCACCACATTGGCTTCCACGCACAGCGAGCGGCGAAGAGCAAGGATATCCAGACAAGACGGTTCTTTGGGTCTGTTTCTGGGTCTGCAATTGCCATGTTGGCACTTTTCCCAATGTGAGTGATATATCCAAAAGAGTACTCTTGAGTTCAAACCGATGCTAATGTTGGGTAGTTCCCTCGCGGCTGGTGCTCTCGCGCTCAGACTGAGTGTTGACACGGAGACTATCCTTTTCGCTATCCAGGATGTCTTCACGCAAGGTATCCTTGGATACTGGCTTCTGTTCACTCATGAGAGTTCGCCTGGAATGTAAGTCTCAAGCTGAATCTCGGTATGACGACATGCTGATTACTGCAGTGCACTCTACATGGAAGGATTCTGGTCGCATGGTGTCGGCAATGAGGGAGCTATTCGTATCTCCGATGAAGAGGGTGCGTAAGGAAATAACTTCACACATTCAGACTAGGATTCTGGTGATAGGATATTTGTTCTCTCTTTTTTTTTTTCAGTTGACATTTCTCTCACTTACGAGTCAATTTGGTTTAAGGCGTTAGGATTGAAAATGAGTATCAGGATGTTTACTTTGACTTGACCCTACTATTTCATATGTCTGTTCTACTTATTGCGTACTCTTTTAAATAAGAAGCAGAATAACTTAAAAAGATTTGGCTTTTTTTGGGGGGTTTTCTAAATTATCTTTCTTGCGTAGTTGAATGATATTTCCCTAGCGGCACACTCACTAGAGCCCCCTAGGGAAGGCTCTAGCGAGCGTGCCGCCGCCCATGAACACGGACCCCGTCCGTTTAGAACACCCCCAGGCCTCGCACTGCGGAAGAGAGCTCGGCAAGCTCCTCGTCACTGAGCTCCTCGACGGAGTTCTCCCCGGAGGGCCCGTCTTCGCCCCGGGCCACTCCAAACTCGCCCGCCTGACGAACTCGGACGTTTCGCTGGAAGCGAGGGAGCCAGAAACCGCAGTCGATGCAGTCCTTCTTGAAGTGAACCTCCTTGAGGTTCCGGAACCACATGCCAAAGGGGTCCCCGTCCACCGCGAAGCCGCTCAAGGTGAGATGCTCGACGGGCAGGTAGGTGGGGACGGGGAACCCAGTGGCAAGGGCAAGGACCTTTGCCTTCTCGATGCAGTACTTGTCGAGGTACTCGCCGTACCCGACCTTGGGGCTGACCTCCCCGTCGCCTTGGCCACTAAAGTCAATCAGGTTAGCATATGTCACGTCTCTTGGTATCACATTACTCTCAGTTGGGCACAACTTACTAGTATACGGGTGAGGCATGCGACTTCACATTCATCACCCAGCCCTTCTTGATGGGCTCCCAGCCACTTGGTCCCACCGGCTCCACAATCTCCAAGCCAACAGCCATGTGCAGCTCGAGAGTGGTGAGATGAGGGTTCAACCAAACCGTCTTCCAGATGGCAGGCTGGTAGGACTTCATCATACCAAACAGCTTCAGCACACGCAAGTTGCGGAACTCAGTCAAGGGCCAGACCTGGTCCATGGTGAGAACACTGACTTTGATCTTGTCCTTTAGGTTCTCGAAGAAGCGGTCGTCGTCGATGGTATTGTCCTTCAAGGCCTCGTTGATGATACTGCTAATTGTTTCATCCTCCTTGGGAGCAGCGACTTCAATGACTTCTTGGTCGGGGTAACGAGGCGCGTCACAGATGGGAAGATCTTGCATCCCGAACTCATTGGCATTGTACAGGTCCCAATCGTGGACAGCGGCCTTGCCTTTCGCGTTCTTGTTGTTGGTCGGGCTTTCGGCCTCAGAGCTCTCGAAATCGAACATTGTCATCGAGGAGTCAATTGCCAAGTTGCCATCGGTGGTCTGATTTTCGATAGCACAATCAGTGTTGACCCCAGCCTGCTCAGTGGTGACTGGCCTGGCAGCAGACTTCAAGGTGGGAGCATTGTCCCCAGCGGTAGCAACACCCGTCAGAATATCATCAGACTGGGTGGCCTTGTCAGCAGGCAGGCTGTCGATGGCAGAACCCTTGATGTCGGGCTCAGTCATGGTGGCATTGTCGATCATGGTGGTGGTTTTGACAGGACATTCGACGTCGAAGTCGGTCATGGTGCCCTTGTCGACCATGGTGACCTCATCAGTCATAGCACCTTCATCAAGAATTTGGTCATCGTCGAGATCAACAATGCTCTCAGGGGAGACCTTGCGAACATCGAAAAGCATGTTCAGTTCTAGGACCAACTTGGTGCGAGGGATATCATCCCAAGTGCCACCATCATTGAGGTGAGCCATCAAGTGGACGAAAGAACTGGTATCTGGGTGAGGAGGAGCCATAGTCTCAGGTTGAGGATCACTCTGTTGCTCAAGCCAGTCTTGAAAGCTGAGAATGCTGAGATGGTTGGGGGCCACTGGGTCGCAAGGATAAGAGTCTTCAGAGGCGGTGGGAGGTGCAATGTCGATGTTGGTAGCAGAGGGTCCTCTGTAGAGAGAACGGAAAATGGGACGTGGAGCAGGAGGGAGTGGGGGAAGAGAATATTCAGGAGGGAAGAAAGTTGTAGGGGACAAGATGGAAGGACGTGTCGGTGTGGGCTTCTGGAGTTCAACAAAACCCTCAGTGGACGCGACGATGGGACCTCGGTGTCTGAGACTCAGACTCTTAAAGGAAGGAAGGCGCCAACTACCCTTTTTGGAACTCTTCAGACTCTTTGTGGGACTCTTCTCAGGTGAGTTGGTGGTATCAGTTCCTGCAGAGGAGTGAAGGAATCGAAGGTTATTGAAAGAAGCAAGTCGAGAGAGTGGGAAAAGACTCTTCCTCTTCGTTGGGCTCTTTCCAGAAGCGCTTGTGACTGTCGTCTGAACAGGGTCCTTAGCAGGCGACTGAGCAGGTGACTGAACAGGGCTTAGATGGGGCGGTAGGGCTAAATGGTGACGGGAGCATTAGCACGAACTATAGCAACGTATAGCAACCAGCATGCTTGCATGTAAGGCATTCAATGTAGCAATGCTACGATGATGCAGCACATGTAAGAACGTGTAAGAACATACCTTTTCTTTCACCTGCAGTAAGCTGCTCAACATGTTTTGTTGCATCTTCCCAGAAACGGACACCTAGCAGGCTGTTCTCCCATTGATCACGCATATCACGATCATACATGCTATCCATGATGAATTCTGGATTAACAACAATGAAATTTGGATGAAAGCAAGTATCTGAAGGATAGGAAGGATGGGAGAAGGATGAGAGGAAGGGGAAAAGGATGGGGAAAAGGTACTTCGCATGGGTGCTCTTCAAGCGTGCGCTCCCCGCGTTAACAATCACTGGGCTTAGGTACCATTTGCGCGAGTAAAGCCTTCGCTGAGATCGAGGTCGAGGGCTCCGGATCAACTCTACACGTTCAGTTAAACAGTCCTCATTATCACACTACACGTCTTCTTCATAGGATGTGGTTCAACAATTCCTGACTTATCCTCTATAAAGGCTAAAAATATAGCACAGCTTCACTGGTTCTGTCTTCTGTCTTCTAAAGTACGTTCAAGGAAGACAAGGATATCCTCAATGGCTCATTCGAGTTGGAGAATACCCAGGCGTCTCTGTAGTTGCCAGTTAGAGTATAAAAGCTTCGTTCGTCTCTAATAGTCTGGATGCAATTTACTATCCTGGTAGCAATTGTAGCTATACAAGAAGTTGCTTCTTTGTGTTCATTTACCTTAAGATGTTCGACACTAACAATCTAGTTATGGCGTGATATTTATTGTAAATAACAGGTAAACATTCTCCTGTTGATATCACTGGCAATAAAACTATCCGGGGCGATACCTGTTTTTAAAAGGTGCAATGCTTCAATGCGTCAATAGTACATACTCGCCGATCTTGGTCTTTTAGGTTTAGGCTAGTGACGGCCCGCGACGGACACCCGCCGGTCCACTACCTGAGGACCTAAGGCTCCGATGTCCTAGTAACATCCTATATGGCCTTCTAGATTCATTGGAACTAGTCTAGTCCCGATGGTCTTCTGGTCAATTAATCCGGTGCGTTAAGAAATGTTGCCGAGGTCCATTCTGCAATTATCAGCGGAAGGGCGAGGTCCACTCAGACAGACAACGCTGGCAGAGAAGAGAAGGGTGGTGTTGAGAAATGGTCCGATACTAAGAAATCATTGGCTTTGTAACTGATGGTGTATAGGATTCTTCTATTTGATGAACCCTTTCTTGGCCTTCTCCAGACGACCGAGACATGCGAGCATCCGTCACACGTCGCTGATATTCTTGAGACTGTTGGAAGACAGCATGATGGTTTTTTTACTGTCAATTACATTCGCCTTCGCTTTGTTGTTCAAAAGACAGAGCGGCACCACTATTGCTTCAGGAAATTCCAATTTTTAGATATGATTTATGATATTTCTTGCTTCAATCGACTTGTGAAGCCCCGAGGAGAATGTATGAGGATAAAAGGAATATACTGCGTATTCCGATAAACGAACAGCTGCCTCTTCCAAGGAGCAGCTGGCGACGTTCACGGTGGCAAGGCCACGACGTGGCTGCTTTTACCGCGCAACCTACCCCTGTCCGGTAAAAGGTATAGTAGTAGCTAATGGCGCCGAGCGAGCGATCGAAGTACAAACACACGACTTATTTACATTACAGGCTACTGAAGGTGCGGGAGCATACTCGCTCCATTCTATTCTCTATCTCAAGTGATAAAGGTGGCATTGCTCGGGTCCACCGGGTCTATGTCGGAAAGCCCTTACAATCCAGAAGGATTGGGAAACAAGGTCAAGAGACATGATGTAACTCCTGAGATGAAACAAAACCAGAGGAAGATGAAGGAATCGCGTAAGAAGCTAAACCTATTTGGCTTACAGCCTAATTTGGTGACCCACCAGTATATGCCTCCAGGGATGTGAGAAACATATACATGTACCGGATAATGCCTGGCACTCGAGACCTTCCCCTTTCCGTTTTAGTGTTCACTGGGTGAGCGGCCTGAGTAAGCTACATCAATAAAATGCGACATGCTTGCCCCGTCACGTGCAACTCTTCCCATTTAGAAGTAGGTTGTCGATCTGCCAGCCTGAGCCTAATAAAATAAACTACTAGGTGGATATCTGTGAAAAAGCAAGCTTTGATTCCAACTTTCTAACAATACATGTAGCGATAATGCTCAGGCCCCCAGAAAGACATGGCGGCAGCACGCAGCAAGATCCTCGGCCGTGAATGTGATATTTCCTTCCCCCGTGTTAGGGGTCGGCAGGCGGCGCATAACGGATTCGAAATCCAAGTGTAGAGGGGCATTCTGGACATTGTTTGAGGCAATAACGACCTCATTGACCGCTGAATGACGTAGCACCATTGGGGAGTCTGTTTGAGATAGCAGAGTGCGCTGGGCCTCCGCCTGTAGTCCACGGGTGAATCTGGGAGTGGTTGGTATCAGACTGTATTGTTTTATGGTGAGTCTGCGCTCGGGCGATCTTTGGATGTGGAAGAGAATAACCATGTTGACTTTGTAGTCGGAATTTGAGAACCACCAATATGCGTCGGCTCGTAGTTGGGCTTCTGATTCAGAAAGACCAGTTTCAATAACGAGCGAAGGCCAGTTATTATTGTCAAAAGGATTTCCTGACGGAGTAAGACACTCGTCGGCTTCTTTATCGCATGTTCTTCCGTGATATCGGGTAGCCGAGTTCATAGTGTAATCATCCGAATCAATTCCCATTTCGATTAATTTTAGGACGAGTTTGTTTGAAAATGACCGCGTCACTCGCTCATGAGCTCCTGATGGTATGATTCGAATGACCCCTTGCTGGTGCTGTGTGTCGAGTGTCAATCTGTAGGGAACCTCAAGAGGGTTTCGATCTCCAGCTATTAGCTCCTGCACTTGCTGGGATATGTTTGACACGATGATAAACTGGTTCGAGTAAGACGTGTTGGTGTTGATTTGATGATAGACATCGTCCGCAGTTTCTCGAAGGGTAGAAATGGAAGGAGCAGACAACACCACAGCACCCGGGATTTCGAATGGCAGGTGCGAATAACAGACACCTGCTTCCTCGACCTTGACCTGCGAGGTTCGAGGCGCAACATCTGACTCGGTCCTATCGAGGGACTTCGAGTCGACGTCCTTTGCAGCTAAGGAGGAGGAAACTGTGGATAATAGCGGAGACAGCATATTGGCGAAATAGGGGTGTATAGCGAAAGGAAGATGAGGCAGAAGAAGAGAAGTGAGAAGGCTATTAACAAAGGGGGACTGGTAGTGTCATCGTTACATTGAATACCGGTCTTTTTACCGGACACTTATGTGACCTAAAAGTATGCATTTTGCTTATCAATCTGCGTACAAATTGTGTAAATTTTGCTTAGAGAATTTACTGCTATTGATTTTTACCCGTACGCTCGTCATACCTGGATTTCTGTCAAGTAGTACCTATATATATCTTAGATGTACTATCATGTGGAGACCTTTACTTCAATCTAAAGATACAACATACTCCAATACTACATAACTTAATACCGATAGTATCCCTTAGCCAGTGTCAGATAGACAGCCTGGACCCCAGAGTAGTGTTTGTTTGCACATAAAAGCTGCCTGGGCGACCTCTCTGTACGTCTCATAGCGACATTGTTAGGCTGCATGTCGAAAATTTAGACTTGAACTAGAAGTTAGTTCACCCAAAATCAATGTCTGTCAGGTAAAAACAACTACTGCCCTACTACAAAATTACTGCTCAAAGATCAATCTGGCTGGCAAATGGCCCGTGGACTTCGCTATTTTGTGTCCCTCCCCAAGATAAATACATCCAGAGCGGTGCGGAGATGTCTCTCGCACACACGAACCATCTTTTAATCACCAAGCAGAGGGGGAAGTTTTAAAAGAAACCCATTGAAATTGTCGAACAAAAATCATGCATCATCCATAACCTAGTACTTCTTGCCCTGGCGGAGGACATCACCGAACTCCTCCAGAGGGCTGCGGATGAGCTTATTCTCGGCCCACAGGTTGGGGGTAAGGAAACCGTAGGTGTTGACGACAGCGACGAAGGTGGCCTTGAGGGTGTTCTCGAGGGTCTTGGTGGAGCCGGAAGAGGAGGTGTAAGCGTCCTGAACACCGGCGAGCTGGAGCAAACGCTTGACAGCAGGGGAAGCGACAAGGCCGGTACCGCGGGGGGCGGGAATGAGCTGCAGTCAATTAGAAACCATCTCTTCAGATGTCCGGCCCCAAAAAGGACTAGATCAGATATAAACCACCGTAGGAAACTTACACGGACGGAGACGGAACCACACTTTCCACTCTGCTTGACGGGCAGAGAGTGGGGCTCACCAAGGTTGGTACCCCAGTAACCGCGACGGACGGGGAGGACAGCGAGCTTGGCGATGGTGATAGCAGCACGGATGGCGGTAGCGACTTCCTTGGAGGTCTTGATTCCGAGACCGATGTGGCCCTCGGAGTCACCGATGAGGACAATGGCCTTGAAACGGGTACGCTGACCGGCACGGGTCTGCTTCTGGACGGGCTTGATCTGTAGGTTGAAATTCACGTTAGTTTCTGGACTGATTTCGATGTATTCGTTTTCCGTTTGAGCTTTCATTGCGCAATTGCGGGCAATTGTCGCATTCCAGTCGAGTCCCGCTCAATCCTCCAATTTCAAAAAGGGTGTGTCGATCCGTACCTTCATAACCTCATCCTTGAGCTTGGGCAGGAAGAAGTCGACAATCTGGTACTCCTTGACGGGCAGAGAGTGGAGGTAGATCTGCTCCATGGAGGTGATCTTGCCGGCCTTGACGAGACGGCCGAGCTTGGTGACGGGCTGCCACTCCTTCTCCTCCTGCTTGGGGCCACGACGGCCGCGACGGCCACCACGGCCACGTCCACGCTCACCACCACGGTCGCCGCGCGAACCGAAACCACCACGTCCACGGGGAGCAGCGTCAGCCATATTGATGTTGTTATGGGAAGCGACGGGGAGGGTTGTCGGGATTGAGTTGGTCGTCGAGTTTCACGGCGCTGAGCACTGTTTGCCCGAAATTTGCGCGGGTGGGCTAAGCGAGCGGGCAGCCCTAGTGGGGACCCTATGCCCTAAACTCCCGATCGGGAATGTGGCACGTGCACTTAAGGTTTCCAGGGCGGTGTCACCTGATGGGGCCCAGAAGTAAATGGATTGATCGCCGTTGTTGTAGAGAGGCATTGATCATGTAGAATGAGGGATAGATTTGCTTATGGTGATGTTGAGGTCATTAGCTATAGAAATATTTACAAATATATCGTGTTTTTCATACCAATCGAGTCCCGCAATGTTGTTATTCTCACTGCTACGTCACAAAATTTGGTGCAGGCGGATGCATTTCCTATTTGGGCAATGCGACAGGGACTCCGCAATTTCAAGATTGTTCCCCCAGTTGCCCCCAGTTCAATAGTATTTCAGCGTCTTTCGTCTGCTTTTTGTTCTTTCTTTGCATCCTTCTCTGCTTGTTTTGTCCCTTATAGCCATCCAATCGCAGTTATGCTACGCTGGTAAGTCTCTCTTACTCATCTCCTTCAATCGCAGCTCATAACATTCAACCAGGTACCAGTCTAAGTTGGCAAAGCGGCCTATCCTCACCGCAAGCATCACCAGTGCTGTATGATTCTCTCCTTTCTCCTTTCTCTGGACCAGTTCCTGACTCTTGTTACAACAGTTCCTATTCGGTAGCGGGGATGTTCTAGCCCAGCAAGCTGTTGACCGAAAAGGTCTCCAAGAGCACGACTTCGCTCGTACTGGGCGAATGGCTCTATACGGTGGAGGTATGTCTATATGTCTCAAGTGCCTTGTACATTGCTGATCCGTGTCTTTTCAGCTGTCTTCGGTCCGGTTGCCACTACCTGGTTTGGCATCCTCCAGCGTCATGTCGTTCTCAAAGGCACTGCGTCCACCACCGCCGCTCGTGTTGCCGCCGACCAAGTCTTCTTTGCCCCCACCCAGCTCACATGTTTCCTATCCTCGATGGCTATCATGGAAGGCGCTGATCCTGTGGAAAGGTTGAAGACTGCCTTTGTTCCCGCCTACAAGGCCAACCTGATGGTCTGGCCATTTGTACAGGGCGTCAACTTCACATTTATTCCGCTAGAGCTGCGCTTGCTCTTTGTCAACGTTGTCAGTTTGGGTGAGTAATTTGCTTCGAGGTGTTGCTGATTATGCTCCTGGCTGCAGTCACTAACAACTAAACAGGGTGGAACTGCTTCCTTAGCTTGATGAACAGCGGGGAGGAATTATAATTCCGAGGCATAATTTGAGATACCCTTGATGTTTTTATTGTCGGCTTTCTGCTTTTCACGTCGGCGCTCCAATACGAAGGATTTTTGGTTGGGTTATTCGGTCTTTGGGCATCGTGTTCCGGAATTTTATTCTTCAATTTTCGGCCATGTAGAATCCTGGACAGTATAAATGAGAATAAAAATATTCAAATGAATAAGAAATGAATCAAAATGATTTGAAGACAAAATAAGAGCAAAGTGAAGATCGGATAACTAGTTGGGTGTGATAGTGATTATGTTACGGAAGAACCCAAAGAGGCAAGGCAAGTTTTTGTGGCTCGAACTTCAAAACTTCCACTCTTTGCAGTCAATTGTCGCCCACCTCCACTCTCATCTCACACTGCCTGGAGCAGACTATTACTGCTAAATAGATCTAGGCTTGGATTCCTGTTACCTTCTTTGTGTGAAAAGCTCTGATTTGCGCTTTCCTTAAAATTCTCGCCCCTCCGACTTTCCGAACTCGATCGTCTTCCCCTCCACATCCATTCACCATGGCTGCCGTCGCAGAAAACGGTACTCCCGCTGTGGCCGATGAGAACTCCGCCCCTGTCACCGAGACTCAGACTGGTGATGCCGTTACCGTCTTCCACAACCCCGATGACTTCAACGTGAAGCACCCTCTTATGCACGAATGGACTCTGTGGTTCACCAAGCCCCCCAGTGGCAAAGTAGGAGACACCAGTGGGATAGATCGACGTCAGCATGCTTACCAATGGAACCTAGGGCGACAACTGGAACGACCTGCTCAAGGAGGTGGTCACTTTCAGCTCCGTTGAAGAATTCTGGGGCATCTATGTATGTCCAACCGGACGTCTCCCTCGATCGACAATAACACTAACCTCGAGCGCTATTAGAACAACATCACGCCGACCTCCGAACTCGGCCTCAAGGCCGATTACCACCTCTTCAAGAAGGGCGTACGGCCCGAGTGGGAGGACCCCCAAAACAAGCACGGTGGAAAGTGGTCATACCAGTTCAAGGACAAGCGCTCCGTTCCTATTGACGAACTCTGGCTGCACGCGCAGCTGGCCGCGATCGGCGAGACCCTCGAGAATGACGATGACAACGAAGTGATGGGAGTAGTTGTGAATGTGCGCAAGGGCTTCTACCGTGTCGGTCTATGGACACGCACAGTCGGCAAGAGTATCCAGGGAGACAAGCACACCCGCACACAGGCGCAGGGCAAGGAGATTCTCGAAGCAATTGGCCAGCGGTTCAAGGACGTGCTGCGGCTCAACTTGGCGGATGTGGTGGAGTTCTCCGGCCACACTGACAGTGCACACAGCGGCAGCACGCGCGCGAAGGCCAAGTACACCGTTTAAGAGGGCTGGCTGAGACGGTGTTGTGCAGACGAGGATGAAAAACGAAAAACAGGGGACGGATGGCGATGCGCAGATTTCACGATTACGGACGACACGAATCGAGGGGAATTGACTCGACTCGATGTGCGGTGCCGGAAACTGGGGATGATTCACATAGGGACCGAGGTACCCCCCCTTTATGCCGGCCCCGCTGCATAGTTCTGCAGGGACGAACTGATTGCTTGCGACTTGTATCTTACTCTACCAAACACATTTTACGAGGCTTATGCCATGATTAAGGTCGAGGTCGTGCCAGTATGATGGTATTTTCCCTACATTATTCTATACAAATATGACCTGTTCATGGATGCATTCAACTTTTGGTGTTGCGTGCTAGGTCGGGTTTCGCGAGATCAAGCCCTTGAGTAGAGCTGCTGCTTTTGGATGGCACATGCTGAGAGGTCTATATCAGTAGATGTAGCTAGAGGTGTTTGACCCTCGTCGCATACGTCTGTTTCTTGTCTCTTCTGACCAGTGTCGCGAGTAGAAGGTCTTTTAGGGCTTCTAATGGAACTTCTTGGAATGCATGGCCAAAGACACTTTAGTACTATGTTGTATGCTGCAGGGGTGCTCAGGGGTGCAGGGCTTCGACCATGTTCTGCGGATTTACACCGCATTTACACGATCCTCTCGCAGGACACTGTTGAAGGACTCATACACTAGCACACGAATATTTTCTCATTAATATCCTCATCATGATTAGACCAGAAGACAGGTTTTACTCAGGGGGAGTTATTTGGCAGACGGGTGGGCGTTTGAGACAGGTTGCACTGGAAAAGGGACAATATTGTTTTCAATGGCAAAGGCCACCCCAAAGTAGGCTGTTGAAGAAGGCCAAAGATTGCGTGCAGTGAAAGATTGCTCGGGCAGCTTGAACTAAAACCAACCATTTGTCAGATAGCAGAACATAGTCACAAAGCAGAACACAAGGCAGAACACATTATATCTTTGTGTAAATCTCATACTTATCTAAAAATTTGTCACCCAACATCCAAGTCTTTTTTGAGTGACGAGGCTGTATACTTGTGACATTCAAGACAGGCAATTGGCTCTCTATAGGGATTATAGGTATATCTCGCTATAGGTTGTTACCCTCTCAAGAGGTTATCTACCAAACGCTGGGAGGTATTATAGGCAATGAATAACAATGGTAGCAAAGAGAAGGAGGGGAGATGGACGATTGGTCTTTGAGAGTGTGGAGTAGATAAATCATCAGACTAATATACTGGACGAGCTTGATATCTACTTTCCGAACCATCTGGGATAACAAGACCCTCCTGCGAAAGAAAGGTGAACTGTCATGGGATCGCATCTCCGGGATCGAAAAGTGTCTCGACCCCTGGCTGATAAACCATGAAGGTTTACTGGCTAAGACAACTAACCTCGTAGACTGTTACTACTTCGACAACCTATATGGCTAGTTGGAGAGGGCTGAAGCTCTCTAAACAACTGGACAGAAGTCGTCATCGTCTTATGCGACCGAGACGTTGCCAGCGCAACTAGCTAACTAGCTAGACCTCGATCATTGTAGAGAATCTATCCTTCTTCATCTCTCTCACTTGTTCCAAGAAGATTCAACAACCCATGAATGCGCAAAATTGATGAATCTACCAGAATCGCATTACCCACTCCTTATGGGAGCGGAAGGACCTGCCTAGAAGGGACAGAACATCATACAACAAACGAGAAGGGCAATCGGCCCATGCAGAAAACCAGAAAGGTCCCGCACCCATCAGACCAGGGTGTTCAGGAAATCCACGGAATCAGCATCCTCATCATCACTGCTTTCGGCGTCGGTGTCGTTAGACGGAGCCCACCAGCCGAGAGCGATCATCCCGGCACGCATACACCAATAGTCGTCATCCACACGACGACGCACAGACCGAAGCCGCTCGAAGATATCTAGTACACACTCCTCATCGTTCAGTTTGTACACCATGGGCCAGTCGAGAGGAGTCTGGTATATTGAAGCGTCATACTCTGGTCCAGAAAGAGGCTTTGCCCACTCTGCAGAAGGAGGAATCGGAACCTCTTCTCCACTCGCCGACTTCTTCGGCCTTTTCGACGGCTTGCCTGCCGCCACGGGAGTCGCAGGAGCCGCACGTTTCTTCACGGATTCCCGAGGCGTCTCGGGAAGGTGCTCTTCGCCGTCGTCAGGATGAGCATCGCTATTATCGCTATCGCCAGAAGGAGCAACAGCTCGCTCCTTGCCCTTGCGACAAATCTGGTCTTCGGCACCACCCTCTTGTATCTGGACGCTTAATAGCTCTGCTGGATCTGGCGTAGCCTCTGCTGGATCTGACGTAGCCTCTGCTGGATCTGGCGTAGCCTCTGCTGGATCTAGCGTAACGATAAAGCTGAGGTTCCCACTTGTCGTTAATTGCTGGCAGTACACAGGTTGACCGTTCGGGTTTATTGATGAGTCTTCTTCCCGCTTGATTCTTGGCCTTCCGCTGGCAGCGGCAGCGATAGAGACGTGATAAACCTGCCTGCGATGTTTTTGCATCGTTTTTACGCTGCGACACGTAAATTGACAGTTTTCGACTTGACAGCAGTTACCACGGTAGACCGGTAATCCGGGGATCGGCCGGGAGTCAGGGGATGGCGGGACAAAAGGATTGGTATTGAAGTTCCTTCCAACCTTGACTGCTTCAGCACAAATTGCCGTCCGCTGTGCCAATGTACGGGCAGAAGGGTGTTGTCGGTGCTTATTGGCTAGATGGCCGACAATGGTTTTAGCATCCACGGCAGATTCACAGGTCTTGCAGATTCAGAACTGATAAGTGGGGTTATAGGTAAAGAATTCCCCAATTAAGTTCATGGTGATAGTGCGACTGTACGAGTGAAGAAAGGAGTAATATTAGACTGAAGAATAGTAAGATGCGGTTATCTCGCGACACAACGCGACGCGGATAGGTGAATACAGAATATCTATAGACTATAGTAGTAGGTGAATACTATCTTTATTAGCTAGTAAGGCTTAGAAGTTAGCTCTGGTATTATTAGCCAAGAAACGTACAGAATACCTGTTGAAATGACCGAACCGTTTGTTACGAGCCAATTCGATTCAGAAGAAAAGAAGGTACAAGGACATAGTCGTTCCTTCCTCGTTTGGCAAGTACAAAGACGTGACCGTTCCTGCCTCGTTTGGTAAGTACGATCCTTCCCAGATCGTCACACCGTTAACGACTGAGTGAACTGGGCATCGGGCCGAGGATCTACATGCGGGATTAGGGTGCATTTGCAAAAGGAATCCATAGTAGTAGGGGGAATTGTAACTAGAATGGCCTCACGATTGAGAGTCTGGAGTATGGGATATGTCCTGGCTCAGTATCCGGGGCCGAAGAAGAGACAAAAAGTGCCTTCAAAGTTATGTTGGGGAAAATAACTGACTATTCAGATTGTGGTGTATCCCGTATCTTAGAATCTAATATATGGCTGTGGATCCAGACTAGGGATTGACCTCATGTCATGGAGATGGATGTTCTATCCATTAACACTATAAATCCCTGTTACTATCAGCCAGTTAAGGACAGTGAAATGGTAAACATGCTAGTAAGTTGCCTGTTTTGTTTCCTTCCTTATCCGAACTTACAGTAGAGTCGAACACCAGGGCAGAGAACGCGTCTCATTGCTAGCAGAATATCACCTCGTATAGGCTAGCCAATAGGAAAAAGTTATTTATAGAGGTAAGCAAGCTGCTTCCGAAAAATCCATGATCAGCACAATGTTCTTTATTGATACATTTCCTTGCAAGTTCCTGCTGGGAATAGTAGAATCCCCTAGCAGGAATACCCAGAAACAGTACTCCGTACCTCAAGATACAACCTTCATATTTCTTCGATTCATGGATATTCTCAACACAAATATAGTTCGCCTGAGGTCAGCACTATATGGATACAATCCAGCAAGTCATGGAGATCCACTGAGATGCTCTGAGTGGCTGGTGGTGTCGCAATATCAAAGTTCCCGGAGTAGGTCCTCCGTACTCCGTAGAGCCCTGGTCTTGGTCGAGGGCCGACATCGCAAGTTGTCGGGTTGTTCTCATATTGGCTCAACGGCATAGAGTAGTGGTCTAAGATAGTTCGATTGGAAGGTCGCAACGGTATCAGATAGGGCGTGGAGGATTGCGATAAAGCGCTTTGGCGACTTGGGCTTGGCAAGTAAGCGTGCGCCACTGGGAGAGCACGCAACTCAACCCTGTCGAGTGGCCATCCAGACGATATAAATGTCTAGACGATCAACTCGAGCAACCGCATAGGATCTTTCGAGACTGAGTTTAACAGAATTTATAAAGTCATTCGGGACGCCGGCGATTTTGACGTGATATAATCCTGTGCCGGTGTCGGGATTGCCAATAGGTTGGGTCTTAGTGGAACTCTCTCTTAAGGCGTTGGTCGCTTGGCGAACGGCTAGAATCCCCCAGGGATTGGGAAATAATGCCGAATGGTCGTGATAAGCCCTCCTGTTGGTGGATATGAAGCTCATCTTTGTCCGCAAGCGAAGTCGGAGCCCAAAGAGCATGTGCTATAACTCTTGGTGTTTTCTTGGTGTTATATTATGAGCGATGTCCCAGTTGTGGTCTTTGACTCTCTCTCTCTCTCTTTTCTCTTTTCCTTCCTTTCCCTCCAAAAAAATGTCCATATGATGAGATGACCTCTATTCCTCCAAGGAAGACCACACATGCGAATGACCAACACTAACTGAAATCTTCCCCCTTATCTGCTGAGGTCTTGGCAAGTCACCGGGCACAAACCACAGATCCACCATCGTTCAATGTTTCTACGCAACTCTTACGAGAGAATAATTACCCCGGAAAACAGAGACCAGACCAGACCAGACCGAATGATAGGAACGGCGGGTTCTGGTTTCTCTCATCGCTTGGAATGTATTCAACGGCATTGGCTATTGCTGTCTTGACGGGGAAACGCATGCCGGGGTAAGCGGGTATGAAGCTTTGAGACATACGAAACTCCACGGGAAGGGGGAAAAGGGCCCCAACGTTACATTGGCAATCATCTGGTGATTGTGATTAATGCGATTTATTGATCTCGCAATCAGGAAATCCGCGCTCGACATCGCATATCCCGAAAGCGGATGTGTTTTCCGGTCCTGAGTCGAAGGCGCTCAAGCCTTGCCAATATGCAGCCCATGCAGCCCATGCAGTTCAATATTAGCAGTCGCCATCGGATTTCCAAATATATCCTTACTGATTTGTCGATTTGATGGCATTGGGAAGGCGAAAACAAATCCCAGAATTTGCCCTCGTGGCAAATCCCGGAACCGTCCTCAACTGGGAAATTTTCAACCTCATCGGCAATCTCCGACTGCACATCTCAACGTGATTCGATGAAAAAAATACACAAAGTGGACTCGGCCTCACCCCTTCTAGAAATCCCCAGGATGCCAAATGCAAGACCAGACCATTCGCTGCTCTGATTGATCCGGACCTGTATCAAGAGTCCACCCTATGCTCGGCCTTTAATTGCTTGACTCGTTCGTTTCCGTGTGCACTGTCTCTGCCGTGTGGTTACATTCGCATGCTCGTGGGTCGACTTGCTCGAGTTCAGCCATTCGCCGTGGGACGATAAACATGCCGATCGCATCCACGGTCGAACTGCGAACAATGGCCCGTATGCGACCTTCTCGGATGAGCCTTAGTGGCATGGGGGCATGGGGGATGGCGTGCAATTTGCTTTTTTTCTTCTTTTTCCTGCTTTTCTCAAGATAAGACTCTCCTCCGGTCCCACTTGGCCTCATTTGTCGAGTGCACGAAAATTTGCATATATAGTATTAATCACGCCCTTTTTTTGTGCCTCTTTCTCTACTCCCGATTGTGATTTTTTTTCTAGGCCCTCTTGAAAGAGAAGGCATCATCTGGTCTCGTAGCCATGTCGTCCACAGACCGTGAGATGGAGACTTCTGCGTATGTATCTGTGTGGCTGGCAATTTCATGAAGGGCAACTAACCCTCTCTTCAGAGCTCCACCCTATGACACCGAAGAGGTCACTCACCATGTCGTCCTGAATGAAAAGGCTATGGATGCCGAGTTCGACAAGGAGAACCAGACTACCCCGGATGGCGGCGAACCCACACTCTCGGAGAAGATTTCCTTGCGTCATGTCGCAGAGAACCTGCCTCTCTCCGCCTGGTTGGTGGCCGTCGTCGAGCTGTGCGAGCGTTTCACCTACTACGGCATGTCTGGTCTGTTCCAGAACTACGTTCAGCGGCCTCGGGATGGTAGCGAGGGACGTGGTGCGCTCGGTATGGCTCACCAGGGTGCAACCGGTCTCACTACCTTCTTCCAGTTCTGGTGTTATGTTACCCCGATCGTCGGTGCCATCATTGCCGATCAGTATCTTGGCAAGTACAAGACCATTGTGCTGTTCTGTTTTGTCTACATGATTGGCCTGCTCATCCTGGTCTGCACCTCCATTCCCACTGCCCTGGACCACGGCTCAGGCATCGGCGGTTTCATTGTCGCCATCTTGATCATTGGTCTGGGTACCGGTGGCATCAAGAGTAATGTGGCTCCTTTGATTGCGGATCAGTACAAGCGCAAGAAGATGGCCATCACCACCACCAAGAAGGGCGAGCGCGTCGTCATTGACCCCGCCCTGACAATTCAGCGTATCTACATGATCTTCTACGGATGCATCAACCTCGGTTCGCTGTCCCTGCTCGCTACTCCCTACATGGAGTTGTACATCGACTTCTGGCCAGCCTATCTTCTCTGTCTCTGTATGTTCATGGTCGGTACCCTGGTGATCATTCTCGGCCGCAAGTTCTACGTCGTTCGCCCACCCCAGGGCTCCATCATCACGGATGCTTTCCGTGCCGTCTGGATGATGATGAAGAACCGCAACATGGATGCCCCCAAGCCCTCCTGGCAGACCGAACACAATGGTGCGTCCTCTGTCCACTGGGACGACCACTTCATCGACGAGCTGAAGCGCGCCTTGGTCGCCTGCCGCGTGTTCGCCTTCTACCCGATCTACTGGGTCGTCTACGGACAATTCTCCGGCAACTTCGTCACCCAAGCCGGTCAAATGGATGGCCACGGCATTCCCAACGATCTGATGCAGAACTTCGACCCCATCTCCATCATCGTTTTCATTCCCATTCTCGAAACCTGCGTCTACCCCCTGATGCGCCGTTTGAAGATCCCCTTCCGCCCGATCACCCGTATCGCCCTTGGCTTCGTCGTCGCCTCGCTTGCTATGATGTACGCCGCTATCGTGCAGCACCTGATCTACGACGCCGGTCCATGCTACGGCAAACCTTTGTGCGCGGCCTCCGAGGTCAACGGAGAAGCCCAAGGCAACCGAGTTCACATCGCCATCCAAACCCCGGCCTACGTCTTCATCGGTCTGTCTGAGATTTTCGCCTCTGTCTCCGGTCTCGAGTACGCATACACCAAAGCACCGCCCAGCATGAAGTCCTTCGTGCAGTCCATGTACCTCCTCACGAACGCGTTCGGCTCCGCTCTCGCCGAAGCACTCACTCCCGCCGCCTACGATCCCGCCGTCATGTGGATGTTCACCGGTCTTGCCTGTGCATCCTGCATATGCGGTATCATCTTCTTCGCCGTGTTCCACCACCTGAATGCGCAGGAAGACGACATGAACGCCCTCGATGCTGAAGAAGAGATGCCCGAGGCTCCGGTTGAGGCGGCACGGGGCCAGTCCAAGGCCGAGTAGGCATTGGCAGTGTATTTTTTGTGATATATTTGTATTTTTCTTGTTTCTTTGGCATTGGCATTGGCAGCATTGCAAGTGTCTCTTATCTCTTACGCTGGGATCGTACTTTTTTTTTCATTGCTTGCATCATCGGAGCGGGACCCTCTGTGTGTTCTAAAACTGCTGTGCAGATTGTGAGACGTGGTATGATATGATGCATTAATTTAGTATATACTTATTAAGAATGAAAATAATCAGTATACTTATCAATTCACTCCATCTTCACCGTACTTCCAAACTCCATGTTCGTGGGACAGACCTCCACAATGACGAATATGACAGACACACTACGGAGTACAGACTACTCCGTATAGAAGTGGATTCGACTCCATCTCTGTGATGATCTTCTCCGCTCCTTTCTGCGACACGCCGTTTCAATTATCTTTCAAGGGTCTGCTCGCACTGTTAAAGTGATTTGGGTAAGAGCTTATCCAAACCACCCAAATCGGAAGTCAAAGCTCATGCCAGAGCGGTTTCTCTTTAGTTTGGATATGTGATGTTTCTCAGTCAAAACAAGACATCAGATTTGCAAGGCTGGAGTGACCCTCGACTTTCATTGCTCTCAAATCTTGAGCATTTGGACATACTCACTTTTCGGAACGTCTTTTTTGAAGTTGATCTAAGCCTCATATGCCCACCTTTGCACAACGCCAGATGACAATGGCCTCGCATTCCTATCCCTTGGCCATTGGCCGAATTCCGTGGCTTCTCCTAAAATGCAAAGCATTCTAGAGCATTCAAGCTCTTCCATATCGACGGCAGAGATGGTTCAGCTTTGAAACGAAGGACTAAAGCTGTTAGTACCAAGCTATATGACAGAACATTGAGCCTCTTTTTCATGCTTCTCTTAGCCTCCCAACGTCTGGCCTCCAGTTCAGATTCCAGGAATTATTGTGGTGTCCCCATCCTGTATGTGTATCGAATCCACCAGATCGAGACAATATGCTAGTTTGTGGCATTGAAGGGATTTTAAACATCCACAAGGTAACCTTGGAATGGAATGGCTTAGACAGATGTCTACCGAGGTAGATCCACATATGAGACCCACACTCCCTGACTTCAGAGGCTCAACTGCCTCGGGAGCACAGCCCTGGCGGTCAACTGCCTGAATACAACAACCATTAGGTGAACTCTGTGGCTAAGAATACCCGAGGCTTACATGCCGCAGATGCATGAGGGGCGAGACCTGGGAATCGTTCGATTATCATGGCAGATATGTCGGGTGACACCTAAGAAGGATGATACGGTTATTGTTTGAGTATAGACAAGATTCAAAACACTAACGGTTAGTCCGGGGTGAAGAAAGTGAGTGTTGGGGATGAAAAGGGGACGGAGAGTTCTTAGGCCGAAAGAAGAATAGACCGGGTTACCGCATTGGGCAACCTCATAGCCACTCCTCCGTACGATAGCCCTTATACGGAGTAACCATATGCTGTATAGATCAGGCAGCTATACTTTGACTTTGCTAAATGAGATTTAGTTGATGCCTGACATGAGGCTGATCGAACCTTCTAAATGCCCTGATTGGCCAAGTTTCACATCGATTTTTCAGTTCGTCTTGTCCCTACGCATGCTATTTCCGACTTGTCGCCCAGACTGGATTGTTTTCCTATTGGAATAGTCCGCGTTGCATACATATGTCTTTCATCAAGGCGGTACATCATAATCATGACGTGCAGACTCCCTTGCCACAGACCGTCGGACATGTACCAGGTACATCATCCAGGGTGGATATTACAACCAACGCCAAGTATCCAGTACTTGATGAAAAAATATGCCGCTCTCCCCCTTCATCGAATCACACGGATCTGCCATGTCTTAAATAGAACAGGCTCAGCCACACAGGATGAAAGGCCAATCTCGGGGACTCCACCGCCAAATTGCAAGGAGGCTGTATCCGTACTAACGTAGGAACGGTGCACTGTCCACTCTGTAGCAGACGGTTAAAAATAGGGGGACCCCAAAGAAACCACTGTAAATGCGAAGACCTATGAAACCCTTGAAACCGTCGAACCCCGTTAAACCCATTGATCCCTTTTAATTCACCCCAAATTAATGCTTAATTCTGCTATTCAGCGCGACTAACCCCCGGATCTTATTGGCTTTGCTGCGCTGACACCGCCAGCCCTTCTGCCGTAATTTCCACTTCTCCCCGTCTCACCCTTCCCTCCTACATCTCCCCCCTCCCCCTACTATTATTGTTTTGTTCCCCAGATCTGAGAACCTGAGAATCTGCACATCATGAGTGTGAGTGAACCAATGTGTACCCCATTGATTGCTTGAGTTTGCTTTCTGACGCGACTTCCCCTAGTACCAGAGCTTAGGGGACACCTCAGGCGGCTATGGCCAGTACAACCCATACGGAAGTCAGCAACAGACCAATCCCTATGGGGGCCAGGAACAACAAAGCTATGGATATGGTGGTGGTTATGACCAGGCTGGCGCCGCGGAACAGGGAAATGGTGGCTACGGTATGCTGACCCGATAATCGACCTCTTCGCGACGAGTCTAATTCCTCAACAGAGATGTCCAACATCAATCAAGCCTCATCTGGTGGCCCAACGGCGATTCTGAACAAGTGCAAGGAACTGAACGAGGGTATTACCGAGTTGACCAAGAAGCGCGAGTCCCAATTGGTCGCCGCCCAAAAGGCCCTTCTGGACTCAAGCACCGGCAAGGAAGACCAGGCTTCGCGCCAAACGCTCGATTACATTGAGGATGAGATCAATACAGCGTTGCGATACCTGCGCGATCAATTCAAGCGCATCAAGGAGACCCCGGGATCCGGCGATGCGCGCGTACAGGGCCAGGTTGAGAACGTCAGCCGCAACTTGCGTCGGGAGATTGAGCAGTACCAGCGCACGCAGAGCGACTTCCAGAAGCGCCTGGAGGAGCAAGTGCGCCGCCGATACGAGATTGCCAATCCCGAGGCTACCCCCGAGGAGTTAGAACAGGGTGTGCAGAATGTTCTGCTGGGACAGGAGCAGAGTTTTGTTGTATGTTTCGCCCGAATTGAATCTTTTACGGGTCGGGTCGGTTGCTAATATTTGAGGAATAGGTTCCCGGTACTCGCACCCGCCAGGCCAACGATGCCCGTCAGGCTACTATGCAGCGCTCCGCCGCTATCCGAAAAATCGAGCAGGATCTGATCGAACTCAGCCACCTGTACAATGAGGTCGCAGAGCTGGTACACCAGCAGGAGCCTGCAGTCCAGCAGATTCAGCAAGGAGCCGAGGAGACACACCGCAATGTCGAGCAGGCCAACACCAAGCTTGACAGCGCTATTCAGAGCGCAAAGAACGCTCGGCGCTGGAAGTGGTACGCGCTGATCATCATCCGTAAGTATTACCTGTCAAGACCAAGATCTGATCGACCCGCTAACCTACTTTCCAGTCATTATTATTGGTATCGTCGTCGGTGTGGCCGTCGGTGTCACCGAAAACAACAAGAGCAAGTAGCGGGAAATAGTGATTTGTCTGCTGCACTGCATCATTTTCCTACCTTGTCCATGTACGACCTGTCCCGGGATCTTCTCCGCATCTTCCCATTTGTCTTTGTTCTCTCGTTATACCACCCCTTCGCATTTCCTTCTTGTGTAAAAGCAATGTCTTTCAACCCCTCTTTCTTTGTGTCTTTGCCTCCTAGCTGTCTGTACCTGCGTGTTCGTGTACAGCTGCTCCGCGTCTAACACGCGATGGCCCTTGATGATTGTCGTTATTTCGGGGCTCGTGATGTTGCGGCGCATGGATGTATATACTAGATTGTTGCTTTCCTCCGCCCCCTGTTTGGCGCTAGAACCTATGTAATACTGTCTAATAATTGATTCCTTCGCGCATGAGTTTGATCTATCACGCCGTAGATATAACCCCGTAGTTGAAAAGTCCTGGAATCCTGGGTTTGTGCAGTGTAATGTAATGCATTCCGAGTCATCGTTTGGGGGTATCCGACTCGACACGCTCTTTCGAAATAACGAGCACCTGAACGCCCAATCATTCCGCGATCTATGCCTTTTCCTTCCTCTCCTTTTCGCGCTGCTCCTCAGCGGGTGTCTTCGTCTTCAACTGCAGTGCATGTAGTCCGCCCTCGCGAGCCATCTCTTCCTTGAACAACGAATAGACCATACGGTGCCGAGCGGGCTGCATCTTCGACTCGAAGGAATCAGAGACAATTGTCACACTGAGAGATATTAGACATTGACTCATACGCCGTGTATGGTCGGATGTGGGGAACGAACTTGAAATGCGTCTCTTTCGATACCGACCCTTCCATTGCAGCGTGGTGCGCATGGAGGTGAGAGTCATTCCGGATCACGAGTTTCGAAGGTGTGAATGCATGGGTGATCTATAAAAAGGGGGGGAGAAGTTAGCAATCGCAGTCAACAACAGTCAACAACACGGAGGAGTGGCTCACCTTATCGCGCATGACATCCTCTAGCGGCGTATTGGAGGCCATCCTTGCAGATACAGCGAAGAGACGGCGAGGGAGCAAACCCGGAAGGCTGCGAGGAAGCATTTAGAGGAAAAGAAGAAGTGATCAAAGGGAGGAGGATGAGAGAGATGTCCGCAATTGAAGCCAATCAAATGTTTTCGATTTCGGAACGTCACTGTCATGACATCAGCTTGTCTTTTTGCTCGAGACATCTCAATTGCTTCTTCTTATTCAATGGGTTTCTACTATTAAAGTTCAAAATTTCAAATTTCAAAATGTCTGGTTTACTTTCCCTGCTTTCGCGTACGAATGCGCGCGTCTGCTTCACCCCGCGGCGAATGCCTCTCAGCGCCAGACTCTTGTCGACTCTTCCCAACACACATATCTTCCGCGCACTCCAGAGCCATGACCCAGAAAGCCTGGCCGTCGTGCATAGCATCTCTGCCCGATCATTCACCTACGGTAATCTAATTGCCGACACCGTTCTCGCTAAGGAGGACCTGGAACAAAAGGCCCAGGGCCAATTGGCTGGCGAGCGGATCGCCTTCATCGCGGAGAGCAGCTATGATTACGTCGGTACTTGCTGCCTTGAATCCCGTTGAAGAATATACGTAGAATCCTAATAAGCTTACAGTGATGATGCTGGCGATCTTTGCTAGTGATGCCATTGCGCTCCCGCTCTCGCCGGCTTTCCCGGTTGCGGAGCTGAAGTATATCTTGGACAATTCACAGGCTAAGATGCTGTTGACAACTCAAAAATATGCCAATAAAGGCCTGGAAGTTGTGGACAAGGGATTGGAGCACGAGCCTGTGTTCTCTATCCGCCGTAAGCTCACAGAGGGCGCCTCGAGCAGCGAAGCTGTAACCCTACAAGATTTGAAGCAGCCTTCGTCCGGTGGGTTGATGTTGTATACATCTGGGACAACGAACCGACCGGTAAGCTCAGTTAGTTCCTGCGCCCAATGAGCTAGCTAACTCGGAACAGAAAGGTGTACTCATCCCCCACTCGGCAGTGGCCGCGCAGGCATCTTCACTATTAGAAGCATGGAAGTACACGTCGGATGACCGGCTGCTTCACTTGCTTCCCCTCCACCACATCCACGGCGTGGTAAACGCAATCGTGGCGCCAATAGTAGCAGGCTCCTCGGTCGAGTTCATGCACCCCTTCAATGCGGAAAAAGTCTGGAAACGACTAGCAGCACCCTTCCTCCCATCCAACAGCTCAAGATCACCCGTCACATTCTTAACTGCCGTCCCAACAATCTACACCCGCCTCATGGCCACCTTCCCGGAACTAACCCCAGAGTACCAAAAAGCCGCCAAAGAAGGAATCTCCCCACAAAACCTTCGCTTGAGTATCTCCGGCTCGGCCGCCCTACCAACACCGACTAAAGCCGCCTGGACAAAACTCAGCAACGGCAATGTTCTCCTCGAACGATTCGGCATGACCGAAATCGGGATGGCGATTAGCTGCGGCCTCGACGTCGCAGACCGGGTCGACGGCAGCGTCGGCTGGCCGCTCCCAGGCGTCGAAGCCCGACTCACCGACCTCGAAACGGGTGCTGTCATTCCAGTGGAAGACAAGAATTCCAATGGCCCAGAACGCCAAGGCGAGATCCAGATCCGCGGTGAAACAGTCTTCGACCATTACTGGGACAACGAGAAAGCCACGCGCGAGAGTTTCGTTCAGAGCGATGATGGAGGCCGACCGTGGTTCTGCACCGGCGATGTCGCGATCCGTCGAGTTGTTGACGGAGCTGGTAGTGGAGCGAGCGGAGATTGGGCTCGGGGACCGATGTATTTCATCCAGGGGCGGAAGAGTGTTGATATCATCAAGACTGGGGGTGAGAAGGTTAGCGCGTTGGAGGTTGAGAGGGAGTTGCTTTCTCTGTATGTTGTCACATTCCTTTCAGGTGTTCACTTGAAAGATCTGTACTAACGATGGTGCTTAGTCCCCAAATCACCGAAGCTGCAGTTGTTGGTCTCCCATCTGAACAGTGGGGCCAGAAGATTGTTGCGGTGGTTGTTCTTTCTCCCGACGCAGCTACTTCGGGTCATAATGGTCAACCCTGGGGCCCGCTGGATATGCGGCGCGCGCTGAAGGATTCTCTTGCTCCTTTCAAGATCCCGCATGAGATGAAGGTTTTGGAAGCTATTCCGAGGAATGCAATGGGTAAGGTCAATAAGAAGGCACTGGTGAAAGAGGTGTTTGGTGCATGAAAGTCGAACACACTGTACAAATTGAGAGCCTACCTAAACATATGTTTGAGGTAGGTGATGTATATCTACCCGGAGAAAGGATGTACAACGATCTGCATAATAGAACATTGAAGATTTAAATCATTTGTTATATTGGAAATAACCGAAATCGCTTGCTCTTAATCCCAAATTCATATCATCATATCAAGGCCTGTGCCCGGCAAGATAAAAAACCAAAGAGTTCCAAATATCCACCTAGATTCTACGGTGATCCTCATTCTCAATGCGAGTAGCGCTCGAATCCACACGAGGATCGAGCTTGTTGGCAATGCTCGAGCTGTGAGGACCAGTGGTACCAGTGGTAGTTCCAGTGCTAGAAGTATTGTAGCTACTGCCAGCAACAGCATCCTGATGACCAGTAGTACCAAGACCCGATCCACCAATCACCGAGCCACCGGGAGCGGTAGTATCGCGAGTGTGGGAGCCGTGGGTAACAGTACCAGGCCCAGTACCAGCAAGAGGAGACTGGTGCTGAGGGTAGCTGTCACGGTCCGAGTCAACGCGGGGGTCGAGCTTGTTCGCAATGTTGGAACTGTGGGGTCCAGCATTTGTGCTGCTAGTGCCAGGGGTAGGAATCGGACCACTGTGGGTAGCGCCAGTTCCAGAGCCCAGGGTAGAGCCGTGGGTGCCTGTAGCGGTGCTGGGGTGAGTAGACCCAAGACCAGGACCGGTGCCGGTCAAACCAGTGCCATGGATAGTGTCAGTACCCAGGGCAGAGCCATGTGTGCCTGTAGCGGTGGTAGGGTGGGTAGACCCAAGACCGGCACCGGTGCTATGGGTAGTGCCAGATCCCAGGGCAGAGCCGTGAGTGCCAGAAGCAGTGGTAGGGTGAGTAGATCCAAGACCGGCGCCGGTTCCAGTCACACCAGAAGTGCCATGGGTAGTGCCAGAGCCCAGAGTAGAACTGTGGGTGCCAGTAGCGGTGGTAGGGTGAGTAGATCCAAGACCAGTGCCGGTGAGGCCCTCGTGGCGAGCACGGTTATCACGGTCAGAGTCGACCCGGGGATCGGCCTTGTTCGCGATGTTTGAGCTATGAGGGCCGGCATTGGTGCTGCCTGTGGTATTGTGGGTAGATCCAAGACCAGCACCTGTGCCAGTCACATCGGAGGTGTCGTATGTAGTACCAGAGCCGTGGGTGCCAGTAGCAGTGGTAGGGTGACTAGACCCAAGACCGGCACCGGTGCCAGTCACACCAGAGGTGCCATGGGTGGTGCCAGAGCCCAGGGTCGAGCCGTGAGTGCCTGTTGCGGTGGTGCCGTGGGTTGTGTCATGGGTTGTTCCAAGACCAGCGCCAGTCACATCGGTATGGGCAGCACGGTTGTCTGAGGTAGTTATTAGTATTGAATTCTGAAGGATGAGATGTCAGGTGAGGTGAATGACAAACCTCTATCACTGTCGACGCGGGGGTCAAGCTTGTTGGCCAAGTTGGACGAGTGAGGTCCATGGTTGGAGGACTTTGTCGACTCGTGGGACTCGTTCTTCTTGCCAGTAATGGCCTCTTCAGCCTTGCGTACAAACTGCATTTTGGTAGTGATGGTATTTATGAAAGTTGAAGTTGATTGAAGTTGGTTGAAGGTGTTATCAAGTAGATATTAAATATGGTTGATGAAGGTAAGATATGAATTGATCTCATTAGGAGAAGAAGAGGGTATTTATATCTCCTTTGTACATAGACATACTCAGGCAACCATTAGAGTAATGATTTATGACGTTCGTGGTTTCAATGTGATGGTGTACAAGCATCACGAATTTAGGTGCGACGATCCACGATCCTCTATCGGATACGATGTACATGGATGGATTTCTTATGGAGTTCTTATTAGCTACATGGTCAGCCACTTAACTCAGTGTACTGTCATAAGAATGTTAAACTGGCTATCATCCTTGATCTAAACGCCAAATATCAAAATCCAAAACAATTGCGTCATGGTTCAGGCTTTGCCAAGAAATATGTATGCCAACTATATGCACCTGGGCAGTACATATATGTACATACAATTGTACTCAGCACATCCTAGTAATCCTATAGCCAACCAGAATAAACTGGAATGATATCACTGTGGCTAAAGCATGTATTTATCTTGTTCTTATGTACACCGTAGTCTCATCTTTGTTGTACGACCTTGTACTCCGGACTTGTGATAGGGCGTGGAAGTCGAAGCAAAGAAGACTTGTAACTTTATTTATTCATTATTGAAGTTTGTAGCTAGTGGCTCAATTGACAGATATGAAACATATTCACACCGTACTTTCTGTCAAAGAATAGTCGCAGTGGTGTAGTCGCGTGGCTACGTCATCGGAATTTATGCTAACTAGCCACTTCGGGTATATCTCCGACTAGCCGCAATTCTCAAGAGCTTACTTACTGTCACCTGATCTATCACTAACTACAAACCAATTTCAATTAACGAGAATGGTAGAATTTCAGTACTCTTTTGACTGTCTTTGTAGATGTTGTTTCCTCAATTTAACAAAAAAAGTTAGGGAAAAACGACAGATCAATAGGGTGGAAGATTGAAATTGCGACCAGCGGTGGATATACCCGAAGTGGCTAGTTAGCATAGTCCCCGGTCACATGACTGGGATATATGGTCTCTTCATCAGACAAGTGGCAATAACCATGATATTCTGAGAAAACGTCCACGCGTCCTTCGTCTGGGATAGTCGTTCGACATGGAATATGTGACACATGTCTCCTTAATATCTTAATACCTTAATTCAGGACCTGCAAAGACCCAATCCCGAAGCCCAACTTAGTGAGATTGAGGAAGCCTACGACTTGGTTATTCGGACCGGTAGTATAAAGCTACACTGATGAGTGATTCAGTGGGACCTTTTTGAGGGTCAGTCAAGAAGACCTCTAGTCGTTGATGGCAAGGTTGCCCAGGTGCTAGACCTCGCTCTTCCAAGGCCCCTGAAACAATCAGTTGAGCGAGATAATCAGGGCTGCAGCTCTAGTCATTGCAGTGCAAAGTCAAGATTTATGGGCCTTGCTAGGTGAGATCACCTCTCAACGTAGCATCGCTGAGAATATATCGACCTAGAATATTTCCAAGCTTCGCCATTCAACGATTGCTTAAATCCCTCTAGCTGACGCATTGGTAGAACCATTGAGAAAAATTACCGAACAAATTTCCACAGCTTCTGGATGTACAGTCGTTGAAAACGCAAGATTACTTCCTGTTCAATCGAAAATGAGGTTGAAAAAAGCTCCGAATCTGCTGATGTCAGCATCCGGTCGCTCCGGTCCGGGTGGACACTCCGAGATATAAGCTGTTCGCCATGGAGTTACATACATGGACAGTCTGAATTCGGTAATTCGGATCTGTGGGGTTGCATTTCTACGCCCTTGGGGATTTGTACTGCCAGGCGTAGATCCGGCGTTCCCCCCCTTGCTTGCGATCCTTGAATTTTCACATGCGCGACAATTTACATCGAAATTGTTCAAAGGAGTGTCCCTTGCAAACAATCATAATACAAGCTCTTCCCAGACAACACAGTCTTTCCGCCTGAAGATCCCACCCCACGGGTCGCGTAACAAGCCATGTGGATTGTCTCGTTCTGGATATTCCCCTTGGTATCCGGGTGCATGTGGATTGGTGAGAGTCAGAACACGAGGGAATAAGCTTACCTGAACTAATGGCCTTGTAGCTATGCTGGTAGCCATGTTGTCAACCTGGGCGGCGGATGGAAAGCCAATTTATTCCACCATGACCGATGGGCTCAAAATTCCGTGAGTCTAATCAATGAACCTTGGCCCTCGGCGCAACATCGAAGTTAATTCAACAATCAGTTACATTTCCCATATTGGGGCTGAGAGACTCAAACCGCTGTTCATTGCGGGAAGTGCAGTAACAGTCGTATTCATGGATCTCGGTCTCATCTCTGAGCGTTGGCTTCGTCATGCCGGCCAACTTGCCCGAAACAAAGGGAGGTTTGACAAGATCTGTGCTGTTGGATCGATTCTTTTCTCGATCGCTGGGGCTGTAGGTCTCATTCTGCTGTCCATATTCGACACCAAGCATCACTCAAACCTTCACGACGGGTTTTTGGCTATGTTCATAGCATGCTACGTGGTCTGCGCCCTCCTGGTATGTATGGAATACATCCAAATCGGCCGATTTTACCATCCGCAAGCCCGGATTTTGTTAGTGAGCTTTTTCATCAAAGCTCTTTTCATCATCTGTGAAGTTGCTGTCGCTATTGGATTTGGCGTATGCAAAAGAGCCGGAAGAAACAGGAACGCAGCTGCTGTTTTAGAATGGGGTAAGTTTTCAGCCCTGTCAGATTGTGCAAGGAAAAGCTAACTTCAGTAGTTGCCGCTCTTATATTCGCATTCTTTGTTTTTTCTTTCATCATTGATCTCCTGCCGTCCGTTCGTACCAAGAGACACGTTCCCCAGGGTGAAAAGTATACTCGGCCGGATGTGGAGAATCGACCAGTTGACTTTTAAGTCGCGAGTACAGTCTGACAGCATATAATAATTATTCCATAGATACTCGTGGATGTCAGAATGGCTTTTGCCAATGAGAGACCAGTTTTGACTTTGGCCACATGTGGTGATATCATCCCTGGGGAAAGGGTGAAAACCCCGAATCTCTCGAAAAGGAACTCTGAACACTTCACACTAATTCAAGCAATCAATAAATTAATACCTGATCATCAACATGGGCTTCTTCAACCACCTCTGTGGTTTAATCTCAACCATCGCTCATATCATCCAATGCATCAGTTCATTTGTCGTCCTCGGGATCACAGCCTGGGCAGCCCGCGAGACGAAAACCCTTACGGTGATATTTCCCTTGGTGGTGGTATATTTCCCCAAGGTCTTATCTTAATATGTAGAGATTCTAAAATCCTTCCAGGCGGTCCTCACCCCAATCCTCGACGGTATAACACTAGGCATCAGCTGCTTTACCCGACGTCGCAGATGGCAGGTTCTCCCTCTGCTTCTGACGGACGCAGCACTTTCTTACCTGTAAGCATGATAGTATTAAGCACTCTTTTATACCGGTAACAAATGCTCTCCCATTTAGCTGGCTCACTGCATTCATCTTTCTGGCTCAGGATTTCAACCAGGTCAGCTGCAGCATCCACCTTTGGAACCACGAGATGGTATGTAGCCGGAAGTATGCGGCCGAGGCATTCAGTTTCATTGCATTGTAAGTGACGTTCTTTTGACGATCAATCCACTCGCTGATCGCACGGCAGCTTTACTACATTCGGAGCTATGACATCCGAGGTTTTGTATGCATACCTGCCGAAGAAAGATACCCCAATTCAGGAAAGGAAAGATGGGGCGACGAACCTGGAGCATAATCTCCAGGGTGCCGGATTAATGAACCCTTGAACAGAAAGTACCTGTGAATGCTGAATAACGATGTCCAAGGCATGAAATCCTTCAATTATATAAAGATTGGCGATGCCTATAGGAGATGTATATGATACAGTATTGTACAAGTCACCCAAACTCAAGCCCACTCACCCTTCCTCTCGAACGGCTTCACAAAACTAGTCGCCTCCATAGTCACCTGTAGAGAGGCCATATCGACAGCCGTGATATGAGCTTCGACCGTGCAGAAGATATCCAGCTTATCTTTATCTGGGAAATCCGGAGGGATGGTGACGGAGCAGTTCACGCCAAGACTGGTGATGACGCCGGAATACTCCTCGTCCAAATGTCTAGGCCTGGTACGCGGGGTGCGTAGCAGACATGGGAATGTGACGGGGAGATTGCACTCGGAGAAGTAGAATGCACGGAAGAGGAGCATGCAAGCCCAATGTTGTGCGGAGTATTTGTCGAGGTTTCTGAGACGTGTGCGCAGGGGTTGAGAGTAGATAAGGTGAGCGTCGATGTCAGATTTGGAGAAGGGGAGGAGAGAGATGGGAATGGTGTTTGTGTCATTGGTGGTGATTTCAGTAGGAGTCTCTGCTAGATCGGCTTTTGCTAGATCGGTCTCTGCTGGGTCCGTCTCTGCTAGGTCCGTCTCCACTAGATCGATCTCTGTAGAATCTGGACTATCAACAAGAGCGTCAAACTGACGGCCGTGTTCATGCTCGAAACGCAATGCTGCCTCGATCTGGTAGTGCGCAATAACATCCGTGTACCGGCGCAGCGGACTGGTGCTCTTGACGTACGTATCCAAGCCCAGGGTGTGATGCTTAGTTGGGACTGTAGAGGAGTAGGCCAACGGTACGCTGAGCTCATAGAAACCCTCACCGCCGAAATTGGACAAGTTTTTGTTGGTCACGCGTCCGTACTCCGGGTCGTACCACGTGCCGTCGTAGACAACGGGGATGTTGCGTGCGGCACAGAATTGACCGGAGATGTGCCCGGCCAGATTCATGATCAGGGAGACTAGATTGTCCCGGGATTGGTCGCGAACGTCGTATGGATCATAGGATTGCACATCGAGCCGGATGACTGGGTCACCGAGATAGTGGCGTCCGGTTGTGGATTGTAAATCGTATGGCGGCATCGGGGCGTCGCCTGACTGGACTGAGATAGAAAGATCTGGGCTAAGAGGAGTGAGGTCCATGGCACCATTCTTTCGACGGGTCTGGCGGAATGCGAGCATGAGTTGACGCATGATGTGGAATCTATCTTTGTCCTCGGGCCGCAGGCCTTGTTGGATAGTTTTACCCTCAGGTATTGATGGTTCGGTGAACTTGCCACCGATGGTGAATGATTCCGACTGTTCTTCAGAATCGGGGTCGAAGAAGTCGCGCAGTGTTTTGTGAGTGATGTTGATGACATTGTGAATTGTGCCGTTTTTGATTTCACTATCCAAGATCTCTCCTCGAAGATTCATCTTCGCACTGAATGTGAGTACCGGCCGACCAGCTGCCAAACTGAAGTGGGGTTCAGTGAGAGCTTTGGGAAGCATGGGATAGGTGCGTTCCGGGATGTAGGTGGTGAAGAGTCGAGAAGCTGCATACTGAATGATAGGGTTGTCATTTTTAATAAAGGCTGTCGGATTGGCAACGTGGACATGCACCCAGAAAGTGTTACGAGATCCTGGCACGGGCTCCAGCGATATACCGTCATCAATTTCCTGCGCCGTCACATCATCCACACAGTAAACTGGGAGATCTCCCCAATCCTTTCTCAGATGTTGCATGGAATCCTGCAACTGGTCGGCAGTGAGCTTGCTGCAAGATTCCTCAATCTCTTCCCACTCCATGTCCCTTGCGAGGGATATCCCATGTCCAGGAAGCATCAGATACTGGTCAAGGGGTAAAAGGTTCTCCCAAGGCGCTATGATGCCGATCTCCTGCAATAAAAGACGGGTTGAAGCCTCACTCAGACCAAGAGTATTATACATCCCGGTGGCACGCATGATATGTGTTGCTGTTGATCTCAGAGTGCCCGATGGCATGACAATGGAAGGGACCGAGTACAGCTGCAGATATTCAATGATCATTTGGTCATCTGCAGTAAATTTCTCGGTAGGAAGTTCTCGGAACACTAGCGGGTTTCCATCCTGACCAGGCGAATACCTGTTGGAGGATGGTCCCACGCTGGACATAATAGTCGGAGAGCGGAGCCTTCTGCTAAGGCGAATCAACCGCTGTGCTTTAGTGATGAACCGGTTCATAGGGTGGTCTTTAGATCCCTGCGTGTCTTTGCGCATTGTGGCACGAACACAATGTTCTTGGTGTTCATGAGTCCAGTCAACGACCTGTTTGACAATATTGGCGATCCGTTTTGGCTGCACGATATACATCCGGCTGAACAAGGAGCTGCCATCTTTTTCGATGAGAAAAGGATGCCGGCGAACAGCTTGATGGACAGCAAACATGTTGACACTAGTCAGCTCCGATTCCTCAATGCCAAGAGCAGTTGTTGTCAAATTTTCAAGGCTCAAGCATAGAACTTCGGTATCGTCTGCCACCTTATCATGAAGATCATCCAGTATCTGGGAATTTTCTCTATAGAATTTCAAAACATGAGTCTTGAAGTTGCTCATCATCCTCAGAAGAGGAGCGCCCAGTGGCCTTGGAAGACCTCCCTCGGGGGTCAGTTGAATATCTTGACATGCGATAGCCTCGTTATCCGGGAACCATGGCGTGAGGGGCTCGACAAGTTCGGTAGGTGCAAATCCTTTGATAACATAGTCAAGCTCCGTGTTGGAGCAAATGCGCCAATTCCCGTTGCCATTGTAGAACTGTTTCTGTTTGTGAACAGACCGCACGTAGATTCCGTAATTGAACACCCCGTCCGCGTTCAACCGGGCGATTAAATCGCCCTGTTCGAGGTGTTCACCTTCAAATTCATCTTTGTCCATAGCCTCTTGGTTAAACCTGTTCGGGTCACCCCAAGCATCGATTATGTCTCGGCCGTTAGGCATTGTGCCAATCGATTTACCAGGTATTTCCAATGGCCGATTCTTGGAGTCGGATCGGCGCACCGGGTCCAAATCATTGGGGTTGCTATCCTGCCATTTCTTCAGGTACTCTCGAATGTCTCCATGTAATTCGAATTGGGACCGAAGGAGGATATTGCCATCGATAGGAACTCTTGGGGGCGGCTCGTCTGGATCAGCTGTTTTCTGCTGGGATAGAAGAAAGATTAGCGGTGAATAGCAAAATCTTCTTTAGTATGACACACTTCACTACTGGTTGGAACAGCCTCAGCTGACCCCAATGTTCTCGTGGTGGACGAAAAGCATCGCCCCCCAGACAACACCGGAAGATGAGTGGCGGATGCGATCGACGCACATTCTACGCGGTTGTGTCGCCATGTGCAGAGCACAGGTGACAAATTTGCACCAGTCAGCTTCTGCAAAGCCCTTATTCTTGTAAGTGCCATTGCCAGAGCTTGCGCATAATGAATGCGCCGGTGGCTCGAAAACTAAGTATATTATGCCGGCAGTTGCTATACCGCCATAGGCGGTATAGAAATTGTCCCGTGATTTTGGTCGACCAATCACATTGCAACATAGAAGTATAGAATTCTGTTTATACCAAAGAAGCTCACTGGATGAATAGTCTCATAGTTAGATTATTTAGATTGAGTTGTAGCTAGTAAGAACACATCGATATCAATCGATGGCACGCATTCTCTCTAGGCCATAAAATACAAACTATAATCTCACAGATAGGCCATCGCATAGACAGTAGCTCCCGAGGACATCTAATGAGTACCCTTCCTTGTGTCTTAAAGTCTGTGGTAGACATTCTGCCCGGTTCCAATTCTTGTCACAATGCAATAATCCACAAAAACAATGCCAACTAGTAGAATGCTGTGGGTATACCTAGTACATCTTCAAACCACTGGTCATTTCCCAAATCCATTGACTGCATCCAGGCCATCTGATCTAGATCTGGAATATGGTGATTGCGACTAGTCATGTCAGAGTCAGCACTTTGGCATGGCCTGGTCCCCATATCTTGTAGCTGAGAAGCCATGGTCCATCGAGCTTCAGCCCACAGCCGACATTTGGTCAAAAGCTTAAATAAGAGCTTGAGAAAATGATCATTGAACTGAAGTTCCGGCTCTTTGCTACTTAGATCGAGCTTATGGAGCATACAGTCCATCGTTGATATCAGGTCGACTGTATTCCGCACCGCTTGGCAATCCCATTGTGGGTCTTCAAGTGTTGATAGATATTTCAAAAGTGTGATACTCAGAATCATCTGTGACCAAAAGTGAAAGGGCTGGCCGAAAAGTTTCGAGCAAGGAATTCTGTAGAACTCGTCCAACCACGATTTGATATTCTCGACCGACTGCCACAAACACTCGGGTCGTTGGAATTCCAGTACCACCCCGCCGTCACTAATTCGTCCAGATTGATCTAAAGAAAGCGAGTCTCGACTTATCGAATAACCTAGTTGATTTATGTATAATTCGACGTATTGAGCGTGTGTATTGAGGATGTCTGCGGGCTAAGCCTGGGTTTCCCCAGGCGAAGGTATCAGCAACCACAGGGGAGACAATCTGCTAGGTTATTCACGCGGGAAACCACTTACCTATATGGTAGAGATCTGGGGGAAATGAAGATTTTAAGTCATGCAGCTGTGTTCGTAAAGTCTTGAGATAGAAGAAACGAGGAGCTGAGGCCGCTGCAGGAGCTGTTCCTGTACGAGTACCACCTATCTCGTCCTGTTGTCGAACATAATCCGCTTTTTGCTTTAACAGCTGCAAGTGTACTTGAAAGACAAATAATTCATCCGCAGGGCATGACTTGGTTAGTGTGATGACCCGAAGCGCCTCTTCCATCTGAGGCGTCCATCGTATAGCGTCTTGACGACCGAGATGTGACGAAACACTAGGATTAGTCATAGTTTGTTAGTATGTGTTGACCGTAAGAGGATCACAATGATTATGCGCACTTGGAGCTCAAAATAAAACACGCTAGTAATGCCCTCTGTCTTTCCAAAAAGCCGTCAGGCAATTGATCGTTAGGGCTGTGAGGTTCTTCAGCCTGCCCTTGGGTAAGAGACATAATGGCTTTCACGTCTGGAGAGGATGGTTTGAACAACCGCAAATCATATACTATTGAAATGGCGAGCATCATTAGGCGAGAGACAAGATCCGCTCTGCCAAGAAAGGCGTCGGTACTCCATGCTAGGTAAGTCAGTAATCCAAGGAGCAAGTCGATATTAGACTGGACTTCGCGCAAAGCAGACGTGAATAGGATACGCTTCAGCTCCTCAATTTGACCCAGTCTTTCTTGCGTCGAGAATATGGTAACAGTGTGGATGGCTTGAAGTAAGAAAGGCCTGTTTTGGCGCAGATACGAGTTTGTCATGTCTGGGGTAAAATCGATGAAAGGAAAACATGGCAGCATTCGGGATCGGAAGAAATCGAGACGCTCATCTTCTTGGGTCAGATTCGGTGGTGTTGTGACGATCGAGTCCGTCGCAAACGTCGGCCCCTCACTGATATTCAGCCCAGCGCTGGTGTTTACCAAGGTTCCATTCGAATGAGACGTGGATGATGAAATAATGTTTCCGTCGAGGGAGAGAGCTGGTTGAAGTGGCTCAGGTACATTGGCGGAAGTCCCCGAAGCCCCCTGGGAAACAAATGACTGCATTGCAGATAATAATATCTCCATCTTGTCTTCCAGCCGAGCGATGCGCGAATCAGACGATCCGGCTGCCTGAGCATTGCGTCTGCGAACCGACTCTGATGGCTGACACCTTTTCTTGAGACGGAGACATCTGAGAGAATCATTAGCTGAATATCATCTGATTAACAGGCCGGTAGTCATTGTGACCTTTCACACTTATCGCCGTTTGGGGTACGCACACATCGGCTCTTTGCCTTGTAGCAATGCGTGCAAGCTTGGCCATATGTGCTAGATTGACTGAGAGCCGGGTTTGATCTCTCCATGTTGCCTGGACAAGCTATGCTAGAAGACAAAGTAGGTGAACAGGATTCCAAGACACTTTCTTGTTCAAACGGAACTCCGCCGGTAACTCCGTCTCAAGCGGATTTGGCCCCGAAGTCCGCAACCCGGGCGTAACAAATTGTTGAATGAGTAGTATAATATTAGATGTTCTATAAGAGTATACTCTCAAGTTCTATCCTTAATGGAGGGGACATGAAACAGCTCTTGTGAGCTCACAAGAGTACCGGTTATACCAAATCGACTACGGAGTGCTGCATCGGTAGAATCGACGTCAAGAGGCAGCCTTAGTAGAACAAGCATTGGATAAAAAATGCTCATTTAATATTGGTGTCTCACTCGCAAGGGCTTCATTAAAAAAGAAATTCTTGTTCCACCAAGCCGGTCAACCAGATTTGTAGATCTTTAGAAGCGTCTAGGTCGTTCCTCACTGGTGAAATATCGACAGCAAAGTCGTGCCAGTAATAGATTCTTCTCGTTTCGGTGTCGCGTAAAGATTCCCCGATATATCGACAGCTGTCGGTCAACAAGAATAAGCGTACCATCTTCGCTAACCCCTACCCTTGTTCGTGCCCAATTCGCCATCCCTGTCCTTTCAAGGAGGTGATGCGCCAAGCCACGATTGTCAATCAACTATGCGTTGCTGACATCTATCGGAGACGCGGCCGAATATTACCTATCATATTAGCAAAAAGGCGATATTAGCCCCACCGAAAGTGCGTCTGCTCATCAAGATCATCATGATTATTGCCAAGGAGTACTCTGCACGAAGTACAGTCTTTCGATTATGGTTGCAGGATCAGTCAAACTGCCATCTGATTGTAAGGGATGTGTCATTCATATCTAAAAATCGTGCATAGTCGTGCTCTCGCCTGCATACTCCGTTTTCCGTATGCCATTCTCCACGTAACGGCATCAGATTCTACATTCCAGACTCATCTACGGACTACCCGAGAATAAACTTATTCCTCCTATATTGCATGTCATATACCAAGATCTAGTGGTCCCCGAGACTCAAGCTACGAACTATCTCATTCCCGGTGAACTCCTCCGAAGCTGGGTTGCCACTTTTCAAGACATGGGATGAGGATACACCGGTAATTTGACTCGTGCGTTAATCCATGCTCTTGATTCAGCCTATCAAACCGCGTTCTCTGCGCGGATTCGTACATGGATCTATAGTTATTGAGCTATACCTCCCTACCCTGCTCTCTCGCCCGGAAGCACCAATGCCCGACCTCTCCAACCTCGTAAACATGCCACTTTCAGCATAAGCCCGGCGATCCTAATCCCCCAAGATATCGTATTATTTTTCCTCTGACCGAAAAGATCGCCAAAGATCGCGAATTGGCCGGGGGAAAACGTATTCGTTGTCGCCAACCCCGTCCACCTTCATATGAGTCAAATATGATTATTAACAGAGCTTTCTTGTCACGAGTATCATTTCTTGATTGTATTAAGCGAGACCTGACACAAGATCGATCGGGATTCAGCATGCCAGGGCCAGGGGCAATCCCCGCGAGTTTTGGCGGGTTCCACTTTTGGATCTTTTGTCTCGCTTGATCTTGAGGATTAATTTTTGTTTTCTCGATTGTGTGAATAACGCCAACCGATTATGTACTTTTTTCAATCTGTTATGGCTGATTGGGTGATGCCACTACTGCCGACCAGTGAAGCCCCGTTCGTTGCCCAAGATGGTACGGAATACCTGTTTCGACAAAGCCAAACTCTCAGGGTGATCTGCCGATCACTAGGGCCGAGAATTGGACAATTGCTTCCCACATGCAAGTTTAGCCGACGACAAGGAATTTGCCTTGGGACCCACTGCTGCAGGTCCTGGCCCTATCTGGCATCTGGCATAAGCATATGTCAAGATCGGGAGATGGAGGTATTCGGGTATACGAAGAGCGTAGAAACAATTGACTCGGACGACAGAGCATCCGTACCCCTGCCATGTCCTTCCACTCCGCAGCTGCAGCTGCAGCCTCCAAGCACAGTGGGGAACTCATCACAACATTCAATTTATGAGCTCTTTCGGGTCGATAAGCAGGGGCACCTGCTCAATCTAGACTCGCATGGCCGACTCCGGTCTGAATGGAATGGAATCTCTCAACAATGCTTCTGCCGAGCATTCTTCTCTTGGATTTTGTGGCTTGGTTTCTGTTCCTGTTGGGTCCACCATTCAAGAGGGGTGTGGTCAGTGGCTTCAATAATATCCTCCAATTATGGATGCTCCCAAGCCAAAGCTATCGAGAGGTTATATAAACTAAATCCCGTGGAACTGATCTAGAGGGTGTATATAGGTTAGGTTCTCGGTCGTCATCCGTTCCAGTCCCCTGCTTGATTAATATTCCTTTCTTCTATTTATTCCTACAATACCATATTTGCTATATTGTCTACTCTCCTTTGACAACATGCTCTCAAGCAACAGATGGCACGTTGTGGCGCTGTTCCTAGCTCTTGTCCCTCGGACAATGGCAGATATCTGCGCGACACTCAAGGCCGGGGGCATTGATATCGAAGACCGTATCTCATTGGCCTACAACACCGACCTGACCGAGTATTGGTCCGCGGCATGCGGCGATCTCAAGCCAACATGTATTGCAGCTCCATCCAGTGCAGCGGAGATGGCGCAGGTAATCAAGAACCTGAACGACGTGGATACTCTCTTGTTTGTTCTCTCCTTGCACCAACAGTAAAGATGTCCGCTAACCCTAAACAGTGCCATCAAGAGCGGAGGCCATAATCCCAACAATGGATTTTCTAGTATCCAGGACGGATTGCTGGTTTCGACTAAGAATCTAGATCAGGTTGACTATAACCCCACAGATCAGACTGTTGTTATCGGTCCTGGGCTTTCATGGGAAGAAGCCCAGAAGGGTCTCGCGGGAACTGGTCGGGCTATTGTTGGAGGTCGAATGGGAGGAGTTGGGGTCGGTGGATATATGCTCGGAGGTATGTGGATCAGAAATCAACACCGACTCTATCTCCAATGATTTGTAGGCGGTATGAGTTTCTTGAGCACCCAATACGGCTGGGCTGCGAACAATGTCAAGGACTTCGAAGTTGTCCTGGCCAATGGCACTATTGTTCACGCAACTGAAACCGAAAACGCAGGTGGGTGACACTATACTCCGTATCAACGCCGAAACACTAACGCTTGATAGACCTCTTCAAAAGCTTGAAAGGAGGCGGCAACAACTTCGGTGTTGTTACTGCATACACCGTGCAGACACATCCTCAAGACCATAAGGTCTGGGGTGGCAATTATGTTTACACATCCGACAAAGCCGCCGATATTCTCACAGTAGTGCGCAACTTCACCGACGAGTATCCCGATGACAAGGCGGCAATAATCCTGACATTCGAGCGTGGTCTCGTAGTTGACCTGTGTATCTTGTTTCTCTTTTACGACGGCCCTGAGCCCCCCTCCGGAGTCTTCGACGGCTTCACTGCTATTGAACACACCTCAACCGCCAAAACCTGGGATACTTACTACGACCTGCTCAAGAACAACGACTTCTTCATTCTTAAGTAAGACGAGCAGCTTCAATACTTGGATTGTTCGCTAAATCCCTACTAGGGGGCAACGCTATAACATCGCTACCGAGACCACGCCTCTTCCTAATAAGACCGTGGGAGCAGCCCCGCTCCAGGAGTACTATGAGCATTTCCGCGACGTTACCGGGTCCGTACTAGGAGTAACCGGGATAATAGGCACAGTTTCCTTCCAGCCCATGCCCAAGACATTTTCCCAAAAGGCTAAGGACCGGGGTGGAGTACGAATTTTATTCCTAATGGAAGAACAAGGACGATCATATCACTGACAAATCCCTAGGACCTCCTCGATATTCCCTCCGATCAACCGTACATTATCCTGGAACTTGACTTCTCCTACGGGCTATCCACCGACGACAGTAAGGTCGACGCAGCCACGGTCGAACTCTATCAGGGAATGGATAACCTGGCCCAGAAGAACATCGATAACGGCCTTCTTCCCGACGTGTATCGACCATTGTTTATGAACGACGCATACTACCGCCAGGATTACTGGGGCCGTATTAGCCCCGAGTCCAAGGCGCTTGCTCTGGAGACGAGGAAGGCGTATGATCCCCAGGAATTCTTCCAGAAGCGGACGAGTGGAGGCTGGAGGCTGAAGGACTAGACGTCAAGACTGTCTGGGCCTAGGCATATTGGATATATTTATCTCGTCTATAATTGTATTTACAAAGACTAAGTCAATCAATTGGTTTTAATTATGACTCAAGAGAAACGTGTTGGGGAGTAGATGCATGAGCTCTACATGATATATTCTGGTACGGGGTATACTTCCCGTGGCTCAATACTAAAAACCCTACCAAGCAGCTCCAATCGGAAAATAAACACAGTAAGGCTAGATGCATTGCCCTGAAACTTGATCTACTGTGCATTTTCCATCCTAGTCAATAATTAGATCAAATGTAGGCGCCTGCTTCAGATCCGGAGACGCCCAGGGAACGAGTGGCTGAGAGCGACCCGCGGCGAGTTAGGGTTTCCTCCCAAGCGCCAGGGTGGATTCGTCAATCGGACCTATATTGTATCTTATATTATAATTATAATTATCCTTCCAATGGGGTATTGTCTTTAGCAAAGAGCTATGGGATCTCCTGCTACCTTAAGCTACTATCCATGCCGATCGCTATATCCGGTAGAGGGCTCAATGAAAGACAAGTCACCCAATTGAGTACGGCGCTTCTCCAATATGTAACACACAAAGACACAGCCTGGCTTAGAGAGATTCTAGATCTGTTGCTAATTTAATCTGGTCTAGACTTCGGACAATTGATGTCATTGGGAGACCTTTGTTGATGTTTATAAAAAGCCGGAACCAGCCTGTTCTTCAATCTAACAATCAGCTTCACTTTCTCTTCACTTTCTTTCAGAGTACACTTCCCTTGTTCTTGAGCCTTTCGTTTCATACATATCTACCTCGTCGTTGCTTGCTTGAATACTATCCCACTCATCCGACTCTCGATACATCGGCGAATACACAATCAGCCCGGCCAATTCTCCAATTCCATTCATTATTCTAATCAGCCCATTCAAACCAATTTCAACCCCCAAGATGTCTCCCCGATACGGTGCCCTCGGCGCAACTTTCCAATTATCCCGCCTCTTCCAAGTCTGCTCCCTAATTGCCATAATCGGCATGACAGCAAAGTTCATCAGTGTGATAGTAAACAACAATGCCACACCCCCAAATATCCTAATCGGAACGATCAGTGTGGTAAGTCTAACCTCGTCTACACTCTAAACCCTCTCTAGAAATTCACTAACAACCAACCCACAGACCTGCATCGCAGCAATCTACTGCATAATCACCGCGATCCTCTACACAGACGACATCCTCCCGTTCCTAGCCTGTGCCGTGCTAGACACTCTGCTGCTAATCGCACTGATTGTCGTCACTGTTATCGTCGGCAAACCACTCTCGTACCTGAAGTGTACGACGCTAGCGGAGCTGGGAGATAAGGATGCTACGTTGTATGCGTTTGCGTCGAGACTTTCGAGTTATATTGCTAGTGTTAGTGGGAAGATTGATTATGTTTCGTGGATTGGGGCTTCAAAGGCGATTTGCATTGAGACGAAGGCTATTTGGGGGTTGAGTATTGGACTTTGGTGAGTTTTGTTTCTTCTTCTTCCTGAGTTTCTATTTATTTTGGCCGTTGTTGGAGCTTTGCTGACTTTGGATTGGTGTTGTAGTATTCTCTTTTTCTTCTCTGTTATTTGCAATGTCTGTTTGTGGCTACAGAAGAAGAAGGCTCTTGCGGTGAAGAGTATGGAGTAATGAATGGCTAGGATTTGGAGGCGACGCTGGAAAATGATATATACGGATCTATCTGTGAGGTTCTGAGATGATGACAGAAATATAGTACGACGGAAGGAGGTAACAATAACATTCAATTTTGCTGGTGCTGCGACGGTGCTGCAGCACTATATAACAGTAAGTATTTCAAGCTACCAACGGAGGTACTCGTAGAATTAAATGTGGATGGCATGTCCAGTAATGAAGTTTGTCATATTGTATATTCGGTTCTCTTTCTTTTTTCTTTCTTTTTCGCCTTCACGGAACGAGGGCGATACAAATAATGAGGGGGTGTATCGATTCCGGTTGCTTTCACCAAAGTCTCCTCTGGGTGGAGCCCCAATCATTCTCCCATGATCGCCACTCTACCCCGAGGGCTGATAGATAGACGGATAAATAGCCTTCTTCTCGAGGGAATACATGGGAAACCGTTCTGCCAACTTTGCTATATGCCTAGAAGCAAAAGTCTTGCATCTATCCCGAACTCACAGGCGGAATAACAGCCACTTCGCCCCCAGCCTGTATAACAACCTCCCTATCTTCCTCGACATCAACATACTCCCCGTTCAGACTAACACCACAAGTAGACAGGACCTTGTGAACAATTCCAGGGTATCGCTGTTCCAATTCGCCAAACAAAGCGGACAGTTTCAGGGGCGCGGGGAGCGATTCTGTATTTTTGGAGGTGTATTGGGATGCTGTTGCGAAGTAGTGGATTGTGAATGTTTTCGACATGGTTGAGGGAGCGAATTGACTGAAATGACAGTGGGAGAGGTTATGATTGAGAGTGAAAGGTGTTGAAGAGGTCAGTTGGATAGGCAGATAAGAGATGGATGACCAATGATCTGCCCAATGCGGGGTAACTAAATCACACTCAATCTATAAGAACCAGTCATGCATTCTATGAAGTTCATACTACATCTAAATCTCCAAATCTATCTACTTCGCAAGCTCACGAAATGCCCTCGCCAAATCGGCCTTCAAATCCTCCCAATTCTCCAATCCAATGCTGATCCTCAACAACCTCCGATCAACCGTCGCATCCGTCATGGTCCTCCACTCAATAAGCGTCTCAACACCACCCAGACTAGTAGCATGCTGGAAGAAATGCAATTTACTCGGTAATTCACGAGCAAAGCGCATCTCCTTCATAATAATAGAAAAAACAGGCCCGAACCCATTAGGCATCTGCTTCTTCAACCAATCGCCCTCAACTTTCTGTAGACTGGCATGGAGGACCTCACCGAGAACAGCCTGCACAGCCGCCTCGTCGCTGTCAGGCGCGGGATTAGGCGCATGAAGAGCAGCATCAAGCCAGGAAATAAGACGGGCGGCATTCTCACTCTGACGCTGGACGCGTACCTCCAATGTGCGCAGACTTCGAACGCCAAGCCACCCCTCCATGCTACCCATGACAGTTCCGATAAAGAGACGGTCGGATTTGAGCTGTGCGGCCCAGTCGTCACGGTTCGTGGCGAGGACACCGCACAACATATCACTGTGGCCGCCGAAGTACTTGGTGCCTGAGTGCATGACAATATCCGCACCGAACTGGAATGGCTCTTGGAGGCCTGGTGGGGCGAAGGTGCTGTCGACAATAAGGTATGCGCCACGGGCGTGGGCTTTAGCGGCGTAGGAGGCAATGTCGAAGGCGGTACCTTGGGGGTTGACCGGTGTTTCGAGGAGGATTACGTCACCTTTCTCGAGTTGGTCGGGTTGGCAGTCGAGGGGGAGTTTTTGGAGACCTGTGAGGCGGGTGAAGAGGGCGATGACGCCATGGCAGCCGTGGTAACCATCGCCGACGGAGATACGGTGGGGGTTGAGGAGGGTGAGGGCACCGTGCAGGGCTGATAGGCCGGAGCTGTAGCTTATAACTTGGCCGTATAGCAGGGAGGACAGGATTGTTTCGAAGCGAGTAGTATTTGGTGCGGACATGCGCGAGTAGATGTGGGAGGTTGGATCAAAGTCGGACTACATTGGATATGTGTTAGGCGATGAGATATAGAACAGCGAGTCAACGTGCATACAGGAGTGGCATCAGCAGCCGGTACTAGCTGGGTTGGATCATTGGAATACCGAAATGTAGTAGAGAGATGCATAGGAGGAGCAACATCAGTAACGAGGTTCAAGGCATCATCAGCATGCAAGGAGCGCGTGGAGGCGCCAATGGCTTCGCTAGAATGGGACATGATAAAAGATGCTATGTTTGGTTCTTGAATTGTATGCACAGAAAAAGGGTTCGTCAAGCAAAGTTATAATACACCGATCTCGGGGGCGGGTGGGGGAAGAGGGGGAAATCACGTAATGGATCACGTGTTGGAGAAATCACGGGGAGAAAGAACAAGAGAGGTGTGGAACACATGGATTATCGACGGATGGAGCCCATGCGGGATGGTTCTCGCACTGATCCAGGAAGAGCTGCCTTGAAGGTTGCGCGTGCTATCGAACAAAGTTAGCGAAAGAATAGTACAAGCCAGAGACACAACTCACCAGCCTCTGTATCGAACGCAATGGCGAGGTCGTCGTGTTCGATGGGATACTCAGGCATGTCGAGGCACACAAAGTTGGAAGCTGGGTTATCATCCTTCTTAGGCAGTGCGAACTTGGCATCTACCATACGGATTCCGAACTTGCCGGACCGGGTGAAGGACTGCATGATATCAGTACCCTTAAGAACAAAGTTCATACAAGTTCCATGGTGGAAGTCCCCAAAGAAAGCAAGCATTTGAATGACTTTCTCTTGTCGAACGATCTGAATTCGTGCCAGGGAAGCTTCCCATTTCTTGTAAATCGGAACCATACTCCGTCGGCGGGAGATGGTGAACGATGTAGCCATACTAGTTTGGTCAGCAAAATCCCAACCAAAGGGCTAGATGGAACTCACCCATCATAAAGCACCTGGAAGCCAGTAACAGCTGCCTCGAAAGCATGAAGATCTAGAATAGAATTAGCAAAAGCAGACAGAAATGTCAGAAGTAGACATACCTTGCATGGTGGGGAAGTCCAACCGGCGGATCGTAGGCTTTGTCTTAATCTTCTCAAGGAAGCCGGTTAATTGCCCTGGCAGTTCAGGGCGAACGAGGTTATCCGCAAGGGAAAGGGTCAGGTCCTGTTGCCCTGAGCGGAACAAGCTCATGCTCGTCTTGCTCTGGACATCCAAACCAATTTTGAGTTCGCCAGGTCCTAGATAGAATTAGCAATTCATTTCGGAGCGAGGAGATAGAGAGAGCCCACCTAGGTTGATACGATCCGTCACAGAGCCCCATTCAGTGGCGACGAAGGCCCTCAAATGTTCCGATAGGATCGTCGGTCCATAACCA